TTTTCATCTCATTTTTTTCATCTTACCCAAAATCAACTGAATCTGAACATCTTTTTCTGGGTTTTTTTTCTTGATTTCAGTTTGTATTTGACAAATTGAGTTCAATTTCACCTTTGAACAAATTGATAAATTGAGTTCAATTTCACATTTTTATATTTGTATTGACAAATTGAGTTCAGTTTCTCTCACCTTTTTCTTGGATTTCTTTTCTTGGAGTGAGGAGAAGATGAATATAGCTGATTTCAGATTCGCTGAAATTCGGAGTAGATGAATCTGGGTTAGCTCGCGATCATATCCACATCTAGATGTCCACGCAGTCGTGGATGAAAACAGTATAACTATCCACATGGATGCGGCTGCATGGACACAACTAGCATAAAAGATACGTTTATGAAGAAATGAGTTGATTGAACCAAGATAGCAAACTAGCAAACAAATACTAATTGTTGGATAAATAAGCATGGACAAACAATAGTTTGTATCCAAGAATACTGTGGATATAAGATATGGACAAAAAAAACTCTTCAAAACTGTCTACACATATATTTGTATTGACAGTTAACATAGCTATTAAGATATGTCTGCGTGTACATGACTTTGTGTACACGAAATCATGGATCTCTTGCGATCTTAGTAGTTTTAATGGATCTCATAAACCTATTGCATTAAGATTAGTTAATTCTGACATTTAAAATGGTTATTAAGACATGTCTGCGTGTACATAACTTTGTGGACACGAAGTCATGGATCTCTTGTGATCTTAGTAGTTTTAATGGATCTCATAGACCTATTGTATTAAGATTAGTTAATTCGTTTTTACATCCAAACGGACCCATCCATATGGCTCTGCCCCATTGTTGTGTGTGTGCATGCATCCATTTTTGTGTGTGTACATCCCCAAGTATGGATACAAGTATATGGATACGTTCTATGAAACAGTCTAGGCGATAACAATAACTCGAAAAACACTTATTCAGTTGTTAATTATCTTTGTATTCACAAAATTATGTACACATCTACATGTCCACACACATCTCATTCAAACTCCAAATATTTAATTATCCGAACAAAGGCGTCCAGATGGGCGCATGTACACGACTGCGTGGATATGTAGATGTGGACATGATCGCGAGTTAACATAGATTCATCTTCTCCAAACTTCAAGGAGACTGGAAATTTTCCAGATCTAAAAACCAGCAGAATTTTTTTCAACGAATTCGACGACGAAATCTTCTAAATTGATTATTGATATCGAATTCGACACGAAATCTCATAGTATACTTGCTTTCAATTATAAAAACAAATCTCTCCCAGATCCAACAAACATTATTCGTTTGTTCTGTTGAATTCATTGGCTAAAAATCCCAGATCCATAACCATTCTTCAGTTATTTGGCGAATTCTCCAGCTGTAAAAGAACAGGAAGTTACTGTGTCGCGGATGGTAAAAAAAATCTGTAGATGTAATTACAAAATTAAAGCAAGAGTATGTGTGGATTTTCACTACCCAGTTTTTTTGTGGAAAGTCCTCTAGAGCTCAAAGTGCCTTTGTTTGATATTTAGAAGTGTAAAAATGCCTTCTTTAAATGTAAAATTCTCCGAACAAAAAGTTTATAGCTTATTTGGTTAGAGGGCTATGCTCCACCTCGTGGATCAGATGAAGCTAAACAATTTTAGTACCCTATCAAACTAAACATTGTATCCTAATTTTATTAGTCCGTTCTCTAATATCTTATTAGATTTATGCATAATATATGTTATACAAAAAGACTACTAGCCAGTAGCCACATTCAAATTGTAGGGTTTAAACTTCGAACAAATTCAGTGTACCAAAAAATGAACAAGAGTAGGCCTAAGATGTCTCAAATAACAATTCAGCTAGATTTGATTTATAGTGTGTTTGTCTTTGGACTCTTCGTAATGTTTGAGAAGTTTGGAGACTTTTTTTTTGTTGACATTATCTCTTTGTAAGAAATCTATTCACACACTGTTCGTCCGGCCAAACACACTTATTAATTTTGCTATTTAGTTGTTTCTTTTGTTTGTGTCCACAATTCTAAAACATTTTGGGCTTCTTTGAAAGTGCCTTTCAATTTTGTGTTCTTCTTTCTCATAACATTGCATATGCTTATCTTATCTCAAAGTATGTATATTTAAATAAAATATGATCGCCTTGTCTATGGGACAATGAGAGAACTAGAAAGTACTTGGATGAGTCTACGTCTATATGTTGGCACACTGTTCGTACTTTACTCCGTAGAATTGTATTAAATAGTTTCCACCATGATCTATGTTTTTTTGTGTTCGTGTCTCATTAGTTCATGATTTGTCTTTTCTCCAATATTGATCTATGATTGAATACAGAGGACAGCATCTTATCAAAATGGCCCATTAGCTCAGTTGGTTAGAGCGTCGTGCTAATAACGCGAAGGTCGCAGGTTCTAAACCTGCATGGGCCAATTCTTGAATTTTTACCACAATATCGGCCCAATAAGAGTTTTGTTTTTGAAAGGTTACACATTCATTTTTGGGCATATTCATGATTTCATACAATACTAGAACATAATAATATTTCTTACACATTTATTGGTAAATTATTGAATTACACTTTTGTCTTCTTCCTTCTCTTAAGTGCATGGCTTGACCCCAAGAGGACGTAAATGTTTATGAGATTCTGACATTACCATCTCAAATGGCAGACAAAGATTTGGATTCTTCGAAGCTTTAAATCTTCCTCCCATCTTCTCATAGAACTTGTTAGAGAATCTAAGCTCGCCTGTTAGATTGTTTCCATTGATGTACAATGAACCAAGACAAGGCAATGCTTCAAGCTTTTCTGATGGGACAGAACCGGTTAGATTGTTGTCGTTCAGACCAAGAAACCTTAACCTTTTCAGATTGGTTAGACCGGTGGGGATCTCACCTCTCAAACCCATGTTGGATACATCCAAAATTACCAAATTTTCCATCTTCTCCCACTTTATTCCCTTCATAGCCTCGCTCATTGGATTGCCTGATAACATTAACTCTGTTAATGATTGAATCTTTTCAATGTTGTTGGACAACCCACCAGAGAATCTGTTGTTCCTCAGATCCAAAAGTGTCAAATTCTTCAAACTCCCAATTTCTTGAGGTATGTTCCCTTGTAAGAGGTTATTGCTTAGGTCAAGCTTGAGCAATGAAACCAAATCTCCAACAGATGAAGGCAATGACCCTGAGAAAGAGTTGCGGCTCAAATCCAAGATCAAGAGCTCCTTTAACTTGTTGAAACAGTTTGGGATCATTCCCTTGAACGAGTTCGCTGCGAAAGCCATCCGCTTTAGACTCTTTAAGTTGCAGATACTCGCCGGTAATTCTCCACTGAACCCATTTTCAAGAACAACTAAAGACTTCAGCTTTGTGAGATTTCCAAATGTTTCAGGGAGTTTCCCAATGAGACCGGGATTGGATCTGAACTCGAGCGATTCTAAGTTAGATGCAAAGTTTATCCATTCCTCTTTGGCTACGACAGTTGGAGAGATAAAGCAGTTGAAGAAGGAGAGAGATCTTAAGTGCTTGAGCTCAAACAACTCTGGCCTTATCTCAAGACTTGAGGAGCAAGCAAGCGAGTTTGTATGAATAAGCCCTAAACTCAGATCCGTGACATACCACAAGTCATTGTAGATATCACAAGAAACACCCTGAACCCAAAACAAACAAAAAAGGTTATGTTTTCGAAGTTTGGATTTTTTTTGAAGAGCACTTAGCTGCATAATAAAGGAATGATTGGTAGGGCCAATGTGCACATATAATTGAAACATTTTAAGAAACCCAAACAAACAGATGTTATATGAAAATAGGATTCACTTGATGCTTTGAAGCTTTAAACTTCACTTTCCGATTATGGAAAGTTTTTTAAAACGACAAAGCATTTTGAAGAATTATTTGAGACAGCTAGAATACAAAAAAATCTTTACACATAATTTCAAAAGCTTTTTACAACTTAAATGTGATTTAACAACATCTAAAGATCAAACGTTTCTACATCATAACCTCATGCTCTTCACTATCTTCAAAAGTCTATGTTTCTCTAACAGTATGACCGTTCATAAATATGGCTGCACAAAGAGGCAAAAGGAAAACAAGGTTTCAACGAAACAGAGTTTTGTAAAGAAAAACCTGAATTGGACTCCAACCACAAGGGTCAGGATAGAGATCAGATCCATTCCAAGAATCACCAACAAATCCTTGAATCGCAGTGTATAACGCTTCTCGTTCTCTTTTGTCCATTGGAGAATTTTCGGAATCGGTTACTTCAGGTAGAGATTCATCTCCGGTACACCTGAAAAGCAGAGACAGTAAGAGGAGAGAGTAAAACGTTTGCCACAACATTGTTCCCTAAGAGAACAAGAACAGAGGATAACAGGAGAAACAAAGCGTGTGAGGTGTTTTGTCTTCTTTCTATCTGGGTTTTGGGTTGGTTCTTGTTATTATTTATTGAGAAGAGAGTGAGAGGTCGTTGGGAATCAAATTAGCTTTTCCCATTACAATTCAAATGGTTAAAAAGTAAAAGAAGAGAATTTTTGGTTACATGTTCCTCTTTTGTCACATAAAGTAAAGGTTTCATTTGTTCCCATAACCATACATATATGCACATATAGCATTCCAATACATACATCATGTACAGAACGTTGTGTATGTAGTTGAGCATGCAGAGAAGCACACATATCAAAGCGAAATTGCATTTAAGGGTCTCTATTGTTGACAAAGATTTTTCATTAATGCTTCTGCTTTTCTGAAATAATCCTTTGACATTTATTCGTAATCAATAATATCCTTCTGGATTCTGCCTTTTATGTTCTGTCAAATCAAAAAGTACATATCATTAAACACATATGCATATGCTTCTAATTCTCTAACTTCATCCTCCAACAAAAGGGTCTCTTTGGATACAAGAAGCTACAAGTGGTTTCACAACAGTAAATGTGAAAGTAACATCTCTTAGATCATCCACGTGAGATGGTTATGTAGTGAGAAAAGTCCACAGCTTCTTGCTTATGGATCCTTCACCGGGTTTTGGTGATCCATCGTCGTCATCATCATCATCACCACCATCGTCATCTTCATCTTGATCTTCCTCTTCCTCTTCATCCTCATATTCTTCACTCCTATCCTCATTTACTACTGTTCTCTGTCTCTGCTCATCTTCAACAGAAGGGCTCGTCTCGATTTTAGCTGTTGGTTCCGCGTTTGCAGACGAAACACCCGCATTGACATTAGCAGCAGCAGTCTCTGTAATTGTTTCCACCTGCCATGGAAACGATAAACGTATTAGCACGTATGCTTGTTGTCTTTGTCTTGAGCTTAAACTAATGAGCAAGGTTTTTTATTCAGTCAAAAGTTGTAGAACTTTAAGACACAATATATAAGTCACAGAGAGAGAGAGGAAGAGGAAGACTTTCTTACCGTTACAACTCTCTCAACCCTAACTTCCGAACTTTCTAATCTTCTAGCTCGATGAGGTTCCACCACAGATTCGCTAGTTTCCTCGACATTGTCCTTTGATGGCGCAGAGGCAGCAATGGCTGCATCATCTTCGCCACCAGCTGCATTATCTTCGACATCTACTGGAACTTGGTCTACACTGTTCACTCATAATATTTTAGCAATCAATGAGCAGAACTAAGGCACAACAATGATAAGGAATGTGAATAATATAAAGACTACTCGACATAAATCATACTGAAACCTCACTATAGTCTAAGCAAAATCATCTGAAGCCATATCAAGCCTAAGAACATACTCTCACAAGGTTAAGAAACTTACGTTTTCCGCCTCAAATTGTAGCGTCTTTGGCCAGGGGTCTGCGGCAAGACAGCAACTGTCTGTTGTCTCTTACGACGTCCACCAGTAGCAGTAGTAGTATCCTCAGCATGCTGTCTTTTCCTTCCACCTCTGCCTGTTGTCTTCTCGCTAGTTACAGAAACGTGACCACTCATTTCATCTTTCGATGATTCTTCAGGGTTGGCATGCTTGGCCGAACTTGTAGGATTCAAAGCAGGCTTGGGTTTTCTAGGTCTGCCACGTCCACGTCCACGCCTGGCACTTTGAAGCTCAGATACCTGAGAACCTTCAGAAGTTTCTTGCACTTGACTCTCTGTATATTCCTCATCGTCCTCCGGAAGTGAGCTACTAGACGGACGTGGTTGGAGATCAACTGGCAGTGGTCTTTCACCTATTGTTTTCATATTAACTGCCGCTGAAGAGGATGGACGCTGCTCAGACTTGCCTGTGTCAATGCCATGCTCAGCTCTTTTACTTGGTGAGAAAACTGAAGCGCACTTTTGCAGTATCGACATCTTGGGCCTTCTAGATCCCCCACTACCAGAGGCATCTCCGTCTAGAGATTTCTTGATATTACAACAGGAGTCCGACGCATCAGAGCTTTCCGGAAGCTCACTCAAAACTCCACTAGGTGGTTGAATGGCTGCTTCTTCGTTGAGTTGGAGATCAGAGAGTCCAAACTCATTCACCAGCTGCCCACAACTCTCACAATCCTTGAGCTTTTGAACAAATGATAGAAACCGGGCTCTTTCACGGGAAAACTCTTCCCTACGTTTCTTGAGGTTATTGCTAAGCGTGCTAAGTTCACTGATGTCATTATGCATCTCTGCTTGCTGCTCTTTCAGTTTCTCTTTGTGCTTTGCAATTTCTTCGCTTTCCTTTTGAAGGGCACTCCTTTTGGACATCATTTCTTCCATCTCCCTATTCAAAGCCTGCTTCTGGTGACTGATATCACTAAATTCTTTCACTCTTTTATCCCCAAACTGAGCCAGTCTGTCTTGTAGGTCTTTCTCATCTTGTTCTTTTCTTTTCTGTAGATCAATTTCAACATTCCTTCTCATCATTTCAAGATCTTCAAGCACCTTCGACTGCTCAAGTTTGGCTTTTTCATGTAACGCTGAACGCTCATGTTCCATATTGGCTTCAAATGATTCTCTTTGCAGTTTAATATCATCCAGTTCCTGCTTTATCTGAACCCTCAAAGCACTCTCTTCTTTCTTCAATCTTTCTCCTTCCAGCAGTTGAAACCTCTCAAACTTTGATTTTTCTTCAGAAATTCTCACTAGCTCTTTATTATATTCTGCCTGCTTCTCATCCAATATCTCCCACTCCTTTTCAAATCTCTCTTTCTCTTGCTTCAGATTTTCAACTTCCTTAGAAAGATACTCCTCATGGAGTCTCGCTTTCTCTATCTGGGACTTGAGTTCAGATTGCAGTCTCAGGTATTCTTCCCTCTCTTCTTTCTTGATTTCAAGACTTTTGTGTTCTTTTTCAATCGTTTCCTCCTTTTTCATCATCTCAGCTCGGATGTTTTCAATCTCTTGTTGTAAATCCTCCAGGCTCTCCTTATCAGAAAGCAACTGTTGCTTTTCCAAACTTAACTTCTTCTCCTCAGCTTGTATGAATTTTTCTTTCTCTTTGATAGTTTTTAACTTTGCTTCAAGCTCCAACTCCTTTTCGCTCACTCGGTCAAACTTCTGATTCAATGCTTGGTTTCTTTTCTGCAACTTCTCCTCGCTATGATTAATCTCAACTTTCTGTCGTTCAACTTCATCTATCTTTCTTTGGAGTTCCTTGTCCAGAGATTTTCTTCTTTCTTCGCATTCCAGTTCAAATTCCACCATCTTAGCAGCTAATGCCTCCTTCTGATCATCAATAAGCTTCTGAATTTCTGTCTGTTAAAAAATCAAACCAAAACTGATATCAGAACCTTCGAAATCTATTTATATAATAAGGATTTATATTTCAAAGGGATAGGAAGATCAAATATGCGTGTGTGTGTGTGTGTGTATATGCAACAACTCTCTAAATGATTCGGAGTTAGTATTGATTTCTTTCTATGTCTATACTTAGGACGTAATTTAGATACTACAGTTCTTTATCTAGAATCCTATGCGGAAGCTTTGAAATATGAGCAACAGCTATGCAGTGTTCCTTTAGAACTTACCCCTTCTCTAGCAATAAGCTTCTCTTCAAGTGCTCGCAACTCTTTTTCCTTTGCCACGAGCATGCTCTGGAGTGTGCAAGATTCCTGGGTACATTCACCACAACAAATTCATATAAGAAAAAAACGCAAGTCTAAAGAAGCAATGTCTAATAGGTTATAAACTTACTTTCTCTTTTGCAGCCAATTCTTGCAATCGCTTCTTAATATCCTCTTCAGCTCCCTTGGCCTTTGACATAGACAAATCAACCTTTCTATCCAATTCTTCAAGTTGTTTTAGTTTCAGGTTCAGGTTTTTTTCTCTTTCATTAACTTTTTCCTCTCTTTGATTCAGGCTTCTCTTCTGTTCAGGCATCGATTCTTCCTTTTCCTGAAGCTTTTTCTCCCATTCATTAAGGTACTCTCTTTGCTTGTGGAAAATCTCTTCATATGACTCTCGCCTGTGGTGCAATAGCAAACACGTAAGACTAACAAAAAGAGTTGAATTTTGCAGTCATATAACAAATATCATTACTTACTCTTTAGCAAATGAAAGCCGCTCTTGTTGCAGGACGCTTTCACGTGTCTCCACTTCCTTCAGCCTCATTTCCAGCTCGGAGCTCTTTCTAGTTGCCTCTGCGAGTTTGCTTTCAGCAGAATAAATCTTGTTTTCCACATCGGAAGATCTCCCGTTAACACTAGCAACCAGAGCATTTGCTTCAGCCAGTTTAGCTTCAGAAGAGAGCCTGATCTTCCTATTCTCTTCTTGAACTTCACGAAAAGCCTTTTCAAGCTGCAAACAGAAAAAGGATTTTAAGCTCAACACAATATAAGAAACCCCAAAAACCAACCAAAACATATATTTTTTTAAGATATCGATATTGTTAAAGCTAAAGGTATGCTACCTCTTCAATACATTGCTTTTCCAAACCTAAGGCTTTCCTCAAGTTTTCTTCGCGTTCTTCGGAAGTCTTCAATGCGTACAGATGCGAAGACTGTTCCCTCTTAAGGATTGCTTGAGCTTCTTGAAACGCCTGCTCTAGTTGTTCGTGCTTTGAAACCCACTCTTTGTTATCCATAAGCAGAAGTCCCATATTGTGTTGGTAGCCATATAACTGCACAGGAGAACAATTCTATTGGTAAGAGTGATAAACAAAGAGTCAAAACACTCAATTAAACTTGAGAACAGCTAAAGGTTACAAATTGCCTCATAAATCCGTATCTTAGCACATGAGAGCTCCCACTAATTGCATAATTTATGACCAGTTTTCACCAAAAGAAATCTACTTGCGACTATAGATTCTCCGAGAAAAATCAACCTATCAAGCAAATCCTGTAACAGAACAATCAAATTATACAAAAAAAGTTCACAAATTTGTACCTCCTTTTCAAGTGTCGAGATCTTTTCAAGAAGCGCTTCTCGATCTTTCCTCTCCATTGAAGCCTCGTTCAACAGACCCACTTCCCTAAACCTTCTCCAATCACCCATGTCCATTTCATCACCCAGACCTCTGGAAACGACATCCCCGGTCAATGTTCCAATCGGAGGCGGCGGAAGAGTCGAAATTACTGGGTCCTCGCTGAACGCAATCGCCTTTCCCTTTCTGTCAGCGTTCCTAGGGTTAGAAACACCCCCAATTTTACGCGACTCGCTTCTCGGCGTCATCGCCGGAGACATCCACGATTTTCTCTGTGGCGTGAACATAATTTCGAAGAGAAGCCACACTTAAACTCACAAACTTTTGGAACCCTAATTTTTTCCCAAATCGAAAAAAAGTATCTTCTTTCTCTCCTCAACACAACGGCTTTGAGAGTTTAAAGTTCCGATTAAACAAATAAAATCGGCAAAATTGGCAGTGGTGGTCGGTTAAGGGTAAAAAGGTAAACTTTCGCCACGAAGAAGACGGACTGATAAACCGGACGGTTTAAATTACATACCGGAAGGTTCCAATTTCTTACTTGCGTTTGTGGGCCATGCAAGGCCCAATTTACGTTTAACATAATTACGAAGATGTCTAAAAGTGCTTTGAAAAGTTAATTAGACGCCTAAGACATTCTTTAAGCTTAATTATGTAGCTACTTGACCGCTACTGGGAAAGTGAAAGTTTGTTTTTCTTCTTCTCGTTGTTTTTTCTTACATCATCTTATATATCTTAAGTTTGTAAAGCTAACTTTAACTAATAGATAGGGATTTTAAAGTTTAAACCCTTGTCTCATATGTATAATCGTCAAAGCGATAATGACTAATTATAAATTTTTAATCGCACATGAGATGAGATGGTGTTTGAATAGTCGCGCTGCCATAATAATTGGGATTGGTAGTAGACTAGTAGTAGTAGGTGAGACGTATGTACTGTGAATATGTGATTTTACAATTATCACATGAACATATCGTGATAATATGTAATTTAAAATTATATATCAGATCATCACATGTATGAGAATATTGCACCGTATATGATGTACCAAAATTATTACTTCGATTCAGAGACCAACCACGAGTATTAGATCTGAACATTTGAAATATCGGATCTTTAGCCAAAAAAAGGTTCATATATATGTTACAGAAATTACCACCAACTAAGTATGCAAAATAACCTAATTTCATTTGTAGTGGAGCTAATATTCGGCAATGGAGTTCAGCTAAATGACATTAACATATCCTCTTGCCAAACTACTAATATTCTTAATTAGATTAATCCGTATTACTGAATATTCAATAAACTATGAGGTGGAGATTGAAATTTCACATGTGTTACAAAGAGTGTCAGAAGATAATTTATTCAAGAAATCGAAACCAGGTAAGCTTCTGGCCCAGGGATCACTGGAAACTAATTATCTAGTTTGATAACATATCGACAGTCCTTATTATTACATCAGAGAATCATTCAATTAAAAACACTATTCATTTACTAATCACGATCCAATATATAATAATCACTTCCAAGAAGTTTTCAAAAGAAGTAAATAGCAACCATCCACGACTTCTTTTACGCTTCATTCCCATTCGTTCATCTATGACTTTATTGACATCATTTTTCTTTATTTTGACATCATATTATTAACTCTTCTAGAACATAAACAAACTACGGATTGAGATTTGAGACTATTCATTTCCGCCAACTATTTGCAAATCTGATTTTTATTAGTTTCCTTAAAATTTATCGTCTTCTTCCTAGTATTTTGAAGTTGCCAAGAAAATTATAAAATTTCTTCCACATCAAAGAAAATAAATGTCAAAACATAAAACGTTGAAAGTCGTCGTCAAAGTTGGGTAATTTTTATCATAAAAAAACGAAACACACTCGTTCCTCTTCCTCGCTGATGAGTTGCTAAATCAAATGATATAACTACTCACAAAATTCAACATTTCTCTCTCGAATTCTTCATTCTTTAGTTCCAAATTTTTTTCATTCTTTCATTCTTTTCCCCCAAACAATTCATCCAATTTTTTCGCGAATTTCTCCATTTACATTTTTCAGACAGAGATAGAGAGATATGGCGGGAGGTCGACAAGGAGGTCGGAGAAGAAGAAGATTAAATCTGAGCAACATATACGGCTTCGGATGTCGTAAATCGAGTTTCCAAGAAGACCATTCACACATAGGAGGACCTGGCTTCTCACGAGTTGTTTACTGCAACGAGCCCAATTCTCCGGCGGCCGAACGGCGTAACTACACCGGAAACTACGTCCGGTCAACGAAATACACTCTGGCTTCTTTCGTACCCAAATCTCTGTTCGAGCAGTTCCGCCGCGTCGCCAATTTCTACTTCCTCGTCACCGGGTTCTTGTCGTTGACTGCTCTCTCTCCTTACGGATCCGTTAGTGCTCTGTTACCTCTCGGCCTCGTCATTGCCGCGAGTATGGTCAAAGAAGCAATCGAAGATTGGGGACGAAAGCGACAGGTCTTGATTTGGAAATAAAAACAGACTAATCAAATTCCGAATCAGAATTTTGTCAAATTAATCAAATTTTTTTGACTTTTCAGGATATAGAAGTGAATAACAGGAAAGTGAAGGTCCACGACGGAAACGGAATATTCCGGCAAGAGGAATGGAGGCATCTACAAGTCGGAGATATAGTGAGAGTTGAGAAAGACGAGTTTTTTCCGGCGGATCTTTTGCTTTTGTCGTCTAGCTACGAGGACTCGATTTGCTACGTAGAGACGATGAATCTCGACGGAGAAACGAATCTGAAAGTCAAACAAGGCTTAGAAGCGACTTCCTCTGCTTTACACGAAGACTCCGATTTCAAAGAGTTAAAAGCCGTCGTCAGATGCGAAGACCCAAATGCAGATCTCTACACATTCGTCGGAACTTTACATTTGGAAGAACAGAGACTCCCATTGTCGATTCAACAGCTTCTTCTTCGAGATTCTAAGCTTAGAAATACAGAGTATGTCTACGGAGCTGTTGTCTTCACTGGACACGACACAAAGGTACAAACTTTAAGCTCTGTTTTCAATTTCACTAAAAGCTCTGTTTTTTTTTCACTAAGAAACGATCTCAAAGTGTTGATTTTTTAAACAGGTGATTCAGAATTCGACTGATCCTCCATCGAAGAGAAGCAGAATCGAGAGAAAAATGGACAAAATCATCTACCTGATGTTCGGTGTAGTGTTTCTCATGTCGTTCATCGGATCGATCTTCTTCGGCGTTGAGACAAGAGACGATAGAGTGAGAGCTGGAGGAAGAACAAAGAGATGGTACTTGAAACCAGACGAAGCAGAGATCTTCTTCGATCCAGAAAAAGCTCCAACGGCTGCGATTTTCCATTTCCTCTCCGCAGTTATGCTGTACAGTTACTTCATCCCGATCTCTCTCTACGTCTCCATCGAGATCGTCAAAGTTCTTCAGAGCGTGTTCATCAACAACGACGTCCACATGTACTACGAGGAAACGGACAAGCCCGCGCACGCGAGAACGTCGAACCTCAACGAAGAGCTTGGCATGGTGGACACCATCCTCTCCGATAAAACCGGAACCTTGACATGCAATTCAATGGAGTTTATCAAGTGCTCTATCGCTGGAACTGCGTATGGACGTGGAATAACGGAAGTTGAAAGATCTATGGCTATGAGAAGCGGAGGTTCTGCTTTGGTTGATGATGATTTGGATGTTGTTGTGGACAAGTCTGTTCCTAAGATCAAAGGGTTTAACTTCGAGGACGAGAGAGTTATGAAAGGGAATTGGGTTAAGCAGCGAGAAGCAGAGGTTTTGCAGAGGTTTTTCAGGTTGTTGGCCGTTTGTCACACGGCTATACCTGAAACCGATGAAGCCACTGGGAGTGTCTCTTATGAAGCTGAGTCTCCTGATGAAGCTGCGTTTGTCGTCGCTGCTCGAGAGCTCGGGTTTGAGTTCTTTAGCCGAACGCAGAACGGTATCTCGTTCCGTGAATTGGATCTTGCAACAGGGCAGAAAGTAGAAAGGTTCGGTTTTTCTTAACATTACTCTGTTTTCTAACGATTTCTTGAGGTAAAAAAACTGACTTTACTCTGTTTTTGTTACAGAGAATATCGGTTATTGAACGTTCTTGAGTTTAACAGCACAAGGAAGAGAATGTCTGTGATTGTGCGTGATGAAGATGGGAAGCTTCTATTACTGTCTAAAGGAGCTGACAAGTAAGTTAACTGAGAATCTTGATGGATATTACATTTTGAGGACGTTTTGGTTGATTTTGGATCTTGTTTTTGTGTGTGTAGTGTAATGTTTGAGAGGCTTGCGAAGAACGGGCGTAGATTCGAAGAGGAAACACGACAACATGTGAATGAATATGCAGATGCAGGGCTAAGGACATTGATACTCGCGTACCGAGAGGTTGATGAGAGTGAGTATACAGAATTCAGCAAGAACTTTGACGAAGCTAAGAGCTCAGTGTCAGCGGATCGTGAGAACTTGATCGATGAGATCACGGATCATATGGAACGAGATTTGATTCTCCTTGGTGCTACTGCCGTTGAAGACAAGCTTCAAAATGGGGTAAATGGCTCTTCAAGACTAAAAATTCTTAAACGTTTTGGGTTCTGGTTTGGACTATAACTTGATTGTGTGTTTAGGTTCCGGATTGTATCGACAAGCTTGCTCAAGCAGGAATCAAGATTTGGGTTCTCACAGGAGACAAAATGGAGACAGCAATCAATATAGGGTAAGTAACTTTTACTGTTCTCTCAGTGTTTGAATCTACTAAACATTGTTCTTGGTGTGTTTGTTTCATAGTTTCTGACATTTTTCAGAATCTCTCTTCAGATTTGCTTGTAGTTTACTTAGACAAGAAATGAAGCAGATCATTATAAACCTTGAGACGCAAGATATCAAAGCATTGGAGAAAGCTGGAGAGAAAGATGAGATTGAAAAGGTAAGAATTTTCTCTCATTAATGTATCAAACACTTTCAAAGTTTTCATATAGTTTACTCAATGAGATTTATGTATATTAGGCATCGAGAGAAAGCGTCGTGAAGCAAATGGAAGAAGGGAAAGCTCTCATCACAGGATCAAGCGGCTCGGGATCAAACGAGGCGTTTGCTTTGATCATTGATGGGAAGTCGCTAACGTACGCTCTTGAAGATGATTTCAAGAAGAAGTTTCTTGATTTAGCCACAGGATGTGCCTCTGTTATCTGCTGCAGATCATCACCTAAACAAAAGTCATTGGTACGTAATGTCTCTGTGGTCTTTTGTTTTCCAAGGAAATGGCGGTTTCGGTTTGGTTAATAGTAAGATTTGTGTGTTTCAGGTTACGCGGTTGGTCAAAACTGGAACCGGGAAGACAACTTTAGCGATTGGAGATGGAGCAAACGATGTTGGAATGCTTCAAGAAGCAGACATTGGTGTTGGAATCAGCGGTGTTGAGGGGATGCAAGCTGTTATGTCTAGCGATATAGCCATCGCTCAGTTCCGATACTTAGAGCGTCTCTTGCTCGTCCATGGTCACTGGTGCTACAGCAGAATCTCATCAATGGTTAGATTTTGTCTCTCTTGGAAACATTCTCTCTATACATACATCATCACATTTTGTCTCTAACCAGGTTTTGTTTCCTACTATGTAGATTTGTTACTTCTTCTACAAGAATATAACGTTTGGTGTCACCGTTTTCTTATACGAAGCCTACACATCCTTCTCTGCTCAACCTGCATATAACGACTGGTTTTTATCGCTTTTCAACGTCTTCTTCTCTTCGCTTCCCGTAATTGCTCTTGGAGTTTTTGATCAAGACGTATCAGCTCGCTTCTGTTACAAGGTACCTAAACATTACCCTTTCGTAAACCCTAAAAAAGACCTAAATTCCTCTGAATCGCTGATCAAATGTTTCCTTTTCCGTCGCAGTTCCCGTTGCTATACCAAGAAGGAGTTCAAAATCTTCTCTTCAGCTGGAAGAGGATCATCGGATGGATGCTCAACGGACTCATGACAGCCCTTGCGATTTTCTTCATCTGCAAGGAATCTCTAAAACACCAACTCTACAACCCTAACGGCAAAACCGCCGGCCGAGAAATCCTCGGAGGGACAATGTACACTTGTGTAGTCTGGGTGGTCAATCTACAAATGGCTTTAGCCATAAGCTATTTCACTTGGGTCCAACACATTGTAATTTGGGGCTCAGTTGCTTTCTGGTACATCTTTCTCATGATATATGGAGCCATGGCTCCTAGCTTCTCCACAGATGCTTACAAAGTCTTCATCGAAGCCCTAGCTCCAGCTCCATCTTACTGGCTCACCACTCTCTTCGTGATGATCTTGGCTTTGATCCCTTACTTTGTCTTCAAATCGGTTCAGATGAGATTCTTCCCGGGTTACCATCAAATGATTCAGTGGATCCGGTACGAAGGTCATTCAAATGATCCTGAATTTGTGGAAATGGTTAGGCAAAGATCGATTCGGCCCACGACGGTTGGTTTCACGGCTAGAAGAGCCGCTAGTGTACGACGGTCAGGTAGGTTTCATGATCAGCTTAATAAGAATTTCATTGCTTTCTGAAGAGAAAACATAAACAGAAAGCCCTCAGTGTTTGTGCATATAGACTTGTATATAGAGCTATCATCTGGGGAAAGCTAAGGTTCTTTTTGTTATATCTTGTGATTCCTTTGTCTCGAAAGGCATAAAATAGGATTCACTTTACTCATAAAATATATCTATATTTTTACTATTTTGTATGTAACATTTTCTACGTCTAAGCTTCATTTTGTTTGATTTTTTTTTGTGTGGTATAACTGTATTAATAACTGATAAATAATCGTATTTTTGGAGTTGATTTTCAAAAACATCTAGACATGTGCAATTTCAAAATTGGTGGGTGAGATTTACTAGCATTAAGAACTAATTACAATAGTCATGAAGCTTATAACGGTTACAATTCTTAAAAAGTAGTATATGATTATATGTTCTTCAATCCAGATTACACATACGGAACAAATATTGTATAATTTCAAGCATATTACACATACGACATAAATATTATATGAGTTGCTCTCCTCATTCTTTCTCTCATAAACTCATTATGATCACATCATCCACAAACTTAACTTAAAAAATTTACAAATCAAAATATGAAAATGAAAACAAGAACTTAGAGTTGATTAGCCAACATAATAATTATTGTGCATGTGAGTCTTCAACGCATGTCTAATTTCGAACCTTTTCTGTTCTTTGATTTGTTAGAAGTTTTTTTTTCCTTTACGTTGCGACGTTACGAGTTATAATTCTAGTATGTACAATATGTGTGTGGTATGTGTAATCAGTAATCAACTTGATTGTGCCTATAATTCTATTATACTATACAATTCACTAAAGTAAGAAAAATATAAGTTTGCATATTAAACATTCACTTTGACGTATCGTGCATCTAACACAACATCATCTCCAAACTGAATATTCAATATGCAAACTTATTTAGTTTGATGGTTAAAAATGCTAATTGAAAAGTCCCAAGGTTTAATGTTCCTTTTTTAAAACATCTAAGACTTCTTATCATTTTTTTCACATACTATAAAGTACAGTAGAAACTCTATAAATTAATACTCGATAAATTAATAAACACGATAAATTAATAAATTTCTCTGGTCCCGAGTTGGGCCGGTGTAAAATATGACACAATTCGATAAGATAATAAGATAATAACTTTTTTTGAACTCCTATGTAAAATATGGTCCCAATAATATCATAAATTAATAATTATTTTTATTTTTATATATATACACCTAAAATATCTAACTACTAAAATATGAATCTCTCACACCAAACATATATGGAAATTAAAAGCAAAAAAAGGAATTTTAAATAATATGGCAAGTATGAGAAAATGTAAACAATAAAGTAAATATAGAAACATGTGAAAATAATTAAGAAAATATAAAATAATGATTTTTTTTTTTTGAAAATATTTTTAGTCAAAATCTATATATTAATAACTCTATAAATTAATAAAATATCAAAGTCCCGACATTATTAATTTATAGAGTTTCTACTGTAATTAGTTTTTTTAACTGTTTAAACCGATTTCACCTGACCACCATTGCCAATTTATTATCCCCTCGATTTTATTTCTCTTTTAATCGGAACTTCTTGTTGGGTTCAACTTTGTAAAAGTAGAGGCCCAACATGGGGAATATGAGTTCTATTAGAGGCCCAACATGGGCAACTTCGAAAAATTGCACCGCGAAGCTTTCATCACACTGTCACAGTACCACCGCTTGTAAGTTGTATCTTCTGAAATTTGTCCTTCATACGTAGATGACAAGATCAACCGAAGTCACCGGAGCAATAATCCAGAGATTCTTCGGAGGATAGGAAAACAAAACATCAGTCGGAACGCTTCCGGGAAAGCTCCAACCCTACTAGCTCAGCTTCATGATCAACCAAACCAATTATCCCCAACTCAAATCTTCAACACTAAGAGAACCTCCACTTCAGTTTGACCGATTTAACGGAAAGAGAACACTTACACGAGCATGAACCGGTGAAATGGATCTTGACAGAACTTCTGGAATTTGAAAACTTCCACGTAGACGGAAGACTCTACACACTTTCAAAAGGCTATGGAACACACATCAAAATGCGTTAAACGGAAAGATTATGTTTCCAACAAATTTCCAGTACTCTCCCCTTTTCAGAAACTATGTTCACGCCACAGAGAAAACAGTGGATGTCTCTTGAAGGTACTTGGCTTGCACTCCAAGTCACCGTATATTTCATTAGCAAAAGCCAGCCAAGCAAACGGATCGGTCTATTGATTGGTTCACTGAACCATATAGCAAACATCCAGGTTGCTGCCTAAGACTATTCCGGCTATTTCTGGTTCAGGTTGATTGCCTAAATTTATGTGATTCGGTTAGACACATGATATATCAAGTGTAAATAGTCGGTGGTTTCGTTAATTAGATAGCTAGAGAGTTGTTTATCTCATTGCTCTGATTCAGTAAATGTATTGTATATAAGGGGAACAGAGTTTGTTTATTCACAATGAATGAGAAAGAGCATTCTTTACAATAAACTCTAATTACTCATATGTTGCGAAATAAGAGCAGTTTCGAGTAGGCCAAGGTTGGAACCAACCTTGACGTAAGGAAAGAATAATCTTGAATTATTACTTAAAGCCCCTTCTTCTCCACACCAAGCTACTTATTTATCATGTGAATTGAATGATTCTACCCTTACTGTCTTCAAATCGATGTAATACCACGTAGGATTCACTTTACTCAAAAAAAAAATATCTTATCTCTATTTCATTATTCTGTATGTAACATTTTACGTCCAGGCTTCATTTTGTTTGATTTATACTTTTTTTGTAAATGATATATAATCCCATTTTTCTGGAGATGATTTTTTTTTAAAACAACTAGACGTTGTAATTGAGTGCGATCGAGAATGATTCGATGATTTCTTTTTTAGCATATTTGATTGTTCCGTTGTAAACGAAGGTAACTTGTGTTTACTTTCAAGTTTACCATGGGTAGATGTAGAGATTTAAAGTCACTGATTAATCTATCATTTGTGGATTTAACTCGAGTCCATCAATTAATTTGCAAGAAATTTCATATATAGGAAGGGGAATAATAGTGTGAACTAGGAACAACACTGACACACCAGTTGTTATCTTCTAACAAAAGTAAAATCTGACACATGACGACATAGGTGGTTCTCTCTTTGCAATTAATAGTTTGTTAGTTGTAAATGTGGATTAGAACTTATCGGGATCCTCCTTTTTCAGATCATTATTAACATCTGCGAAAACCCAAATTTTCCCCTAGTGTGAGCCTCAAATTAACGTTGAAATTACTTACAATTCAAAAAAAAAAAAAAAAAAGAAATGTTGAAATTACTTCCCGGCGGAAGAGTCGAAATCACCTGTTTTCGTTCCTTCCTTTTTCTGTCACCGTTCCTTTCCGGAGATGAAGACATCCCCTGTTTTCTCTTGTGGCGTCAACACAGCCTCCGAAAAGGGATTCACTGAGAATGACGAAATTTTAGAACCCTAATTTTTCCAATTGAATATTCTCTCTCTCTTGCTACAAGTACATCGGCGTTGAGAATTTGAAGTCCCGATCAAAAGGAAATAAAATCGAGGGGTTTAGAATTGGTCGATGCAATTTATGATTAGGTCGGTTTAAAAAGATACCCTCTACTAGATCGACGCACAAAGGACTCGTTTTTGTGATTTATAGCAATAGTCAAGAAGCCAAATATAAGAGATTTCATCAACATAAAAGCTCATGATATTAGACTCATGAAAGGTTCTTACACACCACACCATAATTACATGAAAGGTTCTTACACACCACACCACACCACACCAAATTACACACCACACAACACAAATATTGTAAAATTTCTTAAAGCGTATTCCACACACCACACATATCTTATATAAATATTCTAGCATATTTACACATACCATATCATTTCACGTTATCCACCTTCCTTGTTCTTCACTCGCCATGATCACTTCTTCTTTATCCCCTGCGAGATGCTCCCATCATTCTTCCTTTTCTTCCCTTTGTCCAATTTCTGCACCTCATCAACACTGAGCGATCATTCTGATCTCATTCTTCCCGTATATTGCTGCAAACTGGTAGTACTTGGCGATCATCTCATAGTTCCAAGTCATCTTTTTCTTTTCTTTTGAAGAGAGAGAGAATTGAACAGAGAAATGAAGATAAATTAATTGGAATATGATGACTCTGTACGTAAGACCACATATATCAGACTTGTGTTGAGTTTCATATTTTTTTTGGCTATATGGTTTGTTTAACAATGATAATTTTATAGGCAACTTCCTTGCATCTTCCTTTGTGTGTTAAATTTGATTTAAAAAAAAAAAACTATTTTTAAAAAATTTGGGACATCATATTTTTATCTTCCTTTCTTATACTAATTCACCGCATGGTCTTTATATACATTTATAGCTCATATAATCTCTCAGAAAACGTTGTCACAAATTTAAAAGTCACATGTATTATACTATTATATAGCTCATAATCTCTCGGAACCATGCCCAAGATCGAGCCAGGCCATGAAATAAAAGTCAGTATGTAATGTACGTATGAATCATCACTCATGTTACTTTACTTTCCTCACACACACCAAAATGACGGAATGGAATTATAATTTTGTAGTCTCTTTTGTAGAGTTACTACAAATTGAGGTTTATGATGAATAACATGAATATCAAAATTCCCAACTAATTTACACAAAAAAATCGCTATTTTCTATTTTGATTGGCTTTTTTTATGTGGCTTCGCTTTGGTTTGGATTGGTTAAACCGGACTGACCATCCCTTTCGATAGGATTATCTATCTTTATGTTAATTTGCGATTTACCTTATATTTCGGTTATATTGCATATGTTCCCTATAAGGTAAAGAAGCTTCCAAATTCAGTCCTCTGTATAAAAAACATTTTGGTTCTTCCTCCTTAAGTTCAAACTTTTTCATTCCATGCTCAAACTTTAAAATGTAGGTGCTGTATCGAAGAGAAAAATGGATCTATTTACAAATTCAAAACAAATCAGGCGAAAAACCAAAATTTACAAAGCAAAAAATGGAAAGAGTTTACTAAGCGACGAACTAATTAATGCGCATGTGATTCTGCAACGCAGCATGTCAACTTCAAACTTTTTTTTGTTCTGTTACAGTGACTTTTCTTGTTTCGACTTTTACTCTCTATACAACTTCTAATGACTAAAGTCACGTTAACATGTCACTATGGAAAAATTAATCGGACGGTAAAAATAAGGATAAAAAAACATGTCATGTCCAGTTGGTATTCATTAAGCATTTGTTATAAGAAGTTGTAGCATATTAGTTTGGATTCGTGTCTACGTTTTAAGAGCACTCAAAAAGTGGAACTCCAGGTGATTTATTTGTAGTTCCAACAAGTTATGCGGTAGAGCTTGTAATTTGGGAAAATGAATAATCAGCCACTGTTAAGGTTTATTCTTTCGACAAATTTGTGACAAATACATCATTTGTGTGTATTCCAATTAACTTGGGGTGCAAGAAAAGTACCTCCAAGTGTTTGCCCTAAAGTCATAAATCTCACACTTGGTACGTTTACTCTCGGGGCATCACTGCTTCCGCATTATGCTTAATAAAGTTCCGTTCCAACATGTTTTTAATTAGTTACTAGTGAATAATGGTAAATTTCCCATTTTCAAAGCTTCTTTACAACTTCTAGTCTTCTACTACAGCTAAATTCAGCAATTTACTATTTTTCCCGATAAATTCCATCAATCAACCACGTATATCTTATATGCTACAAACTAATATTTGACACATCGCAACTTTTCTTGTCATGTTTTTTTTATTGAAAAACGTTCGAATTTATATAATCCAAAGGTAAACGATAAGCTATCAACATGTTCACGCCAGGAAAATATAAATCAAAACAGATATTTTAATAACACGAATTAATCAATCTTCAAGTAAGAGCTACACAATAGTCTTCAAATCTTCAATGAATCTATGATAATCGTATAACCAAGAGCTGCACAATGTGGCATACATGCTTTTGTGATATGGTTCATATTCTATTAATACAACAGGGTGAATACTAAATCAATACGATTTCAGTACCGAACATTTCTCCCATAAAGAACGGAGCACAAATACCACCTTGGGATTTCAATACTAAAAATCAATTTAACTTAAATACATGGATAAATACAAATACACCATGGTGAGCATAATTTGAAAATGAATGGGGGATGTACAAATTTAAATGATTGATCTAACAAAATGCGTGGATCAAGAGATTATTAGCTATATATACAATACATATGAATTTTTAGTTTGTGACCATTTTCTTTTGGATTATTAGCTAATAATCTCTTGATCCACGCATTTTGTTGTAGGATATATTTACGAGCAAATCCAACGCTTTCTGGTGCTTTCTCAAGCAAGGAATCACATTTTATATAGAACCCTTAACCCTAGCTAGCGTGGATTGATGATACGAATGAAATGACCCTTTTCTAAGAAGAAAAAAAAAACATAATGTATTGTAGTTGTGTTAGTATTTTACTATTTTAGTAAAGTTGATGTATATTGCATTATTGCATATATTGTTGGGGAAAAAATTGATTAAAACGAATTCTTGTGTTACAATTACCTCAGAAAAGGCCGGCAAAAAAAAAAAATTACCTCGGAAAAGGAAACTTGTTAATTGCATATACATCTTAATTAACAAAAGAAAAGTAATATTTACAGATACGATCACTAATTGCTATAATAGTTATTGCCTTATTGGCGTTATTGTTGCTCACATTTCTGTTTAATGCTTATATATGGAATTTAGTAAAATGTAAAACTTTATTTATGGAAACAAATGATTCGATAATTAATGAGAGATCAAGGAATTTAAATGGTTAATTGATTTAGTTCCTTATATTTTCCTTGAGAGGTGAAGATTTTGCAAGCAGATCAGAGCAGAGAGACGCAATAATTCAATGGAAGCAGAGAAACGCGTGGCGATTGCTTCATCATCACAAAGAAAGAGAAAGAGAAGAATAATAAGGAAAAGAAGAAGAAGAAACGAGAAGCGAATGATTGCACCATCATCACTACCAAAGGATGTCGTGGAGGAAATCTTCTTGCGACTTCCGGTAAAAGCCCTAATCCGACTGAAGTCACTCTCAAAACAGTGGAGATCCACGATCAACTCTCTCTCTTTCAAAGAGAGACACTTGAAGATCGCCGAGCGAACTCGCGTGGATCATCCCAAAGTCATAATCATCTCCGAAGAAAATCCCCTCACCGGGATTCCTGGGGTTTTTCGTCAAGACACAGACATTAGTTTTAGGACATTCTGCGTGGAATCGTCTTCTCATCTATCCTTTGTTCTTATCAATTTCCCTCAAGGGTTCTTCCACTGGAGCTTCGTTTCTGAAAACTGCGATGGCCTTTTCTGCATCCATTCCCCTTATTCGCCCTCCATATATGTAATTAATCCGGCTATACGGTGGCTTCGACAACTTCCTCCAGCTAGGTTTCAGATTTTGATGCAAAACTTTTACCCGAATCCACAAGATATGAAACACACGGATTCAGTGTTTCATCTAGCTTTCGTGAAGGCCAGTGATTACAAATTAGTGTGGCTGTATAATTCTGATAAGTACAATGTTGATTCTTCGAGTCCAAACGAGGGAGTTACCAAGTGTGAGGTTTTTGACTTTAGGGCAAACGCCTGGAGGTACTTGGCTTGCACTCCAAGTTACCGTATATTTCATGACCAAAAGCCAGCCTATGCAAACGGGTCGTTATATTGGTTCACGGAACCATATAAAGCGAGAATCAAAATAGTGGCTTTTGATATCAAGACTGAAAGATTCAGGTTGCTCCCTAAGATTATTCCGGCGATTGCTGCTTCAGATCCTCACCATATTGACATGTGCGCTCTGGACAATCGTTTGTGTATGTCGAAAAGGGAGAAAGATACGATGATCCAAGATATTTGGAGGTTGAAACCATCAGAAGACACGTGGGAGAAGATTTTGAGCATAGATTTGCTTTCTTGTTCTTCTTCCGGCCGGACTAAGTTTCGAGATGGGTTTAACTGGAGCCGGAAGGATAAGGTTGAGCCATCCACACCGGTGGCGGTATGCAAGAACAAAACGATCTTGCTCTCACATTGCTATTCCCGCGGTCTGGTAAAATATGATCCCCTCTCAAAGTCCCTAGAGTCCATTTACCTAAGAGGTACTTCTAGGAGAAAAGTTACTTATTTTCCGAGTTTGATCTCTCATATCTAAAACCTTTCTTACTTACCTACTAGCTTTAATGTGTTTGGAAGCTCGGTAAGAAACATAGCATTTCTTCTGTTTGAGTTCTTTTATATATTCTTCTTCAAAGAATTGGTTGTATATTGTCCGTACCACATCATAATTTGATATATTGATATATCGGGATTAACATTGTACAGTAATATTAGTAGTCAAAACAAGAAGATAACGACTAAATATATGAGCTGCTTGTGTGAATGAAAATATGAAATGGAACAATCTAAACTTATGAGATGCCTAAGAAGTTATAAGAAAGAACAGATATGTAGATTTAGTTAGATTGAGCCATTGGGCCTGTATAGAATTTATCACCAGGGTGATGTTTGAATTTCAGCAAACTTTCTTTGTTTGGTTTAGTCACCTAGTAATAAAATAATGTTTTGGTTTACTCATAGCCATTCCGGTTTCGGTTCACATGCAATTATCAGTGATCATAGCCATTCCGGTTTCGGTTCAACAGCCACACAATGATTAAATAAAAATAATTAAGAATTTAAAGTAATAAACTGATGGATTTTATGAGTACTACGCGGTTAACTATGAGAATTCGGCTAATCACATGGAAATATATAGAAGTATATGTATTACCGTGATATACAAGCTAACATAACTTATGTAGATTATATTTATATTATATCCCTATACTTTTAAATTAATGCGAAAAAACCCCGTACTAAAACAATATGCTCTGTAGTATACTTTATAGCCATACCACTTATATTAATTGATTTTTCATGGGATAAAAGAAGAGTATAGGGATCTATTTGAAGTTTGTACGTTTCTTTCATATAAAGGAATATAAATCTCGTACAAACGTCAAATCATAGTTCTCTCTCTCTCACTTTCTCAAGTCCCAACTTCAAAATCCAAATCGTTTTCAACTCTCTTTGAGTACGCTTGATATAGCGATCGCGAGGGAGCTAGTGAGTGATTCAACGTGCGAATTAAGCTAAATGGGAGTATATTGCGACGAAGACATAACTATGCCGGTTTACTCCGCGGTCGGTGCTCGGACGAACGAGCTCTTGCTAGGCAATCATGTCTACGACAAACGTTCACGGAAACGTCATCTACGCTTTTGTCTAACTTAATAAAAAACGACGGCGTTTTCAGTGTGTAAGTTTAATGGGCCGAACTTTTCCACCAAACTTAATAAAGCCCAATATTCTCACCAATTTAAGATTAAATAATACTAGTAATTATGGGATTACGATAGTAATTAGACGAGTGAGTTAGTAGCCAAAACAAGAAGATAAACGACTACATAATAACGAAAGCAGCTTGTGTGTATGAAAATATGAATTTCCTAAAAAAGGTTATAATTAGAAAGAACAAAATAATGGATTTTAATCGAGTCAGTCCATCAACGTAAATTGCAAGAACCTAAAACTTATTTGGATCGTCTTCCCAAAACATCCCCTGATTTCACCGTCAAATTAACAAAACTTTTTGATTGTAATATCGTTGAAACTTGAAAGGAACTACAAATCCTTAAACCTCTCTGGAAAAATGTAATTAGATGTGACTTTAGCAAGGAACATTTGACATCCAGACACATATTTCACACTTTCATTGTTTTATAAAGGGAAAGTTGAAAACCTTCTTCACTTCTGTTTTTTGGCATTTGGATTGCTCCAGTCCTTCTTTCTCTTGGTTGCCTTCTCCAGTTTCGATGCTTCTTTTTGGACCTCAGCCTCTTCCACGCCAAGATCCTCTGCGATCTTCTTGATCATATTCTTCCCCCCATGCTTTACTACTGCGTCGTAATACTTACGGATCATGGCATCGTTCCAGGTCATGGTTGCTTTTTTTTTTCAATCTGAAGATCAAAAGGAGAGAAACGTAAGACAGAGAAAGGAAATGGAAGAATTAATGGGGATGAAGATGTGAAAATGGAACACCAAGATGCCAATATATACGAAATGGCAAAGAAACGAAAATGTATATTATATTTATGATGTCATTCTTCAGATGAGGTAAATGATTCAACCTCATGTTTTCATATTTCTTCTTTTTTCAATTTTTATCTTAGAGATGAAAAAATAGAATCAGACAATGACATGTTTTAAATAAAAATAACCGACTACTTTTTCCAATTTTTGTTTTAAATATTTTTCACGAAAAAAACAATAAAAAAGTGTTCAACCAGAGCGGAATATGATGACTCTGTAAACCGGACTAACATCCTTTCAATAGAATTATCTACCTTTATGTTAATTTTGCGATTTACCTTATATTTCGGTTTATTGCGTATGTTCCCTGTAAGGTGATCGAAGCTTTCAAATTCTATTAAAAACGTTTTGGATCTTTCTCCTTAAGTTCAATCTTTTTTTCATTCCATGCTCAAGCTTTATAATGCAATAGCTGTATGAAGGGAAAAAAGGATCTATTTTACAAATTCAAAACAAATCAGGCGAAAAACCAAAATTTACAAAGCAAAAGATGAAAAATGAAAACAATAATTCAGAGTTAACGGTTAGTCTTACTAATTAATGTGCATGTGATCTGCAACGCATGTCAACATCAACCTTTTTTTTTCTGTTAGAGTGAATTTTCTACTTTCGACCTTCACGCTCTATACAACTTCTTATGATCTGAATAATTTGGATAGTCTTCAATGAATCTATGATAATCGTATAACCAAGAGCTGCACAATGTGGCATACATACTTTTGTGATATGGTCCATATTCTATTAATACAACAGGGTGAATACTAAATCAATACGATTTCAATACCGATCATTTCTCCCATAAAGAACGGAGCACAAATACCACCTTGAGATTTCAATACTAAAAATCAGTTTAACTTAAATACATGGATAAATACAAATACACAATGGTGAGCATAATTTGAAAATGAATGGGGGATGTAAAAATTTAAATGATTGATCTAACAAAATGCGTGGATCAAGAGATTTATTAGCTATATATACAATACATATGAATTTTTAGTTTGTGACCATTTTCTTTTGGATTATTAGCTAATAATCTCTTGATCCACGCATTTTGTTGTAGGATATATTTACGAGCGAATCCAACGCTTTCTGGTGCCTTCTCAAGCAAGAAATCACATTTTATAGAACCCTTAACTCTAGCTAGCTTTCCCAAAGTGATAGCTTTATAGTTTATATACAAGTATGAAGTACGTATGAACACAAAAAAATAGAAGCAATTCAACTTTTTTTCTTTCTCTCTTCAGAAAGCGATGAAATTATTTGAGTCGACGGACCGGGACGCAATATAGTAGCGGCTGTTTCCAGCGTGAAACCAAGAAACCAACCGTCGTGGGCTAAATCAAGCTTTGCTTAACCCTTAAAAAAAATGCAGGATCATTAGAATGAACCTATCGGATGGAACCACATAAGTATTGTCGCATGTGTCAGGTGTGCGGTAAGGTACAAATATATGAAATTTAAATGAGAATAAATTTAGAAACCTTCTCGAAAGTAATAAAACTATGATAATCTCTGACAAGTCACCGTTTCCACGCTATGGCGGGAAGGTGACGCAATGGATTTCACTTAAACCAAAATTTAACATTCATACCAATTTTTTTTACGTAAACCTCATTCATTTACACAGGCTGAGGCTGTTATACACCATATATGGTGAGCATAATTTGGAAATTAATGAGGGATGTACAGATTGAAATATTGATCTAATAACAAAATTCGTGAATCAACAGATCAAGATTGATGTGTTTGGAAGCTCGTACAGAAACAGAACGTTTCTTCTGTTTGAATTTCTTATATTTTCTTCCCCAAATAATTGGTTGTACAGTACTTGGACTTGAGATATTTGTATTTTTTTTCCCCAAAGATTTTTGATTTCTCTACGCTTTTGCCTAACTAAGGAAACGACGGCGTGTTCAAGGTGTAAGTTCTTTTGATAACCTTAATGGGCCGAGCCTTTCTCCCCAACCTTAATAAAGCTTAATATTCTCACCAATTTCAGATTAAAAAACACATTAACTGAACTTGAAGATTGAGGACCTCTCCTTAACAAAACGAAAGTTTTGCTTTTCTGTTTTGGAAAAGAGAAAACGAAGTAAGGTAACATTAGTAACTGAAAAGATTTACAAATGGTACAAAGACATTCGAAAAAAGGTCCATAACCTAACACACTTTTGCTACGTGTAGCCAAAATGATCATAGAAAAGGTGCAAAGATCCGAGCATGGACCGGTGAAAGGGATCAGAAAGATTAGGTTTCCAAAAATTTGTCACTCTCCTTTTTCAGAAACTATGTTCACGCCACAGAGAAACAGTGGATGTCTCACTTGGCTTGCAGTGAAATCTTTTGAATAAGTAGTTAAAATTTTTAGTTTCTTATATTAATTTGATTTTTATTTCCAAGCATACTCGACCGTGTGAGCATTATTTTTGAAAGATTATATGGTTAGCAACTTAGCACTCAAAGCAACGGTAGAAGGTCTCCTTCTATAAAGATATTTTGTAAAACGTTCTCGTACATTTTGTATTTCTTCTTTGTCGTTAATGAAGCTCACATTAAAAAAAATCAAGAGACAAGTTAAAGCTTAACCTCCTGCTTTCGTATATGATATATACATAATGCATGTACGTATATGCTTTCAGTCTAGTTTAGACCATATCCTGACCTGTTAACCTTAAATCCATCCTAATAATTCGATCCTTTGATAATTGTTCGTTTTATACCTAGGTTTCCTCACGTCGAACCTTTAATTTAGTGGATAAAAAGGGTTTCAAAGTAGAAAGAAAACGTTGAATCAAAAGTAAAAAGGGCAAGGGTAAGGCTCACTAGCTTGCTTGAAGAACAACAACAATAATAAGAATAGGTTAACTCAAAGACAACTATATATAATGGAACAAAACTTTTAAAGGACAAGAAAACGTTTAACATATGAGAGATCGACCTTTGTTTTTTATCAAAAAAAAAGAGAGATCGACCTTTGTAAATAGAAAACAACTCTTCCGTAGTGAAAATGTATGGGAAATACATTGATACTCATACTCCTCGAGCCTTATAATCTACCATTTCCTATCATTAGTTAACTAACCTTGTGGTACTCTTATTTAATTTATACAATATGCATGAAAAACTGTAGAACCTAACGGAAAAAAAACATCATTTTGTTTATTTTTTTAATGAAAAGATCTAATAGGCTGTCATACAATTTAAGTTTAGTTTAGATTCAAATAAATTCATTTTCTCTCTGTTTCGTTTTGTGTGTCCACGTCTACTTAAAAGGAATGGGTTTAGTCTTTGGTTTACTTGATATTATGGTTTTGACAAAAAAGTGATATTGTGGTTTTGGTTTTGGTTTTGTTTTTTCTTTCTCTACGCTAAACTGCGACGTTTACGAGTTATAATGATAGTATATGTACAATTTTTGTGTGGTATGTGTAATCAGCTTAATTGTGCCTATAATTCTATTGATACATTATATTTAATCTAAAGTTAAAAGGAATGAAAGATATAATCTAAGGTTATGCATGTGCAAGTAAGCCTTTTTATGGCTAAGTCCAGGGACGTAAAAATAAATATAGAATTCCTATAATGTGTTTTCACCTTCTATATAATGTATCAGCCAAATGTGATTTTCTCTTTTCATCACAAAAATCCTTATTAAACTATTACACACAAAAAAAAACTAAAAGAAAAATGTCTTTCTTCCTATGGTCAGTGGGGTGATGAGATGATACAGAAATATTATGCTGCTCTCGGCAGATGCAGTTCTAAAATTGAAGTGAAGAAGATCGCCGAGTATATTCAAGAGAATGATGAGTCTACTTGGAGGTTTTTTGTGTTTCCAACTTCGTCCTATGTATTGTTTTTCGAAGGTGTGATACTAAATGGACGGATCCGTTTATCAAAACGCCCAATTAGACCCTTTTAGATTTTAGGCCTGTTTAAACATTAGAAAAAATGTCGATATTTCGAATTTGATGAAAAATAGTAATAAAACAAGGTTTTTTCAACAATAGTAATGAGACCGTCTCATTCACACCACTAGAACGAAGCAAAGACAATGAACAAGCGAAGACATCTTTCTTCTTCTTCTCCTTCTGTCATGAACGAAGATGAAGACAAAAGAAACCAAGAAGAAGCAGCTTCTATAGGTCCCTGTTCCAAAGCTATAAAATTTGTATAAGGTTCACAATGAGATTCTTCATCTTATAGAACCAAACGGGAAAAAAAAACTTTAATTTGTTTATTTTTTCAATAAGATGTAGTATGCTTTCATACAATTTAAGTGTAGTTTCATTTTCTCTCTGTTTCGTTTTTGTGTGTCCACGATAGAATAATACTGGGTTTAGTCTTTGGTTTACTTCAGCAAAACATGTTTTATTAGTGAGGCAAAGTACACGCGTTCTTCCACTTTGGAGCTTTTTGTCTATATTCGCTTTAACTATTTATTCCGAAAGCTGATACAAATTTACAATTGAATGAAAGAGACTTTTAATTTATATTCAAATATACAAAAAGCCATCCCAACTCAATGTTTAATTATACTAAAGCTTATTTAACAAGGAAAAACGACTTAAATTAATTTTGTTATTAAGAAAGAAACGAAATTTTCTTCAACATGATTAATATATTTAAATAAAGCAGGTAACCGTGAACAAAAAATCAAAAAGGCAAAAGAAAAAAGCAGAGAGAGAGAGAGAAAGAGAAAGAAGAAGTGAGACTTGTGTTCTTCCGGTGTTTAGCTTCTTTCTTTGGCTTTTTGTCTTTTAGGTTCTTGCCTTTTCCCGATCAATCAGACCAATCTCTCACTTTTGGCATCTTCGTCTTTCCTCTTATTCTCTCTTTCGTTCTTTCTTATTTATAATTTCCGGGGAATTTTTCAACCGAGTCCTTGTTGTAATCCCAGAGAGAAAGAGAGAGAGATGTATAATCAGTTGACAATATCTTCTTCTTCATCATCATCGTCTTCTTCGTACTATGAATCGTTGAAGATTTTGGAAGCTGATGTTCAACACGCAAACACCTTGTAAGTCCTTTTCTGGGTTTTGTCTCTTCTCTCCGAAAGTTTAAAACTTCAAAATCGTTATAGCTTTGATTAGTTGAGCTACAAAGTAGGTGAAAATATTGAAAACCCAGCTGAGAATTTTAGTTAGGTTCGGTCATTTTCTGGGAAAAAATTGGGTTATTTTAGGAAACTCCGACAAGTTTTTAGTTTAATTATGTAAAAGCTACTGGAGATTGTATCAATCACAAAATGGAAAATTCTTGAAAATTATAATTTCACCAAATCTACAAGCTAATTTTGCTCAGGATTGTAACAAGTGGAGTTGTTGTTGATTATTGCGCATGTTCTGTTCGCTGAATTGTCTCTGAGAATTTTTGAGCTTAATCGTTTCAGGGCAGAAGCAATTCCAATGGGGAAGAACAATGTGCGACTTCAGATGAAACTAGTTCATAGTAACTTTGCTTCACTGTTACTGATCTTACTTCGGTGGATTGATCTTTCTTGCTCCTGTTTCGTTCCTCGCTACTTAAACCTCTTCCATGTCCTTGTCTACAAGGTTAGTTCTTGTCCTTATCTTGTCAAAGTGTCTTCCTTTCAATGTTTTGACTGAAAATTTCTCCTTTTTCGCCATTGTTGTTTGTATAGGTTCATTCTGATGGACAACCTAAGCTTACCACACACGGAAGGAAAGCAACAATCAGTGAGTTCTATGGTGTGATACTACCATCACTTCAGCTATTACACAGCAACTTAGACGAGTTGGAAACCGGAGACATTGGGTTTGATCTTAAAAGACTCAGCAAGAAGATAACTAAAGAGGCTCGCAGTGGTAGTAGTAGATTCACCAGTGCAGGGTTAGAGCGTGAGGAAGAGTGTGGAATCTGTTTAGAGACTTGCACCAAAATGGTGTTGCCTAATTGCTGCCACTCTATGTGCATCAAATGCTACCGCAATTGGTACACACACACTACACTTTAAGACTTTTTTTTTAAGTGATGAAGGAGCTTTTCTTTACCAAATCTTCCATTGATTCTACATCTGCAGGAACTTGAAGTCTCAGTCGTGTCCGTTTTGTCGAGGCAGCATGAAGAGAGTGAACTCAGAGGATTTGTGGGTTCTTGCTGGTGATCACGACGTGGTGGATGCAAGGACTGCTTCAAGGGAAGATTTGTTCAGATTCTACCTCTACATCAACAGCCTTCCCAAGGATTATCCAGAAGCTCTCTTCTTGGTTTACTACGAGTACTCAAATCTGATTTAGAAGAATCTGGACAAAAACAAAACCTTGTACAGATTTTTAGAAGGTAATATATGTATTGTGTAGAATGTTTAGGCTTTTGGGGTGATTTGATGCAAAATTCCAAAGCTCTCAGCATTTTTACATGCTTTACAATTGTGAAATGCGACGGAAATAAAAAGCAATAAAATTCTCTCTCTTCATCTAAACCCAAAATGACACAAAAAAAAACTCTCTAATGAGGATGTTTGCAGTAACAAATGAAGAACCTTTCACAAGAACAAAACATAGTTTACAAATATATGCTTTGTCTCAAAAGACTGTTTATCAGCAAACAAACTATATAGGAAAACATTGTATCAAATACTTTTGATGATAGGTAGATTGAAGTAAGTAGGCAAGAGAGAGAGACACGAATAACATTTGAGAGGTCCTCTTTTTCAGTCTCCTCGTCTTCTCTTTCCATAGTCTGCATCTCTTGACCTGGACCTATGATCATCTTCTGCCATTCTTGACCTGCTTCGAGACTTCATAGAAGACTGTCCTCTATCAAACTCATCAGAATCACGGTCTCTCTGCTGCTTATACTCACGGTGGCTATCTTTCTCTTCACGGTGACTCTTGTGTCTCCTATCACCACCGCTGCTCTCAGAATGAGACCAGTCGCGTTCCGTGGTAGCCCGCTCTTTCTCACGTGACGGCGGCTTCTCTTCTTTCTCCTGGTTCTCATCTTCATAGCCACCATATTCAGAACCACCGTCTTCACCACCACCACCACCTCCTCCTCCATTAGCCTCGTTCCACATTGCAGCTGCATGAGCTCCATTCATCCCCGAGCTAGCCATCGTTCCCATCCCCGTGCCGAAAAAAGCCGGATTAACATGAGGAGCAATCCCAACCATTCCCATTGCATTGACACCGGGATAAGAAGGCATCCCTGGGTAAGCAAGACCTGAGAATCCTCCATAGCCAGCACCACGACCCATGAATGTAGGATCAAACCCACCAGCTCCCATCATACCCTGTGGATGCATCATATTACCAAAAGATGGACCAGCGAGTCCAGGCCCATACGGTCCAGCACCAGACCCGTTAGCCATGTTGTTGTTCATCCCTCTACCTCTCATTGCACCACCACCCCAAGGACGGTTTCCCATTCCTTGACCCCCACGTGCAAATCCACCACCTCTCCCGTAGTTTCTTCCACCATCTCCATTTTGTGTATTCATGTTGTTGTTGTTATTGTTACCTCTTCCCATTCCTTCATTGAGAGGCCTTCTGTTCTGAATCTGGTTTTGTCCTTGGTTCCTCCCTGTGAAGTTAGCTCCCATCTGCTTCAACGTCTCAGGAGAAGCAAAGGCCACAACACAAGCTTTCCCATTGAAAACAAAACCATTCATTCCTTCTTTGCAAGCAGCTGCAGCAGATGAATCATAAAACTCAACCTGACAATACCCTTTAGATTTGCCACTTACTCTCTCGTCGAAAAACTTGATCTCTTTGACTCTTCCGTACTGATTAAGTACACTCTCAATCTCTGCATCCGTCGTCCACCAGTGTAACTCCCCAACGAAAAGCATAGTGTTCCCATTGTCCACAACAAACGGCTGCGTCGGGCTTCTGTTCACCATTACATTGGGATTCACACTCATCTGGCTAACAGGAATCTGCTGAGCACCTTGAGGAGGAGGAGCACCATAGGAGTTATGATGCACAGGTACCTCAGGCGGCGCATTCACAGCGTTCCCTGAATAACCATGGCTGTTTAACACAATCGACGTTGATCCTCCTTTTGCTCCAAAGGAAGATGCTTGTGGATAAACATCTGATCTCGTCTCTGGTCCACTGATTCCATTATGCCCTCCATCATTTCGATACTTCCCTTCAACTGTACCTCCGGTTACATTCGCCATTCTCGGTTCAGCAACATTACTACTCTGAGCTTGAACACTTCCACCACCTGAGCCACCGACTTGGGGTGGTGGTGCTTGAGGCGGCTGATGATGAGCTTGGAAGAAGCTCTCACCAACATTAACATCGCTGTAGAGATCATCATAGTCATCATCTTCTCCCATTAGTTCTTCATCAGCTAGAGCAGGGATAGTTCCACTTCCTTGATGTAGTAGCTTCTGGTTACCTCCATAACCGACGTTTTCTTCAGTCATTGGATTTACACAAACTGGCCAGAAAATACAAGAAGAATTAAAATGAAAGCATTAGGTTACATAAACAATCTTACTATATAGCCTCTCTTACATGCTTTTCTATATCAAGAACTTAAAACAACAGAGATTACGAATCTGCCAATTCAATTAGGCTATGATTCTTTACACACCATTGATGAACATCAAAGTAGATATGTGTATGTGTAATCAGATCAAAAGTTAAACTCTTTTTCACAAGTCCAAATAAGAAAAACAGGAATTTTAGCTCACAGATCTGAAATTTTGGGATCTAGCTCTTTATTAATCGATTTAAACAAGGATGTTACAAGATTCATATTACAAATAGAAGAGATTGGATTACATATAGTAGTGTAATTTACAATGAAAAAGGCGAAACATATGGATGAATCTCTAACATTGGGGTATCGTACAAAAACGAAAGGAAATAAACAGATCTACGAGGAGAATTACAATTCAAAAGATACTAAGAACATCGATTTAAACCCTAGAAAGCCTCGAAATCGATTGGCCTCGTGAAATCGAGGATCGAAAGGAAAAGGGAAAACCTACGCTTGCTTACTTTTACTCTTGCTGCTGCTGGGCTTCTTCCGTCTACGGAAATTGAGACTCCGATGAGCTCAGGAATTGTTTTCCCCGCGAGAATCTGAGCTCCCCCGTGAAATTTCAGCGAAAAGTTGTGTTGAGAGATCGGAGGGAGAGTCGTCTTCGTCGAGGCTCGAGAGTTATTTTCTTATCCGATAGGAACAATTGAAACTATGGCTTCACCGTGTGTCCTTTTTCTTTTTATTGTCAACAGTCATGACAAACTATTTTAGTTACACGCGAATATACAAGTATATCTTTTATTAAAGTAATTTATTCGTATATATTTATATTTGACATTTTCATGTCTCAAGAGTCAAGACTCAACTTTCAACGCATATATTTTTGTATATATATTTATACGAAATATCAAAAATATGAATCTCCTTTTGCAAGTATTGCTTTAACTCTTTTCAATTTTGGTCTACAGCGCAATTTTTGTTTTTTTTAAAGAATTTAGTAGATTTTCAAAATTTTAAGAACAAAGTAGATTTTCTATGGAATTTAATGCCGTGCGTAAAGTTTCTTTTGCTTTTGTCTGAAAAATATGACTTCCTCTACATCAGGCCTAGCTTACAGCCTTACACTTTACTTTTTATTTGTTTGTTATGAAGCCGAAAGCCGAAAGCCAAATAGCTTGAAAAGTAACTAAAATTGAGAATATTATTTCTTCAGATAGATAAACATTCACAGGAACTAAGAGTCTAAGACCAATGCTGATGAGTTATTAACGAAACAGCTTATTTTATTTCAATACATTCCCTTAAACACCGGATTTGTACGGCATATGCTTGCTCCATATTCCTCATACTCCTCTTTCGTTCTGCAACTCTGCAACAACAACAAAAACCACACCGATTGTTTCAAACCGATCAAGCCATGTGGTCTTTGTTTCTGTAAATTTGAACTGGAGAGAAAGTTTTACATACCGCGAAAAACTCAGGAGTTGATGAAAGCACAGAGCCTCCAAACCAAACTGCAAACTTCTGGACAGGATGGCTCACGACGTTAACCTCCACAGGTTGAGACTGTGGTTATACACAATAAGACAATGGAACCAGAGATTGTTATATCTGATCTCTTTTCTTGTACTTTGAGATAAAAAATCATTCAAAGTTTTTACCGTAATTTCACCACCGGTACGTGCGTTATTAGCAAGAACACGAGCATCAACAATCTTCTTAAGATCTCTCTGTAACCTTCTTCCGAAATCTTTGAACATAGTTGAACCTCCGGACAACACTATATTCTGAAATAGTTACAGAAAATTCATCAGCGGACTGGAAATAACTTAAAAGTCTGACCAATCTTGTGTTTCAGACCTTATATAAAGCTCTACGTGTGTCAATTGGTGCAGACTGAATACATTTGTCTATCACAGCTGGTAAAGTAGTCGTGAAGTCATTGCTGTATATCTCTGGATTAAAGAAAACCTGCAACACAAAAATCTCAACATTACTCAACGGCAACAGCAGAACCATTCACTAATCAGAAGAGAGAGCTATAAATATCTGATGATTGATTACAAATCATGAACAGCTGACTTATTTTAACAGAGAAAATGGTAACAAACCTCGGGTCCAAGGAATCGTTCGTATCCCACGTCACAAGTGTATGGTGCACCTGTCTTTGGCTTAACACCTTTCCATTGTTTAATAAACTTTGCCGGTTCTTTGTCGTGTTTATTAAACTCCTGCAACCATATGAAATGTTCAGTGATCTTTATCAATTCTCCTGTGTTCAAGTTCAATATCAAGCGTTTTCAGCATATAGGCACAAAAGCATTTACCTTTACAATGTCTGAACTAGTGTAGCAGTACATTTCCTTCACTTTACGGGCTACATCGAATGAATCTTCAGGTGGTATGTTCTCACCTCTTTCCTATAGAAATATTAAAATGAGAAATTCCATTAACTTAAACCAATAAGCACTCTCTCTAAGTATAGAGCACAGCATCCAACAAAAATAAACAGGACAACGAGCTACCATATGGTAAAAAAAATTTGGGTTTTACTCATGTAGCCAAAGAAGTAACTTTGACAACTTACGGTTTCACAAAAGAAGACCAAAGATAAATTAGTGCATCATACCCGCATGAGTTGCTGGATAAAGAGAGTGACGTCTTTGCCAGCAATCGGAATCGTCTTGATACAGCTCGCAATAACATAACCTTCTGCAACAGGTACAACGCGAGTTGCCCCATCCCCAACGTCTACTACAACCCCTGTCATCTCACACTAAGAATAACTGTAAGTCAAATTAAGAGACGAGCATAACAAGCCACAACATTTTCAAAATTTGCTAAATCACATAAACCTAAGAAACTGTCTAGTCTTGGATTAGATACACTATCAAGCATTAACTACATGGAAAACAAATACATTGTCCAATACCTCGAATTTAAAGACTCAGACTCAGACAGTCCACAAGCAAACTTAACAGAAGAAAATAGCCAAATGCAGATAATAAAATAGACAATGGTCGACCTACCTTTGATGTAGTGTACCCAGCTGCAAGTGCAAGCACTGAATTAACAGCAATGTAAAGCCCAGGGACATTGAAAGTCTCAAACAAAATCTCTCCTGTATACTCTCGGCTCTCAGGAGGAGTGAGAGGGCTTTCAGTGAGAAGAAAGTAATGATCTTCAGGATCACATCTCAGATAATTGAATATACACTGCTGCCAATATCTCTCCATAGCATCCCAATCCTCAACTTGACCATGCTCAATCGGATAATGAAGATTATGTGTACTACTAGACCGTGATTTCGTAATAGCTTCATCGCCGATGAAGAAATCCAGATCCGCCGCAACTCCGGCGTTGTACTGAGCTGACAAATTTCCTTTTAAGGAGCTCTTGGATTGATTCAAAAACGACTCGTTCACTGCGACTGTCGTTGGGAGGATGAAGCATGGCTCTACGTTACCCGCAAATCCCATTTTCGTGTACCTGAAAGATAACACACGCGAGCAAATGAGAGAACGAATCGCGAAAAGGAAGAGAATCTGGTTGAGGCATTTCCTCAAACACGTTTAGCGCAGAAATGAAATCGGATCGAAATTATAATCAACGTACCCGGTCCCATTGTCGATGACAACGGCGGGTCGAGAAGTCGGATCCATTAACAGAAACTACGCCGGCGATATAGTAATCGAAGACAGCTCGCCGGACGGTGACGGTGAAGGATCTGCGACTGAGATCCGAAACAGTGTTCCAATTAGAGAACGATAATCGCTATACGTAGACACTATAGACCTCTATTACGATCTGTCTCGCATAATCAAGGATCAAAAGAGAACCTATGGTTGCTTCTTCTCGCGCCCTCCGTCAACGGAAGTTGAGTTTCCGACAAGCTACCACGTCCATTCGATGACAACTCGGGTCGAGAAGATCCATTAACAGAAACTACGCCGGCGATATAGTAATCGAAGACAGCTCGCCGGACGGTGACGGTGAAGGATCTGCGACTGAGATCCGAAACAGTGTTCCAATTAGAGAACGATAATCGCTATACGTAGACACTATAGACCTCTATTACGATCTGTCTCGCATAATCAAGGATCAAAAGAGAACCTATGGTTGCTTCTTCTCGCGCCCTCCGTCAACGGAAGTTGAGTTTCCGACAAGCTACCACGTAATTCTCACTCGTAGGCTCTGATAAAACAATGTAGGGGAGAGTAAAATGTTAATAGTTTTCCCGGAAAATCAGAGATTCACGTGAAATTCGGTGAAACCTTTGTTCAGATTTCAGAACTTCAGATCATGGGGAAAGTCGCCGTCGTCGATGTGTACTACTTTATCGTGTGAGAATTTTTCAGATAGAATACAAATGGACTACTGTTTTTAATTTTACTTTTTATACTTTGTCTTCGTCACATGGTTAAATCGGTTTAACTGAACCAAAACTGAATCATTTAAACCAAATTAAAATGAAAAAGACTAGATACGATTTGGTCTCAACTATAGTTCTACATCAGAAACGAGACGTTGATCATCATCGTCATTTATATGATAATTTTGAACAAATAAATGTATTTTATGTGAAAGAAACAAGGGAAAAGGGTAAAAAAGAACATGATCATCCAATTCTTTATTAACTTAAACGATGATAGTCTATATATGCGATTAACTTTAAACCAAACAAAACTTTATTAACTCAACCAAATTAAACTGAAAAAGACTATATATATACGATTTGGTTTCAGTTAAATTTCTACACCAGAAACGATATACGTTGATAATCATCATCATTTCTATGATAATTTTGAACAAATATATGTATTTTATGTGAAAGATACAAGAAAAATGGGTAAAAAAGAAGATGATAGTCCATTTCTTAGTTAATTCTATTGATTACTATGTATACTGTATACAGTTACTGTTAATCCTATTGAATGCGATGTGTAGTTGAAGACAAGACGAGAACAATCTTAGATCCCAAGCGATAAAGACGTTTCAACCAACGGCGCAAAACCTATAGGGATTAGGGGTATTTGGGTTTTGATTTGGTTCAGTTACTATACAGTTTGGTTTGAGAATTCGTTTTGGAGCCATTTGGTTCAGCTACCTAATCTTTTTTTTTTTCGGATGCTATTTAGTTTTTATTGGTTGATGCTCAAATACAAATAAACAAACGTAGAAATCATTGTAAGATGAAGTCATGACTCATGAAGATCTATAGAAAACGTCAAACACGCAAGGTAAATGATAAACATGGTCAATGAACCCACTTATACGGTTGATGAAACTATTATCTGGTCTACTCTAGTCTACATCTATCATAATTGATTCAAGATTCAAATGATTGTAAAGTCTCTTTAATTACAACACTTACACGGTCTTAAAGAAAATTGTTATATTGACCATGAGGAATTGTGAGAATTATTTAAGATCTTTAAAACTCTTCTGCAATTCATCAATAGAAATATTTCTATGTTTTCTGGTTTTCTTTTTTGACAGCAATGTCTTTTTGAACTCGAAAAACCTTCGTACATGCCATACTAGTAAGAGACACTCTTATAATCCGACGTCAAACCAATTTATTAGACCAATTCCGTGACATTCCATCATGGTTCATATTATAGTGCATGCAAATTGTTTATATTGCATGCAAATTCTTTAAATATCTATCATATCATAAAATATTTCATGAATGTACATGAAAAGTCTTTAACAAAAAAAGAATGTACATGAAAAATATTTCTAGCTTCCATATTATTGCAATCAATAAAAACAACTCCATAAGCTATTTTGTTTTTCCAACATTTCATGTACATACATCATACATTATTTCACACTCATTATGGTCTATATCTACTAATCATTATTCAGTGGATCTGATAAAATTCACATTTCATATACTAGCATTTGTGAGAACCATGAACACCAACATATGGTCCATAAGAAACTCCCATCTAGGCAATCTGCAACACTGAAAAACAACATATGGTCCACATGGTCCATAAGAAATAACACTATCAATCATTATTATATGTTCCATAATAATCTTTATGCAGTACAGTTTTTGTATGAACCTTATTTTGCTTAAAAGATTTATCATCAAATCAATATAGATTTCAGGGTCTTTGACAAAAAATATAGATCTCAGGGTCATAAGATTATAAAACAATTCAACGGTCCAAAAAGTTTTTCTATGGTCATTAAAAAACTATTATACGTATGAAAACACTTCTATGATTTATCAAAACGGTTTTTACAATTTATAGTAACTCCTTAATGGTCTGTGATATTTTTTTGTTTTTATCCATAACAACTTTTCTAAGTCAGTTAATGACTGCAGAAAATCAGAAATCTTTCCAGAGTCTCTAATAAATATAGACTAATAATTGATTAACGGTCTATAAATATCCCCAATACAGTAACATGATATATATTTTAGTTAAAGCTCTCTATACTCAAATAAAAAATATAGTACATGCACAATTGATTATTCGTACCGAATATCAGCCTAGAAATGATGAAAATGGCTGTCTCTATTATTAATTTATGAGATACCGAATATTTTGGTTAATGAGACCAAACAATATTTAAAGACAAAAATACAATGGTAATTTTTGTTTCCGACAGATATGATATGTATATTTTCTGGGTAAATAATAACTACCTACATATCCTCTACTAGCATTGGTCCAGAGAAAACATAATTATGTTGACTCAGAGCATTAATAGTAATTTAATAATTACCTTATTTCACTTTTTTAATTTTTTATATTTTCATGAATTTAAACGATTCAGAGATGCTCCCTCTCTCTCTCTCTGCGCTCTGCACACTGCACAAACACAAAATTTTACTGACCACTGCCTTAATTGGATCTGTGAGCCCTCTCTGACATCCTCCATTATCTCTCTTTACCTTCCTTCTCTCTGCTTTTTTTCTCAGTTCTCTTGTTGATACCTTCTCTGCAATCTCCGACTTAAGTTTCTCCGATCCGTACCGGATCTCGATTCCTCTACTGGAGCTCGATCGTTTACGTTCTGTAATCGCTGTTTTGAGCTCTCCGGTACGGCGTTTCTAGGATCTGGAGCTGAATGTTTGATTTGAAAGGGGATTTTTGATCAATGTTGTTGCTGTTGATTCGATTGTGAGAAATGAATCCTCTCTGCTGCATTGCTCCGGTTTCAATCGACGACCGAACCAACCCCGTGGTGGCGAAATCGGCGGCGAATCAACAGTCTCAGCTAAGTCTCCAAGCTCTCTCAGCTGCGAAACCGAGCAGCAACCACGCTTCTAAGCCGTCCTTCTCGACTCAAGCCTCATGGATCAGCCAGGATCAGCTCGAGAGACTCTCTTCCGAAGTCGCAGCACCTTCCGACGACGTGAATCTCGAAGCTTCTTCAAAAGGAGGTTTCTTCATCGGAAATGGCGTCGGTGCCGGCGGCGGAATCGCCGGGATCATGTATAAGTGGGTGAACTATGGGAAAGGGTGGAGAGCCAGATGGTTCGAGCTGGAAGACGGCGTTTTGTCGTATTATAAGATCCATGGACCGGATAAGATCGTGATGAATCCGTCAAGAGAGAAAGGCGTTAGAGTGATCGGAGAGGAGTCTGTGAGGTACATTAGGAAGGCTAGCTGCGGCAGCAGCAACCGTCTTGGAGCTTCTGCAGCAGCTCCAAGGCCTTGTAAACCATTCGGAGAAGTTCATTTGAAGGTTCCATAACCATTCTTGATATTTACTCTGCATTCGCTTGACCTGTATGCTGAGGTTTGTAGTTGCTTTTATTGTAGGTTTCTTCGATTCGTGCGAGCAAGTCTGATGACAAAAGGCTTGCTATATTTACGGGTACAAAGACTCTTCATTTACGTTGTGTGTCGAGAGAGAGTAGAGCAACCTGGGTAGAGGCATTGCAGGTGGCCAAGGATCTCTTTCCTAGAGTGCCCAGCGGAGACATCTTACCCTCAGAAGATGCGGTTGTTTCGACTGAGAAGTTGCGAGAAAGGTTACTGCAGGAAGGGATCAGTGAGACGGTGGTAAAAGATTGTGAAACCATTATGCTCTCGGAAGTTTCTGTGCTGCAGAACCGGTTTAAAGTTCTCTCGCATAAACACATTATACTACTAGATACACTGAGACAACTAGAGGTATGGTTTACTTTATCTCAACCTTTTCCAATTCTTTGGATGTGAGATTTTGTATTGTAAACATATTGCACACACAACCAGCTTCTTGTTTGTCGTCTGCTTCACTAGTTTTAGAGTTTTTTCCAGCTTCAAATTGATGTGGTTCTTTAAACATCATCTTGTAGACTGAGAAAATAGAGCTGGAGACTACTGTTGTTGATGAAACAAAGGAGCATGACTCTTGCTGTGGACAGGGAAGACGATTTAGTGGTTAGTGTGTATATTCTCTCACACATTTTGAAGTACATATCGAATTGTATGATCAGATGAGCAAGTTTTTAACATCATTGTTCTCCAACAGATTTCTATTCAGTTATGTCAGAGGTATCTGTAAGCGATTCTGAGGCAGATAACGAAAGTCAAGACGGAGGAGATGCTGAATCTGATGAAGACGATGTACCTTTCTTTGATACAAGTGATATCCTATCAGCCGAAGCACTGAGAAGTGCTTCTTATCGTAGCAGAGAAGCAGAAGGAAATGGATCTGTTTACGACAAAGACCCCTTCTTTTCTGACCGCTTGCAAGTTCCGGTTAGGATTCCGCAGTATCCATATGTCAGAAGAAGGGATAATCTACCGGAGCCAAAGGAGAAAGAGAAGCCAGTTGGATTGTGGTCAATCATCAAAGAAAACATTGGCAAAGACTTGTCTGGAGTTTGTCTTCCCGTATACTTTAACGAGCCACTCTCTTCTCTGCAGAAGTGCTTTGAAGATTTGGAGTACTCATACTTGATAGACAGAGCACTTGAGTGGGGCAAACAGGTCAGGTCCCTTAGCCAATGATTCTTCAAGTAGGCGATTTGTTGTGATATGATATATGTTTTAACATTATAGTCTTTTCTCATTTCAGGGCAATGAGTTGATGAGGCTTCTCAACATTGCAGCTTTCGCTGTATCTGGCTATGCGTCAACGGAAGGAAGACAATGCAAGCCTTTTAATCCTCTTCTTGGTGAGACTTATGAAGCTGATTACCCAGATAAAGGACTTCGTTTTTTTTCTGAGAAGGCAAGTCAAGAAAACTATCTCTTTTCTTATTGCAACAGTTTTATTGACAAATCATGCATAAAATGTAAAAGCAACCTCTCACTTTGTTCAGGTGAGTCATCACCCGATGATTGTTGCTTGCCATTGTGAGGGACAAGGTTGGAATTTCTGGGGAGACTCAAACATCAAAGGAAAATTCTGGGGAAGGTCAATCCAGCTTGACCCAGTGGGTGTCTTGACACTAAAGTTTGATGATGGTGAGATATATCAATGGAGCAAGGTTACCACTTCCATATACAACATCATCCTCGGCAAACTTTACTGCGATCACTATGGAACTATGCGCATCAAAGGCGGTGGCAATTATTCCTGCAGGCTGAAGTTCAAGGAGCAATCAGTCATAGATCGAAACCCTCGCCAGGTAAAAAAACTTATAATCTCTAATGTGCTTTAAGCAGTAAATCATCACTGGTTTTTCTAAATCATCTGTGCAGGTTCATGGATTTGTGCAAGACAATAGAACAGGGGAGAAAGTAGCTATATTGATAGGGAAATGGGATGAAGCAATGTACTACGTGTTGGGAGATCCGACAACAAAGCCAAAGGGGTATGATCCGATGACAGAAGCTGTGTTACTGTGGGAAAGAGACAAATCTCCTACAAAGACAAGATACAATCTGTCCCCATTTGCAATCTCTCTTAATGAGATAACTCCTGGGATGATGGACAAACTGCCTCCAACAGATTCAAGACTGAGACCAGACCAAAGACACTTGGAAAACGGTGAATATGAATCAGCAAACGCCGAGAAACTGAGACTTGAACAGTTACAGAGACAGGTACATGATTAACTATTATACGGTTAATGATCATGGTAATAAGTGGAAGAGGAGTGAATAGTTTGTGTGTGTGTGTGTGTTGTGGCAGGCAAGGAGGCTGCAGGAGAAAGGATGGAAACCGAGATGGTTCGAAAAGGACGAAGAAGGGAACTATAGGTATGTAGGAGGTTACTGGGAAGCAAGAGAGAAGAAAGATTGGGATACAATCACTGACATTTTCAAGAAGCAGCAGCGTAACACCAAGCTTTCATCTTCATCTACATTTCTTTGATCATCAATCATTTCAGTTTTTTTTTTGTTCTTTTTAATTATTTAATATATAGAAGAGAAAGATGTTTCTTCACCAATCACTCATTGTGCTTCTGTGAAAATTTGGCCAGAACCTTTGTTGGTGTACTGTGTATTATTATGTAGATGTCAAACAGAGACTTATTGGAGATGATGAAATTTTTATCCGATTTGTGGAAACTGGAACGTCTTATCCTTTGTATGATATCTTTCTTTTTTTTGCCTCTAGCTAAAAACCCTTCAAAGCGGATTTGGAATTCTTAAAATGGCTTATACAATCTCACTGAATAATGAATATAAAATTATTTCTAACTAATTTTGAAGAATAATCCACAATCCACTATTATTCAATTGAAAACTTTAACAAATGTAGGATTATTGGATCACTTATAATTTACAGATAAAAATTCAAACTGAAAAGATTTGATGGTGTTATATTTTAAGTGGCAATACCATCAAATTTCTCTAAAAAGCTTATCCAATGTAACCAAAGCTTAAGTCATTAATAAATTCTTGTAGAACATTTGTATTAAGTTCTGCATTATCAAAATTGTACTACAAACAGTAAACTGATTAGAAGGCTACAACATTGATAAAGATAGAATGAGGTCCACTTTCTTCCAAACTTTGAGATCTCCTTGACAAAGTCTGGGAGCAGAGAACCCCGATAGAATGAGGTCCAACTTCTTTCAAACTTTCACATTTGCTTGACAAAGTCTGGGAGCAAGAGAACACCGATGTAATTTATTTTTTTAATCCCCCTAGTCCTACTTCTAAGTGCACGAAAAGTAATTTGTGTTTCAGACCAAGTGCACGAAAAGTGTTCAATCATCTCTTCTTTTGGGATTTAAAGACGAAAAAGGAGTTTCTATTGGAGATAGGATCACAATTCAAAATGGATTGTAGGAGAAGACAACAAGAGAAAGGAATCTCAACAAATGCTAGTTGATGGAGTTGATAAGTGGGACAAAAAAAAAAGATTAAGATTTCTTTAACCACATAAACATTTTGGAGGCTACACAGATGTATCTTTTTGCCACTTTATGAGGTTCATCCGAAATATGCTTTCATCTTAACACACATAACATAAACAGCAACAACAACAGCGTAACACGCTTTCATCTTCATCTACATTTCTTTTATCATCAACAATCATCTCAAGGTTTTTTTTGCTGTTTTAAAATTATTTAATATAGAGAAGAGAGATGTTTCTTCACCATTACCTCATTGTGCTTCTGTGAAAATTTGGCCAGAACCTTTGTTGGTGTATTTGTATATTATGTAGATGTCAAACAGAGTAATTTGGAGATGATGAATTTTTATCCGATTAGGACTCTGGTTTCCATTTGAGGAAACTGAAAATTCTTATCCTTTGTATGATATATTTCTTTTTTCCCTCATTTAGCTAAAAACACTTCAAAGCGGATGTGGAATTCTTAAAATGGCTTCTACAATCTCACTGAATAATGAATATAGAATTATTTCTAACTAATTTTTGAAGCATAATTCACAACCCACCATTATTATTCAATTGAAAACTTGCAACAAATCTAAGATTATTGGATCACTTGTAATTTAAAAATACACTGAAATTTCTCTAAAAAGCTTATCAAATGTAACCAAATCTAAAGTCATTAATAACACATTCTTGCAGAGCAAGGCTCAAACCCTTTGTATAAATAAAACATTCGCTCTTTAGCTTGTCAACGGCTTTCAGACAGAAACACTTAAAAGCGGATTATCAAGCGTGTCTGAGAGAATGGGGATCATGTCATCGACGGATCGGAAGACGGAGAATCCAAAGTCCAATTCTCGAAACGAACCAGATGATGGTTGGTTACCTGCTTTGAGAGAGCCAGTAAAAGCGTTCACAGAAGGAGGTGAATGCAAAGATTTGATAATTGATTACATCGCTTGCAAAAACGAAGCCGAGGAGAAGAATGAAGATAGCTTCACCAAGTGTAAGCATGTCAGAGAGATGCTGGACAAGTGTTACGATGCTCACTCTGATTACTATAGTCCCATTTATGAGGACGTGGAACCTGTTGTAGATTCGATGCTGACTGAGATAAAAGCCTTGTTCCCTCCAAAACAGGGAAGAGAAGACGACGACGACGACTTTGTAGAAGCGCGGGTTTGCGAGTTCATGGTGGGAGGAGATTGCAAAGAAGCATTCATGACGGCTTTGCAAGAATGCTTGGTGGACAAGACCGAGGATGACGATTCAAGCAAGTGTGTCAGAGACTTGATGATGCTCAAGAAATGCATGGATGCTCACTCTGATTACTATCAGCCGATTCTTGGGGCGGTTAATTCCGGTTATCAACTCTACCAAAGCCTTCTCCTAAGCAAGCTCAAGGGTGGTGGTGATTGAGAGCATTTCCTAACGAATAAGTCTGACTGATTGAGTTTAAGACATGATTGCTATTGTATGAAATTCATGATACTATTGTATTACCAATGTGAAAATAAAACATTTTATAGTGTTGTAATAATAATCATCTTTTGTTGTACAAGGGGTCAGGAAGAAGCATACAAAACATATTGTTATATGGTATGACCTCTATCTCAATCTCTGTCTCTCGAGTCCCAAGGATTTCTTACATTTATATTTCATTCATTCATCATAGTTTGAGGTGGTCGAAATAAGAGAAAGAAGCAAGCAACAATGGTTTTTTTTTTTCAAGTTTGAAGGGCACGCAACGGCCATAATTAATTACCCGCCAGAAAAAAAAAACAGTTATAAAATGAAACGAAACAAGAGAATTTACAAATATATTTCGAATCTTAATCGAAGGACTGATTCGAGGCGATGGGAACATCGCTAACCTCGAGTTCAAGCGAGCGATGGCTCTGCAGAGACACACCGCGAGAGAAGCAGGAGCGTCGTCAATCTCTTAGAAAAAATGTATATATCTTACCGCAATTCTACGTCCGTTTTACGTTTCCGTTGATTTGCTTTTCTGGTTTGGGTTTGATTCGTCAATCTTATAGTTACAATTGGATACTTCCTCGAATCTGAGTGTATAATTTATTGAAATGGAAGCTCAGGAGATCGGGTTCTAGGTGGCTTTGGGCTTAGGCAAGTTAGTGGAACTGATTGCACACCACTTGTACGATGAATTGTCTCTATGAGTATCAGAAACAGAGGCACTTCTTTCTTCAAACACAACCATAATCAATATCAAAACAGAACCGCTCCTCTTATCTATTACAGGTAAATGATTTTGATCTTTGAATCTTGAATAAAAAAACTCAAGTCTTCTAGTTGCAAAGTGAAGTTTCGTAGATAAAAGCTTTCTTTCTACGAGTCGCATGGTTATATGCCTACCTACTCCACTATTTTGTTTTTCTTATAAGAATTTGGTTGAAATGAATTATATGCCATTCCTGATCTTCCTTGTAACTTCCAAATCCGTGTTTTATTCATAGGTTCTGACTAGGTATTCGAGCGAAGAATATTTTACTGAATTGTTTTTTAATTACGTAGCAACACGTTGATTGTTGCATATTGATATAATTGTATAATACATTACATTTAGTGGGTCATAGTGAAATTGCATATTACATTTATCAACATAACATGTGATGTCTCTCCAACGGAGAGTCTCCATCGTGGGTCATAGACGACTTGACTCATTGACAAAATTGCCGAACAAAACTCTAAGATCTGAACATCTTAGCTCGTAATTCCTGTGAATCGCAGATAAGCCTAGCTAATTACACGATGAGTTTTTTCTCTTGTGAAATTGGACAACTGTTGAAGCGATGTCTGTAGCTGCTTTGGCAGTGAAGTCAAGTATATTTGTAACCTTAAGAAGAATCTGGCTGCACTGGATAAAGCCATGGAGGTACTCAGAGCAAGGCGAGATGATGTGTTGACAGAGGTGCAGAGGAAAGAAAGCGAAGGTCTAAAAAGGCTTAGTGAAGTTCAAGTATGGCTTACGAGTGTCGAGGATATCCAAAACCAAGTCTATGAATTGCTTCTTCCTCGTACAGCTGAAGTTGAAAGGTTGTGGTCTTTGTACAAAACACTTGCGAAAGAGCCATAGATACGGGAAAAGGGTATTTCAAATGTTGGAAGAAGTTAAAGAACTCAAATCTGGTGGAGTTTTTGAAAGGGTGGCTGGGAGATCCTACGGTAGCTGTGGTGGTGGAGAGGCCTCTACAGTCGAATATTGTTGGTCAAGAAAATGTTTGAAAAGGCATGGAACCATCTCATGATGATGGAACCGAGATTATGGGTCTCTACGGTATGGGTGGAGTAGGAAAAACAACTCTTCTTGAACGGATCAACAATAAGTTTAAGGTTGCAAATGATGGGTTTGAAAAAGTCATTTGTTGTGGTGTCCAGCAATCTACGATCGAGAAGATTCAAGATGAGATCGCTGAGAAACTAGGCTTTCCTGAGAAGAATGGAAAAAAAGGAAAAACAGAAGGCCACTGATATACACACTCGTTTGAAGAATAAGAAATTTGTCTTGTTACTGGATGACATTTGGGAAGAAGTAGATTTAAAAGAAATCGGAGTCCCATTTCCGACAAGGGAAAATGGATGCAAAGTAGTATTCACCACTCGTTCTAGCAAGTATGTGGCCAAATGGGGGTGATGACCCAATGGAAGTCAAATGTTTGGAACTGACGAAGCTTGGGATTTGTTCCGTGTAAAGTTGGGAGAAACACATTAGAAAGCCACCAGATATTCTTGAGCGTGCGCGTCAAGTTGCTAGAAAATGTCGTGGTTTACCATTGGCGCTGATTATCATCGGCAAAAATATGGCGAGCAAGAGGACGGTACAAGAATGGGATGAAGCAATCGACACTCTTGCTTCTTCTGCTGCAAATTTCCTGGTATGGAAGACCATATTTTTCCAATTTTGTTGTACAGCTACGATAGCCTCGGGGGTGACCATGTCAAGTCTTGTTTCCAATACTGCGCTCTATTTCCAGAAGATTTTTAATAGAAAAGGAAATTGGTAGATTACTGGATATGCGAAGGATTCATAGACGAAAAGAAAGGTCAAGGAAGGCTAAAAACAAGGCTCATGGGATTATTGGTACCCTTGTCCAGGCTTGTTTATTGATGAAGAAGGAAGAGACAAATCAAGTGAAAATGCATGATGTGGTTCGTGAGATGGCATTGTGGATAGCAAATGATTTTGGGAAGGATGAAGAGAGATGTATCGTGCAAGCTGGTGTTGGTTTACGTGAAGTACCAAAGTGAGAACTGGGATCTGTGAGAAGGATGTCGTTGATGGATAACGAGATTGAAAAGATATCTGACACTCCAGAATGCCCTGAGCTTACAACTCTGCTCTTCCAAAAAATGAGATGAGAAATATCTCAGGTGAATTCTTCAAGTCTATGCCCAGTTAGTCGTATTGGATCTATCGATAATACAATTCAATGGATTGCCAGAGGAAATATCAGAGTTGGTCTCCTTGCGATATCTCGACTTGTCATACAGGGATACGACTGCATGAGGTTTACTGAAGTTGAAAAAGCTAATATATCTGAATTTGGAGGGACGCAACTTGAGAGTATTTCTGGGATATCAAAGCTGTCGAGTTTGAGGACATTGCGGCTAGCACATTCCATATCGCAAGATCTCGACGGAATGAAGGAACTGCAGCTCTTAGAACATCTAGAAGTGGTGACCATAGTATCGGGTCAATTTTGGTTGCAGATCAATTGTTAAATGCTCCTGCTACCAGAGTAGTGAATGCGATTCAAGAGATATATTTATTCCTCGAGGAAAAAGACGTATTGACTATTCCGAATATGGCGGTTCTCAGTAGGCTCGATATGTATAGAAGTGAAATGGTGGAGATAAACATAGAGAGGAGAACATCATCGCGGAACAAAATCCAACAACTTCAGGCTTCCCAAATCTCTCCAAGTGATTTTAAGTTATTGCGATGGTCTAAAGGATTTGACCTGGCTTTTGTACGCTCCAAACCTTATTTCTTAAAGTTATTTCTCAAGTCAAATAGAAGATATAATCAGCAAAGAGAAAGCTGAGAATATCTTCACAGAGGAGAGGCAGAACCATCATTCCTTTTCAAAGACTAGAGCACTTCGAAGTGATGATTTGCCGAAGCTGAAGAGCATCTACTGGAGTCCTCTCCCTTTCCCACGTTTGAGGATATTAACATAAAAATGTGTCCAAATCTGAGAAAGCTTCCATTGGATTCTAAAAGTGGCTGCAGCAACCCGGGTGAAGATCTTGTCATACATAATGGAGAACAAACTGGATTGATAAGGTTGAATGGGAGGATGAAGCCACTAAAGAGCGCTTCCTTACCTTCTCGCCAATGCCTATTAATCCGCAACAGGTTTCCAAAATCTGTCTCAATTACAGTCATATGGTTTTCTACTGTTCTGTTTCGTGTGCCCCCTTTCAATAAATTGGTGTGCATACTCAAAGCTGTAAAGCTCAAATCTATAGTCATTAATAATAAATTCTTGCAGAGCAAGCCTCAAATCCCTTGTATTAATAAAACATTCGCTCTTTGGCTTGTCAACGGCTTTCCCACAGAAACCCTTGAAGCGAAATTATCAAGCGTGTAATCATGTCATCCGCATCGGAAGACATTAAAGTCCAATTCTCGAAACGAACCACCAGAGGATGATTGGTTACCTGCTTTGGGAGAGCCAGTAAAAGCGTTCACTGAAGGAGGTGAATGCAAAGATTTAATAATTGATTACATCGCTTGCAAGGACGAAGCCGAGGAGAAGAATGAAGATAGCTTCACCAAATGCAAGCATGTGAAAGAGATGCTGGACAAGTGTTACGATGCTCACTCTGATTACTGTAATCTTCATCCCATTTCCCTATCAAAGTAGCTATATTGATAGGGAAATGGGATGAAGCAATGTACTATGTGTTGGGAGATCCGACAACAAAGCCAAAGGGATATGATCCAATGACAGAAGCTGTGCTACTGTGGGAAAGAGACAAATCTCCTACAAAGACAAGATACAATCTCTCCCCATTTGCAATCTCTCTTAATGAGATAACTCCTAGGATGTTGGACAAAATGCCTCCAACAGATTCAAGATTGAGACCAGACCAAAGACACTTAGAAAACGGCGAGTATGAATCAGTAAACGCCGAGAAACTGAGACTCGAACAGTTGCAGAGACAGGTACAGAATTAACTTTTATACAGTTAATAATCATGGTGATAAGTGGAAGAGGACTGAATGTAGTGTGTGTTTGTATGTGTTGTTGCAGGCAAGGAGGCTGCAGGAGAAAGGATGGAAACCGAGATGGTTCGAAAAGGATGAAGAAGGGAATTATAGGTACGTAGGAGGTTACTGGGAAGCAAGAGAGAAGAGAGATTGGGATACAATCACTGACATTTTCAAGAAGCAGCAGCAACAACAGCGTAACACTCTTTCATCTTCATCTACATTTCTTTAATCATCATCAATGGTGTTTTCATTTTTGTTATAAAATTATTTAATATAAGAAAGAGAAAGATGTTTCTTCACCATTCCCTCATTGTGTTTCTGTGAAAATTTGCCCAGAACCTTTGTTGGTGTACTGTGTATTATGTAGATGTCAAACAGACTTTTTGGAGATGATGAGTTTGTATCCAATTTGGATTCTGGTTTCCATTTGTGGAAACTAGAAAGTCTTATCTTCTTATGCTATATTTCCTTTTTGATGCCTCTTTGGCTAAAAACCCTTCAAAAGCCGATGTGGAATTCTTAAAATGGCTTTTACAATCTTTTAGTGAATAATGAATATAGAATTATTTCTAACTAATTTTGAAGAATATTTCACAATCACCACTATTCAATTGGAAACTTGTAACAAATCCAGGATTATGGGATGACTTATAATTTTATAAAAATAGAAAAACAAATGAAAAGTTTGGATGGTGTTAAATTTTTAGTGGAATTACACTCGAAACTTCTCTAAAAAGCTTTATCAGATGTAACCAAATCTACAGTCATTAAAAATATTTCTTGCAGATCAAGGCTCAAATCCCTTATATAAATAAATATGCGCTCTAAAAGCGAATTATCAAGCGTTAGAGAGAATGGGGATCACGTCATCGACGGAGAATCCAAAGTTCAATCTTCGAAACGACACAGAGGCAATGAAAGCGTTGATGAAAGGAGGTAAATGCTACGATTTGTTAATGGAATCTAACGCTTGCGAGGACGAAGCGGAGAAGAAGAATGAAGATAGCGTCACCAAGTGTGAGCATGTCAACAAGATGTGGAAACAGTGTTTTGGGGATCACTTGGATCCCATTATCGAGGCTCTTGAACCTTCGATTATGGCGGAGGTGGAACCTGCTGTAGTTTCCATGTTTTCGGAGGAGATGGAAGCCTTGTTCCCGCCAAAACAGGGAGATGCAAAGGAAAGAGACGACGACGACGACGTAGAAGCGCGTCTTCGCGAGTTCATGGAAGGAGGAGGTTGCAAAGAATCATTCATCACGGCTTTCCAAGAATGCACAGAGGACAAGACAGGTGATGATGATGAAGATTTTAGTACCAAGTGTCTCAACGGCATGATGATGCTCAAGAAATGTATGGGTGCTCACTCTGATTACTATCAGCCCATTCTTAGGCCGGTTAATTCCGGTTATCAACTCTACGAAAGCCTTCTCCTAAGCAAGCTCAACGGTGGTGATTGAGTTTGACATGTTTACAGTTATAAAATCATAAGATGTATGGTACTATTGTATTACCAATGTGAAAATAAAACTTGTGTTAACAAGGAAAACGACAGCGTTTAGTGCCGAGACCTCCCTTTTAAAGATCAAAACTGCAGACATTGAATAACAAAACATAATTATGAAGAAATAAAAATGAAGCAGAACAAAAACTGTGTTCACTTCCAAGCTTTTCTTCCTCTGAACTGACTTCCGCTGATTTTATCCTTCATTCTCCTGGTTCGCTTTGATTTGTGAGCCTTTGATCTTACTGCAGCAAGAGGCATATTCTTCTTGTGCGCCTTCTGTTTATTGCTCGTTCCTCCAGTCTGCGTTTTTCATTTCACACACATCATTTCATCATCAATGATCAAACCAACAAACAAACAAACATTCTATGGTGTTGCAATAATAATCATCATTAGTTGTACAAACCTTCTTCTGCTTGGTGGCAGTCTTGGATGTGTATTTCACTCTGTCTTCCCTACCCGCTTTAACTAACTCCAGTCTTTGCTCTTTTGTTAGTTTATGCCTTATGTGAGCCTGTGGAGATAGGTAAAAAATCGGTTAACACACGATTGTGCCAAGCATTTTGAGAACTAAAAATGGAGCTTCTTATAGTTACAGCTTACTTCAAGTTTTGCTGGATTGACCCGCTTCTTAGCTAGCTGTTCAGAATCCGGAATCTTGATTCCTTTTCGAGCCAACGCAAGTTTTGTATCCTTCTTTGCCTGTATCCCAAACAAGACATCAATAAAACGTTTGGACTTCTTTACCACCAACCAGAATGAAGAACGCGTTATAATAATACCTGAAGTTCTTTGATTCTTTGGAAGTCTTCGTTCGAAAGTATGCCATCGCTTTCTTCAAAGGATGGTTTTTCGCTATTTGCTTCTGCGAATTTCTTTAGTGATCGTAGGCTTGAATCAGCAGAGAGAAGACTCGCGTCGAAATCTATTCTCTTCCTTTTCTTTCCCTTTCCTTTCTCTTCGTTTCCACTATCCTCTCCAGAAGAATCGGAAGCTTCTCCATCATCTTCTTCGCTTTCGACCTCCTCATCTTCCGAATCCATCTCTGCTTCATCACTGTCATTCATCTCTTCGTCTTCATCACCACCGACTGAAGTATCAACATCACTATCATCTTCAGTGTTAGTCATCATGTCAGCACCATCATCAGAATCTTCTTCAGCTTCGTCATCGCTTCCACCATCATCAGGTATCAGCTCCTGTTCGTTATCATCATCACTGCCAGGCAACTCCATATCATCAGCATCTTGATCATCATCATCAGAGTCGCTCTCATGATCATTTTCTTGCAATAACTCGACATTGGGAACATCGTTGAAGACATTAACTTCTCCATATTGTTTAGGTTTGGCAACGGCACCTCCAGGACGGCCACGGTCCTTTTTCACTAGAAGCGAAGGGTTGATCTGAAATTACAGAACGCAGTTTTGGTTAACCATAGACATCAATTATATTTGTTCAAACCAACAAATCAAATGTTTCTGGTACCTCTCTGAACAATGCTATGAGGGAACGAGCTGCTGCTGAGATGGCTTTGTCATTAGGCTTCTTTTTATACAGAGCAAGATCTTGCAGCAATACGTCTGTCATCAACTGAAGTAGAGGAGACAAAAAACAAACAACACAGAATCAATAACAAAATTCAGAAAATAAAGGAAGGGTGCATACTAAACTAGGGCTATGAATTAGTTACCTCAGGAATCCTCAGGCACATTTCTCGTATCACATTGAGTCCAACAGCAATAGCCTGGTTACACAAATGAAAAAAAATGAATTGAAAAGGAAAATATAAATGGAGAATAGGGTTTCTACTTAAGTCCTTGATGTGAGAGAGCTTAAAATCACACCTCAGGACGTGAACGGTCGTGCACAAAGTCATTCACTATTTGCATGAACAGTGGCTTCACGGCATCAGAAGGTACCTGCCCAAGAAAAAGTTATTGGAAAGTTGAAAGAATGAGAAAAAGCAATAATGCTTTGAAGTGGAAATGTTTCCATACCCCATCATGGCAAGCCTGAACTGCTGCTGCGAGCAATTGTGTAATGTCCTTTTCATGTGGCTGCATTTAAGAACATATTTTAGTCGAATTTCAATTAGGAAAAGAAATTGTTAAAGCACGGTTACCAGATCTTACTTACCCTGGCATAGTTTTGAAGATAAGTATAAAAGCTTAATAATTGCAACTTGTGAAGACCAATTGTCCGTGCAATAACTTTAATCATCATCAACCTGGTCTGCAGGGGAAAAGTCAAATGAGATTATCAGAGACCGGGAAACCTAATACAGAGTTGATAAAAGTTCAAATATAAGATTTTAGGGAGAAACTATCAGTTAATTAAGCAAATGTAAATACACTTGGCGAAGGAGGGGTCTCAGTCTGATGAAAGCAGGGAGAGTAATTACCTCAATCCGTTCACTAGTTTTGCCAATGCTCTTGCCAGTCTGAAGACGGGAAAGTAATCTCTCTGCATATTTCTGCAAAAGAAGTGAACATTCAATTGTAGCCACTCCATACTATTGTCATCGCATTCTCTGTATATGACACACAGTACAAAATGCTAAGAAGCAAACCTGCGGATCATTCAGATGATTAAGAGGTGAATAAGTTGAAGTGGTGTTCTCAGTCGACGCACGCTGCTTTCTCTTAATATTTTTCATTGCACGTTGCAGTTTCGCTTGCTTTTTCTTCTTGCTAGAAGATGTACCTTTGTTGGTCGCCTAAGCATCGGAAAGGAAAATATATTTAAGTAAACCCAAAAACGTTTCACAGGATATTAATGCTCCATAATATCCTACAAACAGAAACTAATTCCATACTTATTCGTTATGATTCAAATTATATAGAAAACTATAAAGGTGGAAACTTGCATCAATACTCTCTGATAACATTTATATATAATCTTGTTTACCTTGTAAACAGCCTCTCTGTTAACCGCAACCTGCATTGCGTGCTTTGAATCCTCGTCATCGCTGTCTGAAGCATCACTATCATCTTCATCGTCAAGGTTCTCATAGTCAAGAAGAAACCGAAGGGCAGAAACCATGATCCTGAACATGTTAAAAATAGAAGTTAGCAGTTCGCAAAAACCATATCATATCAACATATATCCACCAGAGTTAGAAAGAAAGAAAGAAGATATACCTAGGTGATGTATGAAAGCAAGCTTCACAAATCGCAATTGCAACTCTGTCATGTTTATCACCAAGCCAGACCTTTTTCTTGTGAAGCTCACAGAGGGTAACAAGTGCTCTCTTAGCCTTTGTTTCATCTTCTTGCTACAAAAACAAAACACACAAAGCTAAAACTATCATCTACTGTAATCGCATCACAAACTCAGCAGCACAAAAGGGAAAAAGAAAAAGAATTTACCTCCAACAGAGAGACCACAATCCTCTGAAGTGCTTTGTGCCTTGGGTCAGTAATACTCATCTTACGAATGGTTTGCACAATGTGAGAGAAAGCAAGCTTTCGCAGGTTTCTATCACCAAGCGTCTGAATATCCAGAAACAGAGCCAGCAAATCCTCGATGACAAGACTCTATCACACCAACAGAAACAGTAAAATCATTCTCCGAACAGACCAACAAAGAAAAAAGGATTGAAGCTCAGATTCCAATCAAAGCACATACCTTTCGATTCATCAGAAGAATCAGAGATTGCGCAACCTGGTTCCGGAGCGGAGACGGCATTGCGAGGCACGAGGTACGGAGTAAATCAGTCAATTGAGCTGGAAATGCGGCGAGTAGCTTCGGGTAAAACGGAGTAACGTGAGACAGAAACATGGCTCGGTCTCCGAGGCCCTTGGAAGCGGCGGAAGTATCGGCGGAGGAGATATTGACAGCCGCGTTCTGCTGAAAGAGATCGACGGAGTTTTTGAACTGTTTGTAAATTAATTGGAGCTCCGTTTCGTAACCTTCTGGGTCGCACTTGATTTTACCCTGTAGGATATGAAGGTTGAGCTTATCGGAGCTCCGGCCAGATGCCTTCAAGGAGTCCGGCGTACGACCGGCCATAATCGAAGGTTTTGGGAGAGAGAGAGAAACCCTAGAACAAAAAAAATGAGAGACATTTATATACACGGTTTTTTTATATAACCGGTTGGTCTAATGTGTAAATGTGGATTGAATTGATTTTCTGGGATTGGTTTGGTTTATTGTCTTTTACAACGAGAAATGAGTAATTAAAATGCTACCACTACAAATAGAGTCCTTAGGAAAAGTTAAACGTAATTTGTGATGATGCTACTGTTGTGAAACAAATTCATTGGATTAGCAACATGAATTACTAATTCTTATTTATAAAAGGGTATCTAGTAATCCTTAAACTTTGTTAATACATGTAGGAGAAATTTCAAAACTACACCTTTTGAGGTGCAAATTTTCAAAAATACATCTCTTTGGTGGCAATTTTCAAAACTACAATTTTTTCATTTAGTAAAAGAACTCTAAATCTTAAAATATAAATCCAAAACCCTAAAATCTAACATTGAACCCTTAAATCTAAACCCTAAACCCCAAAATCTAAACCCTAATATAGGATTAGTGAACCCAAACATATATATTAAAATTGGGGAAAAGTGTATTTTTGAAAATTTTCAAGTAGTTTTGAAAATTTGCACCTCAAAATATTTTATAAAATTTCTCATGTATGTAAGTTTAAAACATACTTAACATTATAAAACGAAGGAAGTAATGAATTCTTGAGAGTTTCAATTCTTTGTACTGTATCAGTATAATGAAATGCCAAGAAAATATACGCTTATGTCACACAGTCAAGACTCACAAAAGACATGCCAAAGAGATTTTTGCATTTTTTGAGTTTTTTTGTTACATTTTTCGATAAACACACAATTCGCATTTGTCATCCCAAAACATGTATATTCCGTCCCCAACAAGAAACCTCATCATCTTCTAGAAATAGACCAATCTGCACGAAGACAGCAGATGTAACTCCTAAACAAAAACTTGAATTGCATGATACATGTTTTCTCCTCCAACACAACTTGAGTTTCTCAAATACTCTCGAAACCATGAGATCACCATAAACAAGGAAACATATAATTTAGTGAGAGAGAGAACCTTACAAGTTACAATGTCTTTAACTGAGCGATTTTACAACCATCTTTCTATCTTTGATGTATCTCTTGCCTTGTTAGGGCTATTTCTTGTCTGTTGCTTGCGTGAGAAGTTAACCAACAAGCACGGACCAATGCTATGGCCAGTGTTCGGAATCACTCCAGAGTTTTTCTTTCATATAAATGATGTCTACGGATGGGTCACCAAGTCTTTGAAAAATGGTCGAGGTACGTTTCTTCACCGCGGAATCTGGCTCGACGGATCTTATGGAGCCGTGACTTGTGTTCCAGCGAATGTCGAGTACATGCTCAAGACCAACTTCAAGAACTTCCCTAAAGGTTCCTTCTATAAACATCGGTTCAGTGATCTTCTCGAGGATGGTATCTTCAATACTGATGATGCATCTTGGAAGGAGCAACGACGGATCATCCTAACCGAAATGCATTCAACCAAGTTCATGGAGCATTCGTTTCAGACAATACACCATCTGGTAAAGAAGAAGCTGTTGAAAGTGATGGAGAGTTTCGCTAGGTCACAAAAAGCTTTCGATCTCCAAGACGTGCTGTTACGCTTGACGTTTGACATCATTTGCACCGCGGGTCTAGGTGATGACCCGGAAACCCTAGCTGCTGATCTTCCTAAAGTTCCATTTGCTAAAGCTTTTGAAGAAGCAACAGAGTCTACACTGTTTAGATTCATGATCCCTCCATTTATATGGAGAACAATGAAGTTCCTCGACATAGGGTATGAGAGAAGTCTGAGGAAAGCTATTGAGGTCGTGCATGGATTCGTCAACAAGATGATTGTGGATCGCATCAGCAAGATCAAGGAAGAAGAGACGTTAGATAATAGATTCGACGTCCTAACACGGATTGTTCAGATAGAGAGTCAAAGAAAAGGTAACGAGATTGATCCTTCCACGATTAGGTTTTTTAGACAATTTTGCACAAGTTTCATCTTAGCTGGAAGAGACACAAGTTCTGTTGCGGTTTCATGGTTCTTCTGGGTGATACAGAAACACCCACAAGTTGAAAACAAAATCATCTCCGAGATCAAAGAGATCTTGAGACAGCGAGGAGATACACCAACATGCAAAAACGAGAGCCTCTTCACGGTCAGAGAGCTAAACAACATGGTATATCTACAAGCAGCACTTTCAGAGACTCTAAGACTTTACCCTCCAATCCCAATGGAGATGAAACAAGCCGTTGAAGACGATGTGTTTCCAGATGGGACGTTCATAAGAAAAGGTTCACGGATTTACTTCTCGATCTATGCCATGGGAAGGATGGAGTCTGTTTGGGGAAAAGACTGTGAAATGTTCAGACCAGAAAGATGGATTAATCAAGCGGGACAGTTTGTCAATATAGAGCAGTTTAAATTTGTTGTGTTCAATGCTGGGCCAAGGCTGTGTATTGGAAAAACATTTGCTTTCTTGCAAATGAAGATGATAGCTGCTTCATTATTGTGGAGGTACTCAATCAAAGTTGTCCAAGATCACGTCGTTGTCCCAAGATTTACAACAAACTTTTACATGAAGTACGGTCTCAAGGTGAACATCAAGCCGAGGTCGCTAGAAGAGAAGAAAATATAGCCATGTTCCATGTATAAGCCATTGTAGAATAATACCTTTAGAGGAACTCGATTTTTCTGCTTTATACTAAAACATATTTTGTCATTTTACTGTCTCAAAATGAAAAGCTTATCATCTTCGAGAAAAGATGAATCGACATAGAAATCAAAGTTTGGAGATATATAAACAAAGGAGACAGAGCTATTACATGGAAGATAATTTCTATAGACACTAATACTTGGAAAGCTTCATCGTCTTTGACCTAATTAGTATTTTGCTTAATGTACTTGATCATTAGCAATCTGAGCAGAAATATTTGGCTCATTCCGATTTTACTTTTCATTAGTTTTTTACTTTCTAAAATTTTATTTATGTTTTTTAAAAATATATTTTATATTTCAAAATAAATCAAATTTTACCCTCAAAAGGAGGGAAAATATTCGGATAAACAATGACCTAAGTATTTTAATTCTTGACAGTTTCACTACTTTCTTAAATATAAGAAACAGCCAAAAACTAAATATTTATAAGGTTTATGTCACCAAAGACATGAGCAGAAATATGGCAGCATCCTTTGCGCTTGTTACGCATTTTGCCAACACACAACACGAACCTTTACGTTTCGTGTCCCACAAGAAACTTCATCTTCTTGAAATAGTCTAGTTCCTCTCAGTACCAACACTCTCCAGGAAGACAGCCACAAAAGTGGTATTCTCACGCCAAAATCTAAAACGCATGAATTTTTTCTTTTATCTCAAATACTCTTTTAATCTTCTGTTTACGTATCACAAATTTTACATCAAACAATAATTTCATCTGATCACAAACAAAATCAAAACAGGGATTTCACTACAATGTCTGAAACCTCTTCCATCTCTTTCACAGAGAGGGCTTATAATCATCTCTGTATCTCCGATGTTTCTCTCGCCTTGTTGGGACTGTTTGTTTTCTGTTGCTTGCGTGAGAAGGTAACAAAGAAGCAGGGACCAATGATATGGCCAGTGTTTGGAGTCACTCTAGAGTTCTTCTCTAACAGGAAAGATGTCTATGGTTGGGTCACAAGGTGGATGAAAACATGCCGAGGTACATTTACTTACCGCGGAATCTGGCTCGGTGGTTCTTATGGAGCTGTGACTTGTGTTCCTGCAAACGTCGAGTACATGCTCAAGACTAACTTCAAGAACTTCCCCAAAGGTTCCTTCTATAAAGACAGGTTCAGCGATCTCCTCGAGGATGGTATCTTTAACGCTGATGCTGAATCTTGGAAGGAGCAGAGACGGATCATCATAACCGAAATGCATTCAACTAGGTTTGTGGAGCATTCCTTTCAGACGACACAGGATTTGGTGAGAGAGAAGTTGTTGAAAGTGATGGAGAGTTTCGCAAGGTCACAAGAGGCTTTTGACCTCCAAGATGTTCTCTTACGCTTGACGTTCGACAACATCTGCATCGCCGGTCTAGGTGCTGATCCAGGAACTCTGGCTTCTGATCTTCCTCTTGTTCCATTTGCTCAAGCTTTCGAAGAAGCAACAGAATCTACTCTGTTTAGATTCATGATTCCTCCGTTTATATGGAAACCGATGAGGTTCTTGGATATTGGTTATGAGAAAGGTCTCAGGAAAGCTGTTGAGGTCGTCCATGAGTTTGTCGACAAGATGGTTGTGGATCGTATGTGCAAGCTCAAGGAAGGAGAAACGTTAGGAAACAGATCCGATGTCCTCTCGAGAATCATTGAGATAGAGAGTCACAAGAAGAGCGATGAAAAAGATCCTTCCACCATCAGATTCTTCAGACAGTTCTGCACAAGCTTCATCTTAGCAGGGAGAGACACAAGTTCTGTTGCACTCTCATGGTTCTTCTGGGTGATACAGAAACATCCAGAAGTTGAAAACAAAATCCTCAGTGAGGTCAGAGCAATCTTGAGACAGAGAGTGGATCACAAAACCAGCAAGAACGAGAGTCTCTTCACTGTCAAAGAACTAAACGACATGGTTTATCTACAAGCAGCACTTTCAGAAACTATGAGGCTTTACCCTCCAATCCCAATGGAGATGAAACAAGCCACTGAAGACGATGTGTTTCCAGATGGGACTTACCTAAGTAAAGGCTCAAGGGTTTACTTTGCGATTTACGCCATGGGAAGGATGGAATCTATCTGGGGGAAAGACTGTGAATCTTTCAAGCCAGAGAGATGGATCCACTCAGGGCAGTTTGTGAACGACGAACAATTCAAATACGTTGTGTTCAATGCTGGTCCGAGGCTGTGTTTAGGGAAGACATTTGCTTACCTTCAGATGAAGACAGTTGCTGCTTCAGTGTTGTTGAGATACTCAGTCAAGGTTGCTCAAGATCATGTCGTTGTCCCTAGAGTTACAACGACCTTGTACATGAAACACGGTCTAAAGGTTAACATCTCGCCAAGGTCGCTGCAAGAGAAGATACTCCACATATGAGTATATGACCAGAAGAGAAGTATTGCAAAAGATAAAGACTTTAGAGGAAACTGACTTTTTCTCTTTTATATCAGAACAGCAATGTAAAAATCTTCATCTTCTACTATATAGTTTTCGAGTTAGCTAATCTTGAAGGCACAAAGGGAGAAACTTTAACAATCTTTGATGAACAGTCCAAAAAACTCATAACAAGCTGAGATCATCCTGAATCAAATTGATTATCTAAAAAAGTGTCTCATTTCAGTCTAATGGAATCTACCCGTTAGCTAAAAATCGGAAACGGGTTTAAAGAAGAAATCCCAAATTGAAGAAGAGACTGTATCAGAGTCATACCATCGAACGACTCGTGTGTGTGGCTAATAAATGGAGGTGACGCATTAGGAACCGATTGAAATTCGAAACGATATTCTCGGCGATTGCATTTGCATCCATTTTAGTTCACGCGCCGGTCATCTAGAATTTCCGGTCATTCGACGTGCGTCGATTTTACGCGCCGCATGTTGGCCCGTTGCAGTGCCACGGCGGCTTGACGGTGGTGGTGGTAAATGGTAAATCTGGAAGACGAATAATTAATTTCTAATTTTACTCCTCATTAGTTTTACTATTTACGTATTTACCCCGTTTTACTAGTTTATATCAATTTTACTCCACTAGTTTTGCGATTTACACATCATTTAATATCTTTTAAAGATGCATACTAAAATAAATATTTTTGTAACCAACTTTAAGTTAACTGAAGATGAGTTTTATCTTGTGTATTAGGAAATTGAATAATAGATTTACGATACACTTAACATTTTTATTTTATCATAATATATATAATCTTAAGCGAAGGGCTTTATAATCTTCCGCAGCTGTCTAGGGTTTTTTTCTGCCTCTCTCCACACTAACCTAACCTAGCAGTCGCTTCTTCTTTCTCAAATCCGCCATGACCAAAGTTGAAGCTGCACCTGTTGCAATTAAGGCCACCAAACCTTTGAAGAAAGGAAAGAGAGAGCCTGAGGAAGATGTGGATACCAAAGTGAGCCTTAAGAAGCAGAAGAAGGCTGCTACCAAGGCTGAGGAAAGTGAAGATGAAAAGCCTGCAACAAAGGAGGCTAAAAAGGATAGCAGCAGCAGCGATGAATCTGAATCCGAGAGCGAGGATGAGAAAGAAACGCCTAAGAAGAAGAACACTGATGCTGAGCAGAAACAGCCTAAGACACCAGCAACTCCTTGTACAGGAGGATGCAAGACTCTCTTTGTTGGCAATCTCTCATTCCAAGTTGAGAAAAAAGATGTTGAGGAGTTGTTCAAAGGAGCTGGAGAAGTTGTTGACGTCAGATTTGCCATGTCGAAAGAGGATGGCAGGTTCAGAGGCTTTGGCCACGTTGAGTTTGCTACTGCTGAACAAGCATCCAAGGCAATGGAGTTGAATGGTCAAGCTTTGCTCGGTCGTGATATTCGTCTTGATGTTGCTACCAACGTCAGAAGCGGTGGTGGTGGTACTGCAGTTTTCGTCAAGGGTTTTGACAGATCTCTTCCTGAGAAGGATATCAAGAGCGCATTGAGTGAGCACTTTGCCTCATGTGGAGAGATCTCAGAGATTTCTGTTCTCTGTGACCGTGAAACCGGTGCTTCCATAGGAATTGCTTTCATTGTCTTCAAAGACGGCGCAGACAAGGCGTATGAACTCAATGGTAGTGACTTGGGAGGACGGAATCTTATCGTCGGTAAGCCGAAACCAAAGGATAACACTGGCGGATTCCATAGTGGCCGTCGTGGTGGTGGTCGTTTTAATAGTAGTGGTGGCAGATAAGGAAGAGACGGTGGTCGTGGTTTCAAGTTTCAACAGACCTAATTTCACTCCCCAAGGCAAAAAAACTACCTTCGGCGACGAGTAGAAGGCAGAAGCTATGCTCTTAAGTCTTAAACTTGTGTTACTTGTCACTCTTTTTATTGTTCATCATAAAATTAAAATTAAATTGTTTGATCCTGACAAGTATGTGTTTTGTACAATTGTCAGGAAGAACAATAATTTTCCCGTCATTTTTTCTTGTCATTGTCACAATTAAAAGGACCAGATTATTTTGAGAGACAAAAAAAAAAGCGAAGGGCTTTATATCTAATGTTTTATTTATTTAACATTTTTAGGTTTTGTAGCAAGTCAAAGAGCTTTAAGCCCTTTACAACAAATCCGACTTGGATGACAAATTCTCTAAAGACTGTTGTTTATACAGTCTCGAGCTCTTCAGTGGCCTTGTAGCTTTAATGATCTTGAACCACTGGCTCATTGGCTCACACGAACTGTCCTTACTCAGACACTTGCAAGCATTAGCCACGACGACGTTGTTGGTTGCGTCCACGTCAAGACAAAGAGAGGTCTTGTTACTTGTTGTCGAAGCTAAATGCAACCTAGAGGCGGAGATTGTCTGCCATATCGAACCGGACGTCGAACAACTTGTCCGAGTCATCGTAACCCGGTTTTTTGCTCCGTTGCTGTGTAAACACAAAGTCTGGTCTTTGATTCTTAAGGTTTTCTTAGTGTAGCTCCATGGTTCAGAACTATTGCACGGACCAAGTGTGACCATCGTTGGTTCATCGGGAGATCGTACTAGGCAGAGTCCAGTTAACGGATGGAAAACCAAGTTGTAAGCATCACTTCGAGGGCCCGGTCCTAGCAAACCAAATCAACTCAAAAGTTAATATTTAATCACAAAATGTTGTTATAAACTTTTAATAGTTGTCGCTATGTATGCACCTTGAAGCGGAGACTGGAGAAGAGAGATCATCTGCAAGAAACTCGAATTCCGAACACTAGTCCAATCCGAATCCAAAGCACCATAATATTCAACCAGCCCGACCACGCCTTCTCTCAAGTAATAGTCTCCGGTAAGCGCCCAAAGCGCCCAGTCTACGTCATTTTCAGCCGCCCAAGCGCTTAAACACCCGAAATAGCGATTATCATCCACGTTTCCTCCTCTTTCGTCTACACCGAATTCGCTGAGAAACAATGGGAACCCTCGGTTAAGTAGAAAACCGGCGTTGTTTCCTACCCGGTTTAGGACCCGACCGCAGTTGTCGTTAGGGTTATTGGACGACCATGTTCCGTCGCTGAAAGAATACCAATGCATCTCGAAGACGAGTTTTCCAGTGAAGGATAGTTTTACGGGTCGAGACCTAACGAAGGAGAGATCGTTGTCGAAGCTGAGACCGGAGAGGATTACAAGTACGTTCTTGTTTGCTGAGTGAACAGCTTCTGCTCCTTGTTGCATGTATCTACACGTACACAAATAAACAAATATTCAATATGTTATAAATATTTGTAATTAAATTACTTCTTTATAATTAAAATAATGGCATAGCAAACTTGAAAATATTTATTTATGCCATAAACTTTTAAATTGAAATATATGTATTTATATGCATAGTGTTACCGTACTTGAACCAATCGTTTACGTTTTGTCTAGGCCCTCTAAGTTCATTCCTTAGACTCATGCCAACGACATTAGAGACACCATTAAATGTCGCCGCCATTTTACTCAAACCGGCGATCCACACGGAGGGTTCAAAAAACTGGTCACCGAAGAAACCGTTACCGTCGGTTCTGGCACAGCACCACCCTGGTTTGGTTAGGTGGTTGTCTAATATCACCATCACATCCTTGTTTCCTAATTTAGTAACCACCATCTGCACAAAAGGAAAAAGTAGATTATATCATCATCATTCACATTTCATTTTCACAATTTTCTATTAATTGCAAGATGGAGATTTAGATTAGGATTGGTGTTTCTAGCTATAGACTTATCACGTAGGTTTTGATCGTATTATTGGCATGTGATCTATCCATTACTATGTTAAATAAGAAATAATAGTCTTTTGATATAAAATGCTAAAATCTACATGTGCAAAGTTTGGTGGGATGCTTGATCAGTAAATGAGACGAAAATATTTTGATTATAGAAAAAGTGCCATTCGTCCTATGTATAAAACTGTACTAATCATCTATGGAATAAAAATTCGGATCAGTATATTGATGTTTTCCAATTCAAGAACGACAGTCCCTTTGTAGACTCATCTCTAGATTCTAAGCGAGAATTCCAAAATCAGGATCAAAGACTGATCATGCCCTTCAATAAATTAAATTACCAACTTTTGTGTACGAATATGAATAATACTCACTAGTGGTACGTTCTTTTATATGTTGAATCAATTCCTCTTGAATTTATTGCATTGATCATCTATACCAATTAAGAACAGAACACGTCAATTAGAATATAATTAGGTTATGTGGACAGAAAAAGAAAAAAGCCAAACAAATGTCACGAGTGTTGTGTCTTCGGAAGTTACACATTAACTTCATCTACCCACTAAAAATAAAATTTAATTAAGAGATTGGTTATTGACATATTTCAGCACAGGCCTGATTCATGGATATTATGATTCTTTATTTTATTCTGAAAAAGAAAAAATTAACTAAGACAGTTTTATAAAACAATTCCCAACCAAACCCCAACTAAACTTGATTATGGATTTTGTGTATGTAAAGGTTCCTTCAAAAGTTGACGTGTTTTTTAGACAGATTGATTCTTCTACAATTTCAATACGTGTAGTAGTTTGAAAAGCTGGCAACATTGAACCTTGAACGTCATTCTTCTAAAAGTTATTGACTATTGAGCTTTGAAAATTAGTTGAACTGATACGTTTTAATGTTAAAAGATACATTTCCCTACAAGGTTATACATAAGTCCATCTAGCACCCTTTATGCTTTGTTAGTTTTACTTTTGATACAAATAATTATCAAACAAATTACCAACAGCAGAAAATAATACAGAAATAAGACTATAACACAAAAGCTAACCGTGAAACTCATTTTCTTTGTATATGATGAATGTTTATTTTTTTAGGATTTTAAGGCTGCACCCATCAGATGTTACAAAAAAATGAAAGAGAAAGAAGGATGTACCCGTCTTGTTTACCATATCTTTTCATGAAAATGTGTACTTTATATATGAAAATTATTACGTTTTTTTATGTTAATTAGCAAAATATGCTATATGTTCACAGGACACATGGAAAAGGATGTGCATACTGATGTACACGTACGTATATCTAACATTTGCAATAAAATATTAAAAAATCTTAGTAAAACCTACATGTTTCGTTGACAAAACTTAGGAGTTGATCTACATGTTAAAAACTTAGTAGTAAAACCTACATGTTTCGTTTACAAAACTTAGTAAATCCTTCCCATTGATCAAATTAAATAAGAAAACCTCATTTTTTTTTTAATTGACACCTATTTAGAGTAAAAAGATCGGAGATGTTATAAGAGTACCTTAAAAGCTTCAATGAGGGAGAGATCAATAATGGAGGGGTTGTTAGTTTGGAAGCCAACAATGTCATCTTTAAGACCTAAGCTTTGAAAAGACTGTCTCACTGTGACGTTATTAGCCAATGTCTCATTAGTCATCAAATCTAACGGCCAAGTTAACCTAACACAATTGAAACCCATTTCCATTATTTTATCGGCCAATGTGTCCACCGGTTGCTTGCTCAGTCCTTCAGCCACCACGGGCTGGAGGTGCGATGGCCAGTTCGCACACGCTAGCTTCACTCGTTCACCTTTCTTGTCGACGATCCAACGGGAGCTTGTGGAGAGAGGATAAGCGATGCTTGGGGTGGTGTGTTGTGCAATGAATGAGAAGAAGAAACAGAAGAATGGGAAAATGCAAAACATGCGTTTTGGCTCTTTTGATGTCATCTTTGTTTTCCTGTTTCTTTTGTGTGTTGGAGAATCATTTTGACAATAGTCTTATTTATAGATAGATAGAGAGAGGGTTGATGAGTAAATGTCCCTGTCATAAAAAAATTGTTATTCCTTTACTATTCATATATCCTAAAGGACCTAAACTATAAGTTATGTTTTTAACATTTACTTAGTTGACGTAACTCCTTTTCCGTGTAAATCAACGTATCATATATTAGTATCAGATTTTTCAACATGAGTTTCTTAGAAGACCTAAAAGGTAAGAGAAGTTAAACTAAAATTTAACACGTATACCAAACTCTAAATATACACAACTAGCTATAATACATACATACTCCCAGAAAATATCCTAAACTTAAAAAAAGAAATTGTCGCTAACTGTCAAAATACGACATTTGTGTAACGGTTCTGTCTAAATCCTTGCGAGTATCTGGAGATGAAATAGCCGTTTCGAACCGGCCGGCCGGCATCAACTTGATCATTATTTTCACTACCGTCTCTTTTTCCACATTAAATGAAATCAATATCTAGTAATCATTCCAACAACAATTATAAGTTCATGTTGTTAATTATTTGAAGTTGTTAAGCCGTTATATCAAAAGTATTGAACCATATATTATATATTTTGAATTGTAAGTATATCATTACTTGCGAATACTTTTAAGTCATTTAACATCTAGAATGCTTGAGTCAACATTTTTTTCATTTTCAATGTATATATGTGTTTAATGTTTACGTACACAAAACCAAATGCATTTACCAACTATCTGAGTCCATTTACTTATTTATTTATATCAAATATTCAATGCCATTCATTTACCTGAGCTGTAATACAATTATTTTAACATTGTACTTCACTAATCACGTCCCCACTATTTGGCTTTCAAACGAGATTACTGATGCATTAGAAATTCAAATAAGGGTTATCTATATCAGTATATCACTATATGAATATTTAGATTGTCGTAGTTGAAACTAAGATAAATTAATATCTGAACTACTAGTTCTTTGAAGTCACGGTAATTTGCAAGAAATCGTCACCATTTGCAAGACCATATTTTACTAAAAATTAAGTCGAGTGTCAAAAAAGAATACAAAGTCGAACTTTGAATGTAATTTTAGTTCCAAGGTAAAAAATTACACTGAAGTAAATGTAGATTCGACAACACTTTTTCATAAGTTAAGAGAGACTTAAAAGCGTTGGAATCGACGACCGTTAGAGTTTAACCCACGTCCAAGTAATTACTCCTTTTGGTGTTTTGTCATAAACACAAGATTTCCTTAAACTAATATTTTTGTTTATTCTTAAAATAATGAAAATTTTGCTTACCTCAAAGAAAAAGTATTTCTCATTTTTAAAACCACAAATATACATGCGTAGATCTCTTGAAGTTTGTATAGTCTTCTTTTATCCAAAAACTGATTTTGCTTCTAACTGCCGCGAATTCGTTAATGTTATTTTCCTTTAATTTCTGATTTAAACCGACCGGTTCTTCGTAACCGCCGGTTTTATTTTTCCTACTTTGTAATCTTGTTGAAACGACGTTGTTTTATGCTCAGGCGTTGATACGACGCTTCGTCCCCTTCGGCTAAACAAAGGAAAGCGTCGAGAGATTTTTCCGACTCGGCGAGTGTAAGAAATAACAAGGCTGTACTGTATGGGCACAAGGCAGGAAGTTCGTCGTCTTCATCGCTTCTAGAGAAGAAGCCAGACTATCTCTTCTATAACTGCTTCTTTTTTTATATCAGTGAATCGCCGATTGTGTAATGTAAGTTCCGCTCTTTCATTTTTCTTCCGATGTGCTTTTCAAATTTCCAGAATTAAGATTTGGATGTGTTCTAAATTAGCTCACGAGTGAATGTGTAGAGCAAATTTCGTTTATGTATTGGATTGATTTCACTGATCTCTCTATTTCAATTGCGGTTGTTTTTTTTTTGTTTGGCAGGGGAATTGTATTGGAGCCTCGTTGTCCCAAGAGCGTAGATGGGATTAGCATTGACCCTGAGCCTAATTGGAATTTCGATAGCTTGGTCTCTGAAATCGAGTCTGTTGAAAAGAAGCTCAATGCCTTTTCAAAGTTTCTACGGCCATTCACTAAGAAAACCTTCCGGTGCTTATCTATTCTCTTTTGATTTGCGTTTAGTTTGTTCTGGAGTTCTCGATTGATTTAGGATTGATGATAATGTACCTTAGAGCTATTTTTGTTGGTTAATTTAGCTGGAATTTTAGAAAGTATTAGAGTGTTTCTGATGTTACATGGCGTGTTGAAAAGGACGGGAAGTAGCGGTAGTGGTGGAGGATTTGTAATGCGTGTATCTGAAGATGAGGTGGAGAGTGATGAAGATGAAGATGGTGATGATGATGAAGAAGAAGAAGAAGAGCATCGTCAAATCTGTACAGGGGGGAAACGTTTTGCTTGTGATGAGCTATACATGAGGTGAATACCACCAATGGCTCACTTGCTTGCTGGTTTTAATATTAAGAAAGATTTATTGAGCGTTGTTTGATGGTTGTTCATACAGTGATGAATCTGATTCTGATGATGAGTTTGATTGTGAACCTGAGACCTTTTTGATGAATAAGATGGGTCTGGCTGAGACTGCCTTATATGAGGTGGTCAATGAACACGAAGCCGAAGTTAAGGTATGTAGTATATATATATATATATATTTATACATAGGTAGCATATTGTGTTTACTATCGAATGGTATATTAAACTGATGGAGAATTTGGATCTGCTGATAACAGGAAGATATTAGGAATCAAGTATCAGTTGTTGAAGCAGAATTAATGAACGAGATTGAAACGTCTCGCGATGCAATAGCCCGGGTTGAAAAGTACAGAGAGACTAGAAAAGAAGTTGAACGGAAACTTGATCTTCAGTATCAGCGAAAAGTGTAAGTAAACTTTTGTTACTGTCATTGTAGTTTCAGATATACATGTTCTTACTGCCAAAGTTAATGAGTTTTTCTTGTTGCTGTTGATTTCTAGTGCTGAAGCACTTGATAATCATCTGACTGCAGTCCAACATGAGCATAAAATCAAATCGCAAATAGAAGAAAGAAAATTAAGGAGCGAGGAAGCTCAAGAGGAAGCTAGGAGGAGAGAAAGGGCACATCAAGAAGAGAAAATACGTCAAGAAAAAGCTCGTGCAGAGGCTGAGGTCTGTATTTATCATTTGAACATTATGTTTGTTATCCTTAGTCTACTCAGCTTGATTAACGTCTTTCTCTCTTGGTTCTGTTAGATGCAAGCAAAAATTAGAGCTGAAGAAGCAAAGAAAGAAGCTGAGAGAAAGGCAGCCAAAGAAGCAGCTGAAAAGGAAGCAGCAGATCGCAAAGCTGCTGAACAAAAAGTTGTGGAAGAGAAGGCTGTGACAGAGAGAGTTAGTGTTCCCGGGGGTGAGCTAGTTTCTGTTGAGTACATATTGTTGTTCTTCTATGTTGCCGTGATTGTTCTTTCTTATTGTATTTGTTTTTTTTATTAATCATGCTAGATAAATCAATCCAAGCTGCCGAAAGTGCTTTGACTGCGGAGAAGCACAGATTGAAGAAGCTCGAAGAGTTAGAAGCAATGAACCAATCTCTAAAATCACGTCCAAATGAGGTATCTATCTTTTTTTTTTTTATGTTTTATCTGTCGTATCATCCACATTTGATCACAAGTCATGTGGTTTTTCTTATTACTATTTTGTAGGACTTTAAAAGCTTTGAGATGCATATTTCAAGGGTGATAAAACAAATAAGGGGTACAAAGGAGAATGTAAGGTATGGTTCATGTTTTGTAATCTGTCAACTTTCCCCCCAAACAAAGGTTAAGATCATCTGTTACATTCCATAGCAGCTTTGCCCTTCCTTTCCTCTAGTGGTATATGCCAAGCTCTTTTAGCGGCGCTTTAAAATCTAGGAGCCTTGATCTTGTTTTACTTGTGAAAATGTCAATATTACGCATTTGATACGAACGATGCAGATATTGATTTGAAGATGGTTTTGTGCAAGCTTGTGGAGTTTTGTTAATTTTTCCTTCTTTTTAGCTTTAATTGTTTCTGCTTTTGGGATTTTGCAGCAATAAAAGCAACGAAATTGTCAAAATATTAAAGGACCCTCGTTGTCCGGTGTCCATCACTATTGCAGCTTTTGCCAAGAAGGTAACTTTATGTCTTGTTAGTTAAACATTCACCTGTTCATGATTGTTGGATGCTGATACTGACTGAAGTTGTTCTCGGGTCAAATTGGCGAACAACATGTTCATATGTTGGATTATCTTCCCCTGGACTCTTGTGATTATAAAAACTGAGACTGATGACATTAATGTTTGCCGTTTATTTCAGATTGTCTCCGCTCAGGACCCTTTCGCAGGCAGCTACGTAATTGTTTATGTCACCTCCCAGGTACAAAATCTACTTTTGATGTCAATATTTTTGTCGGTCGTGTATCGTTAATCTCTTCCTGCTGTCACTAAATACCATCTACCATTGATGCACACAGGTCCCAGAAGCTATGGAAATTCTTCTAGCTGAATTCCACAAAGCTTGCATATACACAGTCCCAAAGCATATTCTTAACTCACAGGTAACTAACTAATCTTCTTTTATAATTTACTTTGACAAAAATTGTTAAAACCTCTCTTTGTTCTTAGTAAATTTCTCTGTGATAAATTCAGTCAGCTTTGGACTCAGACGCATATCAACGCATAGATTCCACAATGAGACTCTACGGTGCACTTGTCCAGGTCTTTCTTTGCCTCTTTTTACTCAACTATCTCCTGAAATGTGAATCTTCCTCTAATGGTTGTGTAATTACAGACAGATATTCGGGATCGCAATGGTACCAACATTAACATTCATGGGATCGAAAACGGGTGGGCTTGGTTAGCCCGGTTCCTTAACAAAATCGCAGCCAACAGAGCTACCGCAACAGCCTTGATCGCATTTCTCCAGGTACCGAGAAAAGCATCGATTAGAATCACCGGTTCTGAAATGGTCTTAATAAATCATAACGCTGGTCTCTGTTTTGTGTGTATATGTGCAGGCGGCAGGGTTTGGTCTTCACCAGAGATACAAGTCTCAATTCGTGAAAGTTCTGAGCGTTGTCAAAGAGCATTTCTTGGCGAAGCTGAAGGCGAAGAAGGACACGTCGGATTTACAAACGATCATACTCGATATCGCGACGTACGTAGATGACAGGATGTATCTTACGGAACCTGAAGGAAGAGCTCTGAAGGCGAATCTTTTGTCGAAATCGGCGGAGTTTACTGCTGAAGTAAACCAGCCGAGCTACAACAATCAACATTACCAGAGGAATTATTACAGAAACTATTGATTCATGCATGTATCTTTCGTCAAATAGAAACCCCATCTCAATTTTTTTCTTTACACTGTTTGTAACAAATGATCACAATGTCACACCAATGTATTTGAAAATTCAAACACAAGATTTTGAGGAAAGGAAACTTTTTTTCGTTGAAGTGTTTCTGTCACTTTGGTTTTCAGATATATGATCTTTAGTATAATACAAATATTTGCAAAAGCAAAACTAATAATAAGCTGAGATTGTCTTTCTTCATTTCAGTAATGAAGAAGTGGAACAAGTTCAAGAGTTTCTTTCTTGCTGATAATGATCGATCCAGTTTCTTCCAAGTCGATGTCTTTCACAGCCTTCCCTTGAGGCAAACCCCAATCGAAGAAGTAGAGCAAATTCAACAGTCCCAACTCCACGGTGGCGATCCCCATTGTCATCCCTGGACAGGTTCTCCGGCCAGAACCAAACGGCAAAAGCTCAAAATTCAGTCCTCTGTAATCTATGCAACTGTCTAGAAACCTGTCAGGATTAAACTCATCCGGGTTTTTCCATAGTTTCGGATCGCGTGCGATCGAGTAAATGTTGATCATCATCTGTGTTTTTGCTGGAATATCGTAGCCTTGGATCTTGACTTGAGACAATGTCTCTCTTGGCAGCAAAAGTGGAGCTGCTGGGTGTAACCTAAATGTCTCCTTCACCACGAGCTTGAAGTAGTGAAGCTGAATTAGATCATATTCTGTGATCCTCTCCTTCTTGTCCCCAAGTGTTGTCCTAATCTCTTCTTGCACTTTCTTCATCACTCTAGGGTTTCTAATCAGCTCTGTCATCGCCCATATCAATGTGATGACGCTTGTGTTCACTCCTGCAAGAAATATGTCCTGATATATAACACAGTTAGTTAGCATCAGGAAACGTGTTTGAGAAGGTATTGCGGTCAAGAAGAAAATTGTTACCGAGATGATTCCTTTGAAATGATCTGTGGTGAGCTTGAAAGAGTCTCCATCTTTCTCTTGCTTCTTCATCACGTCAACCATCACATCAACGATATCAGGGCTCTCTGATACTATCCTTCCAGGTTTAAGATGATCATCGAGAATGTTCTGGAAGAAAGTGTCTAGCTCCGAGAAAACATTGTTCAGTGTCTTGTTCTGGCCGGAGATGCGGTCGATAAGCCAACCCACTTTAGGGAAGAAGTCAGAGAAGGCAATGCTATCGACGAGCAGCTCAAACTTGTGAACAAGATCAGCAACGTTGTGCTCGTCTACGAACTCGCAGTTGTGGATATTGATCCCGAACGCTAGCCTACAGACGATGCTCGCGACGAGCGTGAAGAGGGTCTTCTTAAGATTCACCGGAGATTGAGTAAGAGCCGATTCGGTTAGTTTCTTGACCAACAAGTTATTCTCTTCTTCTCTTATGTATCTGAAAGACTGAAACTTTTTTATATTCAGGAGCTCAACAACTACGAGCTTCCTTAACGCTTTCCATTCCTCACCGTAAGGAGCGAACCCGACGTCTTTGAAGTTGTAAGAGATCATTCTGGTCGCGACCGTCTCTGGTCGGCTGCAGCATTCAAGATCTTGTGTCTTGAGAGCTTCCTCTGCTGCTTCTTTGGATGAGATCACGACCAAGGGGACGTATCCTAAACGGAGAAAAATCACCGGTCCGAATGTTTGAGAGAGGTTGCGGAAACATGTGTGAGGCAATCCTTGGAGGTTATGTAAGTTTCCGATGATTGGAAGCGTCTTGGGGCCTGGAGGAAGGTTCCCTATTGAGGGTTTGAGCTTTTTTGAGAAGATTAATAGGGAAATCAAGAAAATAGGCAAAAGACAGAGGAAACAGAGAAAGATTGACATTGTTTGTTGCTCTGTTTTCTTTTGTTCTTCTTTCTTATGTGTTCTTATATAATGTGAAATATAGACGGTGATTTTTTTATTCATACAGTATGAAACTACTTGGATTTGATATAGTATTAGTTGCATCGGAATGCGTGTTTTAAAAGAAGAAAAATAATCATTTGATGTTTTCAAGACACACCTCTTGCTTAAATCAAGGGTCATTACCAGTTGTAATCCACAGTATTAGTCAGTGTTTATGAGAAAATATTCTAAATTCTTATTAGTGATTGTAATCCAATCCCCTAATCATTTGGAGAGGATAAAGCATGCAATTTAGAATACACACATCATGTATTACAAGAAATCTAGAATGTCTACCATTTGGTTTTCTACAAAATGACATTTTTATAGTTGACTTTACCTCCTCTGCTTCATTACTTACTATATCCACTTTTTGGTTTTATTAAAATACAAAGGGCCAAAGGGGATGTTTCAAGGATATTATATCCATAAAAAAAGAGTCAAATGACACTAAAAAAATACAAGATCTTTATATGTTTTGAATCATTCAACCACAAAAGTGATTCTGGCAACCAAGGAGGTGGGTTTTTGGTGGGATGATGATTACCTTTTTGGCTAAAATCTGAATCTGTAACTGATGATCACAGACAAGAATGCCTAAAAGCAGAGAAAACAGAGAAAATTTGGACTATCCCTTTTCTTTTCTCTCTTTCTTTCGAGTAAAGAGTTTTCGAAATAGAAATGTACAGAGAACTAATCATAAACCATATGTCCATACATGCATGGAACAAATTGTGACACATCAACTAATTTAGATGACACATTTACAAGTATATCTTCGAAGCTGATGTTATAGAAATACGCCACATAGTCTGATAGTCAGCAAGCAACTTCTTATCTTCTTACCAGTCTTCATTTTTTCTGATCTTAGTTGACTATTGTAAAGTTGAATATATTTTTACTTATTATACACTGAGTTAATTACTTGTATATTTGTCTTTCGGTTTTGTTGGGTTTGATAAATGTCTGTTTTTAAATAACAATCACAAGAACTTTTTGCTAGGTTTCCCAAATATATCATCTTAACAGAACATAAAAATCTAAAAACTAAAATTAAGAAGCTTAGTAGTCAGTACTAATACATTATTTTGTGGACTGACTATTTGTTACAATCAACATTTCAGTAATGAAGAAGTGGAACAAGCTCAAGAGTAGCTTTCTTGCCGATGACGATAGCACCAGCTTCTTCCATATCAATGTCCTTCACAGTCTTCCCTTCAGGCAAACCCCAATCAAAGAAGTAGAGCAAGTTCAACAAACCCAATTCCACGGTGGCGATCCCCATCGACATCCCCGGACAGATTCTTCTGCCAGAACCAAACGGTAACAGCTCAAAGTTAAGTCCCCTGTAATCTATAGAACTCTCAAGAAACCTATCAGGGTTAAACTCATCAGGGTTTGTCCATATATTTGGATCTCTTGCGATCGAGTAAACGTTGATCATGATCTGCGTTTTGGCGGGAACATCATAGCCTTGGATCTTGATGTCAGACATCGTCTCTCTTGGAAGCAAAAGTGGAGCTGCTGGATGTAACCTGAACAATTCTTTCACCATGAGCTTAAAGTAGTGAAGCTTGCTGAGATCTTCTTCTGTAACTCTCTCCTTCTTGTCCCCAAGCGTTGCCCTAATCTCGTCTTGCACTTTCTTCATCACTCTAGGGTTTCTGATCATCTCAGTCATTCCCCATATCAAGGTCATGGCGCTTGTGTTCACTCCTGCAAGAAATACGTCCGAGATAACTCCTTTGAGATGATCTGTAGTGAGCTTGAAAGAGTCTCCATCTCTCTCTTGCTTCTTCATCATATCGATCATCACATCAACTACATCTGGATCCTCAAGTTTTATTCTTTCAGGTCTTAGATGATCATCGATGATGTTTTGGAAGAAAGTGTCGAGCTCGGAGAAAACATTGTTCAGTCTCTTGTTCTGTCCCGAGATCCGGTCAACGAGCCAACCGATTCCACCAGGGAAGAAATCAGAGAAAGCAGAGCTCGCAAGAACCAACTCAGACTTTTGAACAAGCTCTTCGATACTGTGCTCGTCGATGAACTCGCACTCGTGGAGATTTATCCCGAACCCGACCCTACACACGATGCTCGCGACTAATGTGAAAAGGGTCTTCTTCAGATTCACTGGAGATCGTTGTGTGGAAGAATGTTCGGAGAGTTTCTTGACCAACAAGTCATTCTCTTCCTCTCTGATATACCTAAAAGATTGAATCTTTTTCATGCTGAAGAGCTCGACCACCGAGAGTTTCCGCATCGCTCTCCATTCTTCGCCGTAAGGTGCGAATCCGATGGACTTGAAGTTGTAAGAGACAGTTCTGCCGGAAACTGTCTCTGGTCGGCTGCAACACTCGAGATCTTCTGTCTTGAGGACTTCCTCGGCTGCTTCTTTCGATGTGATCACAACCATGGGGACGAACCCGAACCGGAGAAGCATCACTGGTCCGTGTTTTTGGGAGAGATTACGGAGGCATAAGTGAAGCATTCCTTGGATGTCTTGTAAGTTTCCGATGATCGGAAGCGTCTTTGGTCCTGGAGGAATCTTCCATTTTTTGGAAGGTTTGAGAGTTTTCAAGAAGATTGAGAAAAGTGGTAAGAGAAAGATGAAACAGAGGAAGATTGACATTCTTATTTTATTATTTTCTTCTGTGTTTTGAAGTGAAGAACACAGTCTACAAATTCGAGTTATAATATAGACAAATGAAGTCACGGAATTGCTAATTAATGACAACTTGTCTTTTTCTCTGTATCAGAAAACGTATCTCCATCGCTCGATTCAACTCATTGGTCGATTTCGATGTCTTTGAATAAAATAATCTGATGTCTTTTACTGTAGTAGTGGATGTATCCATCATCTATCACAAAAAAAAAACCTTCTAGATGAAATTGATTGTTTATATATATATATATATATATATATATATATATATATATATATATATATATATATATATATCCAGACCTAGTTATATAATATTGATATGCTTATTAATCCAGCTAATTTTGCTTTTTTCTTTTATCAGTTGTAACACATATTTATTTCAGCTAATATAAAATGTTGGAAATATGTGAAAAAGAAGAATGAATGAGTGGAGAAGAAAACATGCATGCACTATGTCAGAAATATAATGAGACGTATAATCTAATGAGATCTCACACGTAAAGATAATGAAACCCTTTTACCAAATCCGTACGTAGTTATATAAAACTACATTACAAAGAAGAAGAAGCAGATAAGTTTCTTTGCAACTGAGTTATTTCTTGAGTAACAACATCAATTGTACCATTGAGGAAACCAGTGTACCAAGAAGCAGAGAGCTTTGGAGACCTCTTGAGACCAGGATCGCTGAAATTCACAAAGTACAATCCAAAGCTCTTCTCGTATCCACCTACTAACTCGAACAAATCAATCATCGACCATAAAAAGTAACCTCTCGTGTCCGATCCATTCCTAATCATTTAAAAAGAATTTGTCAGAATCAGAGAGTAGAGTAAACCGGACTTAAACCAATCACATTTACATGAAAAAACTAAAATATGAAGAAGAATGAGAACCATACTTGATGGCGTTGAGCATAGCACCAATGTAAGCTTCAATGTATTCCACTCTTTCTGAGTCTTGTAGCGTCGACTTGTGTTTCATCCGTAAACCTGTTTAAAACAAAACAAAAAATAGCAATTAGAAGAAGAAAATGCGGTTTCAAGTAAACTAAAAAAAGAGAGCAAGAATTAACAAAAAAAAAAAAGAGAGAAATGAAATGGACCGTTTTCAAGAACGTAGATAGGAGGATTGTTATAGCTCTGTTTCATATACTCCAAGAAATTTTCAAAACCCCATGGAGTTGAAACCGACTTCAAAAGAAAAAAAAAACAGTTGGATTAGTAAAATTTATAGAGTCAAGAAGATCTCGATCAACAATGTCCTTACCGTATCGAATGAAGAATTCCCAATGTCTGTCCAAAAAGAAGAAGAATTATCATCAGCTAAAAGAGTCTTTTTCAATTGACTGATTGATAAAAAAGGAAAAGAAAGTAAGCTTACAGATCGTATCTATGCCCATGTCTGTGTAGAAGCTGGGAAGGAGAGAAGGAGTTGGTCTACTGTTTGTCACATAGACTGTCGCGTAGTGGATTATTCCTACATAATCAGATGATCCTTTCACTTCCTCTGACTCTTCCTCTGAGAAAACAGGTAACCTCAACCCCACGATTCTCTTCATTTCTTCCGGATAGTCCCCAAATACCAAAGGCTTCAACATCCTTTGAGTTTGTTTATATCATCAATTCAAGAAGTCATCAGACTCTTTATCTAAAAAGTTGCTGAAACAAAGAAAAGTTCTTTTTATTTATTTATTCTCTCACCAGCCATGGAAGAAATCTTTAGCTCTCTCAGTTGCGATTTCATCTTCCTTTGAGTTAGTATAAGGAGATAACCCGAGTGCATATAAGCTAAGGCCTATGGATCCTCTCTGCTTATTCTGCACCATCATATGGATTTAATGTTTAGTATATATACTAGATTACTAAGAGCATAAATAGACATATAAAATATATGGATACCTTGTACTTTAGTCTATACAATTTTGAAGCAGAAGCATGAGCTAGCAATAAGTTATGGCCTACAATATATGGTTCAGTAGAAGAATTTCCAGTGGAGCATTCGGGAGTAGAACAATGTCCAGGGGCCACAATTCCTTGGCTATAAGCACCAATGGCGAATATGTTAGCTTCATCGATTGTTGTCCATAACTTGACATCATCCCCAAACTCTCTGAAGCATACATCTGCAAAAGCAGTGAAGTCTTCTCTGCAAGAACAATCTTTGTTTCAATTCATCATTAAAGAAAAGTATTACATAATAAGACCTTTTCGTTAGATTTACATGATTTTGCGGTTGATCCATCCTCCGTACTCATCTTCAAGGGCTTGAGGAAAATCAAAGTGGTGAAGTGTAACATGTGGTTCGATTCCTGTTTGCCAATTTTTGTTTTTATCAAAAGCTATCAATTGGGTTTAAACTTTGATTAGGTTTTAAGGAAAATAAAAATCTCACCATGGCTTCGTAGTTCTTTGATGAGGTCCTTGTAAAAATTTAAACCTTTTGGGTTAACGAGTCCTCTCCCATCTGTGAAATCACAAAGACCAACTTTAAAGATCTACAGAAACAAGATCGTTACTTACTTGCAAGTCAAGAAAGCAGAAGAGGCGTTACTAGGTATGAGCCTTGTCCACGAGATAGAGAATCTGAATGCTTCTAAACCCATCTCTGCCATCAGCTTAACATCTTCCTGAAAAAGTCACGGTGACATCGAATTTTGGAAAACGGAGCCATAGACTAATTAGGATAGCTCCTTCAGCAAGTAACAGAGCAAAGCAAAAACAATGAAGAGAGAGAGAACCTTATATTTGTGATAACCATCACATGCTATATCTCCATTACCTTTGTCATCTGCAAAATTTTCAATAAAGATTTACGAATCTAATCAAACGAATTCTCAGATAAATAAACCCATAAGCAAAGACATAAAATTCGTATTTCTAAAGTGCCAATTAAACTGAACCACACAGTAGCTTGTGATATATGACAATGATAATTCTTTTTTGTTGGTAAAAAACGTATAAAGTATACATTTTTTGTTGGTAAAGTATAAATTTATATTTCAATATATAAAGTATTCTAAGTGAAAAGATATAAATGAGTAAAGTTAACCAGAGTGGGAGAAAGTATCCCAAACGCTAGGAGTCCTTCCATCTTCTTCTGCAGCTCCTTCCCACTACTTCCCCCAAATCCCAAACATCTTTAAGCAAAAAATAAAAGATAAGAAAATAATGAAGAACACAGAAGAAGAGTCGAACCTGATAAGCAGAAGTGGCAGCTCCGAAGAGAAAATCCTCAGGAAAATCGTTTATGGTGAAAGCATCGCTGTAGCTTGTTGCCAAAACGATGACTAGAGAAATGGAAAACAGAGTGAAACTTTGCATAGTCTAGAGAAAAAAAAAATGAAGGAAACACCAAAAAAAAAAAAGATTGAATGGTTTAGACTGTTTAGTCGTTTTCTTGAAAATAAAGAGTAAAGAGCAAAGACCGATATTTATTTTATTTTTCTGTTGTTGTTGTTGATAAAGCGATATTTTATTTTCTGATCCTTCTTCTTCCACTCGTATAAACGGACAATTCTGTGTCATGAAGACTCAAAAAAATATCTCCTCTTATCCTATCAGGGGGAAATTTCCCCTATGTATACCTTATTACCTTGTACTTTAGTCTATACAATTTTAAAGCAGTGACAAAAACAAAATTGTAAAAAAGGAAAATGTTTAGTTAAAAAAATGTTGTAAATGCCGTTCTAAAATATATGTTAAAAAATGGTAGGGTAAAGGGAAAAAAGAAGATGATACAAATTTGCCAAAAAAAGAAGAAGAAGATGATACAAATTGAACAACAGAAATAACATATAGATAGAAAATGTAGAATTTATAATGATTTTTAAACCTGCGTATTACGCGGGTATAGTTACAAATAAACCATGAACGTGAATAACAGAATACTTAACCATATAGCCATATAGGTCTATTATTCTTAACATGTTCTCTAAAGATCTCTCTGATGAAAAACTAAGCTTAATGTAACTCAAACATTCAAAAACCAGAACTAAGAAGACGTTGCAAACAATAAAAATAAATCTAATGAGATTGTCAGTGGCGAAGAACTTGAACTAGGTCAAGAGCAACTCCATTTCCGGTGATGATCTCTTCATCACCTTCTTCCTTCTCCGGCAATCCCCAGTCGAAGAAGTAAAGTAAATTCAGCAGTCCCAGTTCCATAAGGGCGATCGCCGTCGCCATCCCTGGACAGATTCTCCTACCAGATCCAAACGGTATAAGCTCAAAGTCTAGTCCTTTGTAATCTATGGAACTGTCTAGAAACCTGTCTGGGTTAAACTCATCGGGGTTTTCCCAGTGTTTTGGATCGCGTGCAATCGCGTAAGCGTTGATCATCATGTGTGTTTTTGCGGGAATATCGTAGCCTTGGATCTTGACGTGAGACAACGTCTCTCTTGGGAGTAAAAATTGAGCTGGTGGATGTAACCTTAATGTCTCCTTAACCATCAGCTTGAAGTAATGGAGTTTGGTTGCATCTTCTTCTGTTATTCTCTCTTTCTTGTCCCCAAGTGTTGTCCGGATCTCGTCTTGCACTTTCTTCATCACTCTAGGGTTTCTGATCAGCTCTGTCATTGCCCATATCATTGTGGAGCCACTTGTGCTAACTCCTGCTGTAAATATGCCCTGAGAAAACAAATATTGTGTTACATAAATTTAATACCGGACAAACTCAACCAAATTTTGTGTAATCAAAGAGAATGAAATAATCATGTCAGTTTTTCAAAATTTCATAATCATAATTATTATTTTCTTAAACTAAAAACTCCTTTTAGACCTAAAAGAAATTTAGTCTACGTACACAACTAGTAACAAAGGGTCCAAAACATTACCCCAATCATTGCTCTGAGATGATCTGTGGTGAGCTTGAAAGAGTCTCCATCTTCGTCTTCCTCTTGCTTCTTCATCATATCGATCATCACGTCAATAATATCAGAGCTCCCTACAACTTTCCTTCCAGGCTTAAGATGATCATCCAGAATATTCTGGTTGAAAGTGTTGACATCTGAGAACAAGTTCCCAAGTCTCTTCTTCTGACCGGAGATCCAATCGACGAATCTTCCCACTCTTCCGGGAAAGGAATCGGAGAACATAGGAGGAGCCATCTGAATCAACTCCATCTTATGCATAACATCGGATATGCTATCTTCATCCATGAACTCGCACTTATGGAGATTTACCCCGAACCCTACCCTACACACAATACTCGCGACTGATGTGAATATGGCTTTCTTCAGATTCACGGTAGGTCGTCTCGAAGCAGATTCAGTCAGTTTCTTGACCAACAAGTCATTCTCTTCCTCTCTGATATGCCTGAAAGTCTGAATCTTTTTGGCGGTGAAGAGCTCGACCACCGAGATCTTTCGCATCGTCCTCCATTCCTCACCGTATGGCGCGAATCCGATGTCTTTACAGTTGTAAGAGATCATTCGGATCCCGGCTGTCTCTGGTCGGCTACAACATTGAAGATCGTGGATCTTGAGAACTTCCTCTGCTGCTTCTTTCGATGTGATGATCACCCTGGGCACGAATCCGAACCGGAGAAGCATCACTGGTCCGTACTTTTGGGAAAGTTTCTGAAGACATATATGAAGGGCTCCTTGGAGGTTGTGTAAGTTTCCGGTGATCGGACGCGTCTTTGGTCCCGGAGGAAGCTTCCATTTCGAAGGTTTTAGATTTTTCAGCAAGATTATGAAAAGAGGTGAAAGGAAGATGAAGCAGAGTAAGATTGACATGTTCTTTGCCCTGTTTTTTATATTTTATTATAAACTTTGGGTTTTGTGTGTTAATGGAAGTGCTTCACTACTGTTTATATACATGTCAATAAGATTTCGATTAGTAATCTCTCTATGTGAATTAAATAAAGACAAGAGTGTTTTTTTCTTTCTAATATTCATCATGACATATTTTATAAAGGGCAACTCTTGAATCTTGATTCAGCTTATGGGTCGTTGTCGATGAAGTGAACGATTAAAATAAAAGACCCTCATAAGTCATAACATAGCATTATTATCTTAACTGATGGTGGCCAATTATTATTCACCGTTGAATTGGATTTCCATAGATTTCTTTGATGTTAGAGCATCACTATCAAGAAATTCTCAGCAAGTATTTCAAAACTATAAATAGTGGAAAAAAACAAAAAGTAGGAGATGATGTGGTTTTCCTCATCTGAGTAGTTGTGTGAACTCCTCTAGAACCTCATTTGACATGTGTCACTTTTTCACTAGTTCATTCTTTATTCAAAAATTAAAATTTAACTAGGTGATTCTTTAAAAAAATATGAATTGTGTTAAGTAATTTTGGTTAAGAGAATATATCAATAAACATTGTTAGGTAACAACAACCATTTCTATATAAACTAATTATTGAATTTATCATAATGCAAATTTTCTCAAATATAACAACTTGGTAGGTAACAACAACCTTTATTTTAGACTGGATTAGGATCAACACAAGCTTACGAATTTATTGAATTGTAAGAGTAACATCTTGATAACGCCTTGTTTATAGTACGATTCGTTATCAAGACGAAGCCAAACTCATCTAAAATGTATTGAGAACGAATATATTATCCATATCATCTTTGATACGAACTACATAATCTGGTTTTATCTACCATTTCACGAGGTTACTAATCTAGTTACAAATAAACTATGAACGTGAACAATAGAATATTTAATCATATAGTGATATAGATCTACTATTCTTAACATGTACTTAAAAGATCTCTCTGATGAAAAATCAGAATTAAGAAGACGTACGCTGCAAACAATAAAAATAAATCTTATAAAAATAAATCAGTGGCGTAGAACTTGAACTAGGTCAAGAGCAACTTCATTTCCGGTGATGATCTCTTCATCACCTTCTTCCTTCTCCGGCAATCCCCAGTCGAAGAAGTAAAGCAAATTTAACAGTCCCAGTTCAACAATGGCGATCCCCATCGCTATCCCTGGACAGATCCTCCTACCAGAACCAAACGGTATAAACTCAAAGTTTAGTCCTTTGTAATCTATGGAACTGTCTTCAAACCTCTCAGGATTAAACTCATCAGGGTTTTTCCAGTGTTTTGGATCACGTGCAATCGCGTAAGCGTTGATCAAGATTTGGGTTTTGGCGGGAACATCGTAGCCTTGGATCTTGACGTGAGACATTGTCTCTCTTGGGAGCAAAACCGGAGCTGCTGGGTGTAACCTTAATATCTCCTTAACCATGAGCTTGAAGTAATGGAGTTTGGTAAGATCTTGTTCAGTGATTCTCTCTTTCTTGTCCCCAAGCGTTGTCCGAATCTCGTCTTGCACTTTCTTCATAACTCTAGGGTTTCTAATTAGCTCTGTGATTGCCCATATCATTGTGACGCCGCTTGTGTTAGCTCCTGCTATAAATAGGCCCTAGTATATATAACAGACATTGTGTTACGTATTTTTGTAAACCAAAATCAAATAGAAATATTTTTTGCTATACGTATTTAGTCCAAAACATTTACCGAGATCATTCCTTTGACATTATTTGTGGTGAGCTTGAAAGAGTCTCCATCTTCGTCTTGCTTACTCATCATATCGATCATCACGTCGATAATATCAGAGCTCTCTTGTATTCTTCTTTCAGGCTTAAGATGATCATCGAGAATATTATTGGTGAAAGTGTTGTGTTCGGAGAAAGCATTCTCTAGTCTCTTGTTCTGACCTAAGAACCAATCAACGAATCTACCGATTCTTCCAGGAAAGAAATCAGAGAACAAATTAGTATTCTCCATTAACTTAAGTATGTCCGCAAGATCCGCGATTCTATCTTCATCCATGAACTCGCACTCGTGGAGATTTATCCCAAACTCGATCCTACACACAATACTGCCTACTAATGTGTAAAGGGTTTTCTTCAGATTCACGGTAGGTCGTGACGAAGCAGATTCCATCAGTTTCTTGACCAGCAAGTCATTCTCTTCCTCTCTGATATACGTTAAAGACTGAATCTTTTTAGCGTTGAAGAGCTCGACCACCGAGATCTTTCGCAACGCCTTCCATTCCTCACCGTATGGCGTGAATCCCACGTCTTTGCAGTTGTAGGAGATCATTCGGATCCCGGCTGTCTGTGGTCGGCTACAACATTCAAGATCTTTGATTTTGAGCACTTCTTCTGCTGCTTCTTAGGATGTGATTATCACCCTCGGCACGAATCCGAGCCAGAGAAGCATCACTGGTCCGTAACTTTGGGAAAGATTCTGGAGACATAAAGGAAGGGCTCCTTCGAGGTTGTGTAAGTTTCCGGTGATCGGACGCGTCTTTGGTCCCGGAGGAAGCTTCCATTTCGAAGGTTTTAGATTTTTCAACAAGATTATGAAAAGAGGTAAAAGGATGATGAAACAGAGGAAGATTGACATTTTCGTTGTTCTGTTTTTTATTTTCTCTTCTTTGGGTTTTTTGTGTTTTAACTGAAGAGCTTAACAGCTGATTTATAGAAATGGCTAATATTTTTCTTCAAAGGGGCAACTCTTAATTCAGCTCACTTAATAATACAAAAATGAACGATTAAAATAAAATAACCTAATGACACTACATTAGTATCTTAATCCATGGTGACAGATATAAGTAGAATCAAAGTTCGTTGATGGATTGGCTTTATATAGAGAGTAGCTTGATTTTAAAAGTTCAATGATTAAAGGTGTTACTTTGAGTTGGATTCATTATATATATTCATACGAGTAAAGGAACAAATGATTTTCAATATTTCCCCAGCAACCACTTTTCTTGGATTCTCGAGAATTTCCCACCAGTCATGTTTAATTAATTAATTTTACTACCAATCTCTTGACCTAAGATTAATTAATATCTTAGTTAGTGCCTTAGTGAAGACAACATTATTGTATAGACAAATTAAATTACACTGATGAGGACAGACATTAATACATTGATTACATCATGAACTCACTTAAGTTATACTCTTTCTGTTCCCATATAAGAGTAAGTAAAATAATATGAGAATTTCAGTGGCGAAGAACTTGAACTAGGTCAAGAGCATCTTCATTTCCGGTGATGATCTCTTCACCCCCTTCTTTCTCCGGCAAACCCCAGTCGAAGAAGTAAAGCAAATTCAGAAATCCCAGTTCCATAATGGAGATCGCCGATTCCCTGGACAGATTCTCCTACCAGATCTATAAGCTCAAAGTTTAGTCCTTCGTAATCTATGGAACTGTCTAGAAACCTATCAAGGTTAACTCATCCGGGTTTGTCCAGTGTTTTGGATAGTGCAATCGCATAAGCGTTGATTAAGATCTGGATTTTGGCGGGAATATCATAGCCTTGGATCTTGACGTTAGATAATGTCTCTCTTGGGAGCAAGAATAGAGCTGGTAGGTGCAACCTTAAAGTCTCCTTAACCATTAGCTTGAAGTAATGGAGTGTTGTCTGTGATTCTCTCTTTCTTGTCCCCAAGCATTGTCCGAATCTCGTCTTGCACTTTCTTCATCACTCTTTGGTTTCTAATCAGCTCAGTCATCGTTCATATCATTGTGGAGCCACTTGTGCTAGCTCCTGCCGTAAATTTGCCCAGGTAATGATATAACAAATTACCATGCAAATTAACCAAACCATATAGTGTGTAATAAAAGTGAATGAAATAAATTAACATTTATCAATCATAATTATAATTAGAAAAAAAAAAACATTAACTAAAAATCCTTTTTAGATCGTTAAGTTACCCATAAACCTCTTTTCTTGAAACAATGGGTCAATGTTGCATTATTTGTTTTACTTGTGATATAAGTCACTAATTGATAGTAATAGAACACCAATCCTATATAGGGCTTACTAGTCTTAATAAATGAAACATGTTTCTCATTTTAAATCAAGCTTACTGTAACACAAACATTCAACAACCAAAATTAAGAAGCTGTTGCAAGAAAACAAGAATTTTAGTGATTAAGAACTTGAACTAGGTCAAGAGCAACTTCATTTCCGGTGATGGTCTCGCCGGCTTCTTCCTTCTCCGGCAATCCCCAATCGAAGAAGTAAAGTAAATTCAACAGTCCCAGTTCAACAATGGCGATCCCCATCGCTATCCCTGGACAGATTCTCCTACCAGATCCAAACGGTAAAAGCTCAAAGTTAAGTCCTCTGTAATCTATGGAACTGTCTACAAACCTATCAGGATTAAACTCATCAGGATTTTTCCAGTGCTTTGGATCACGTGCAATGGCATAAGCGTTGATCAAGATCTGTGTTTTGGCGGGAACATCATAGCCTTGGATCTTGATGTCAGACATTGTCTCTCTTGGGAGCAAAAGTGGAGCTGGTGGGTGTAACCTTAATATCTCCTTAACCATGAGCTTGAAGTAATGGAGATTGGTAAGATCTTGCACTGTGATTCTCTCTTTCTTCTCCCCAAGTGTTGTTCGGATCTCGTCTTGCACTTTCTTCATCACTTTAGGGCTTCTAATCAGCTCTGTCATTGCCCATATCATTGTGGAGGTGCTTGTGCTAACTCCTGCTAGAAATATGTCCTGGCACATGCATGACACAAATCTTGTGTGACAACTTACAATGGACGTTTTAAATGGTAAGAATATTGATTTCTTGCACATGTTCTAAAATATATTGACCACTTAGGATATCGAATACTTACCGAGATCATGCCTTTGAGATGATCTGTGGTGGGCTTGAAAGAGCCACCATCTTTGTCTTGCTTCCTCATCATATCGACCATCACATCAATAAGATCAAAGCTCTCAATTTTTGTACTTTCAGGCTTAAGATGAGAATCAAGAATGTTCAGAAAGAATGTGTCCAGCTCCGAAAAAGCACTCTCCAATCTCTTCTTCTGACCGGAGATCAAATCCATGAGCTCACCGATTCTTCCAGGAAATAAATCAGAGAATATAGAAGTCGTCGTGAGCAATTCAGCCTTGTTGAGAAGATCCTCGACGCTATCTTCATGGATATACTCGCACTCATGGAGATTTGTCCCGAGCCCGGTCCTACACACGATACTCCCTACTAATGTGTAAAGGGTTTTCTTCAGATTCACCGGAGATAGTCTCGAAGCAGATTCCATCAGTTTCTTGACCAACAAGTCATTCTCTTCCTCTCTCATATACTTGAAAGACTGAAGCTTTTTCGGGCTGAAGAGCTCGACCACCGAGAGCTTTCGCATCTCCCTCAATTCCTCACCGTAACGTGTGAATCCTATGTTTTTGTAGTTGTAAGACAACATCCTAAACCCGACTTTCTCTGGTCGGCTACAACACTCAAGATCGTGGGTCTTGAGAACTTCCTCGGCTGCTTCTTTCGAAGAGACCACGACCGTAGGGACGAATCCGAACCGGAGATGCACCACTGGTCCGTACTTTTCGGTGAGATTCCGACGGTTCCTGGGGTTTAACTCTCGGCTTTTGTGTAAGTTTCCGATGATCGGAAGCTTTCGTGGGCCCGGAGGAAGATTCCATTTTGAGGGTTTGAGATTTTTCCAGAGGGTTAAGATAAGAGGTAAGAGGAAGATGAAGCACAAGAAAATTGACATTTCGTTGCTCTGTTTTTTTTTTGGGTTATCTTCGTTCAATTGGTTTCATCATATTTTTTGGAAAAGGGCAATTATTGGCGCACTTCATGATGTGTCGTTGTAGATAATGAGCAATATCAAACGTGCCACAAAACCTGAATTGGTGGCCCTGAAAACGATTAAATGTAATTCTGGCCGGGCCATGTGTGTCCCTGTCGATAATGATCCAAATCCCTATGTGATCGATTAAAATAAAATAACCGGTTAGATTAAATTAAGACTGTGCTCTATCTCATCTTCTCTGACGTAGCGGAATGATAATTTATCCAAAGTGGACGATTAAAATAAAATATAGCTCATGAAATAACATTAGAATCTTAATTCATGGTGACAAATTTTAGAAGAATCAAAGTTCGGTGATGGATTAGCTTGATTTTAAAAGTTCAATGATTAAAGGTGTTACTTTGAGTAGATTTATTTTATTCCTACGAGTAAAGGAGCAAATGATTTTCAATATCTCCCCACCAAACCCTTTTCTTGGAATTTTCCCACAAGTCATGTTTAATATCAATTTCATGATCTAATTTTAATTACTTCATCCGTTTTGATGATTTAATTTTAATTACTTTATTTGTTTCACAGAGAGTGTCATTTTTAGATTTTAATTTTTTTTTACTAATAGTATCACTTTATATTTCCAATGTAATTTTATTAACTAAAATCCAATTTTAATCTTGTTATATTAGTGTATTAATTAGAAAGATAATATTTTAAAAAGGAATAAAATGACACTTTGTGAAAGAGAGAGAGTATTATCTTAGTTAATGGTGACAACGTTATTGTATAACCAAATTAAAATTACACTGATGAAACAGACATTATGAACTCACTTAAGTTCTACTCATTATGTTCCCTTATACAAATTAATCATTACAATCTTGCAAACAATAAAAATAAATATATGAGGTTTTTAGTGGCGAATAATCTTAACTAGGTCAAGAGCATCATCATTTCCGGTGAGGATCTCTTCACCTTCGTCCTTCTCTGGCAAACCCCAGTCAAAGAAGTAAAGCAAATTCAACAAACCCAGTTCCATAATGGAGATCGCCGTCGCCATCCCTGGACAGATTCTCCTACCAGAACCAAACGGTATAAGCTCAAAGTTTAGTCCTTTGTAATCTATGGAACTGTCTAGAAACCTGTCCGGGTTAAACTCATCCGGTTTTTCCCAGTATTTTGGATTGCGTGCAATGGCGTAAGCGTTGATAAAGATCTGGGTTTTGGCGGGAACATCATAGCCTTGGATCTTGACGTGCGACAACGTCTCTCTTGGGAGTAAAAATGGAGCTGGTGGATGTAACCTTAAAGTCTCCTTAACCATCAGCTTGAAGTAATGGAGTTTGGTTGCATCTTCTTCTGTGATTCTCTCTTTCTTGTCCCCAAGTGTTGTCCGGATCTCGTCTTGCACTTTCTTCATCACTCTTTGGTTTCTGATTAGCTCTGTCATTGCCCATACCATTGTAATGCCACTTGTGCTAACTCCAGCTGTAAATATGCCCTGAGAATATGATATAATAGTTACATAAATTTAATACCAGACAAACTAAACCAATTTTTTGTGTAATAAAAGTGAATGAAATAGATTAACATGTCATTTTATCAATATTTCATAATTATAATTATTTTTTAAATCTAAAACTCTTCTTAGACCTAGTTGAGTTTCCAACAAAAAAACTAGTCTACCTACAGGGTCCAAAACATTACCCCAATCATTGCTCTGAGATGATCTGTGGTGAGCTTGAAAGAGTCTCCATCTTCGTCTTGCTTCCCAATCATATCGATCATGACGTCAATAATATCAGAGCTCTCTACAAATTTCCTTCCAGGCTTAAGATGATCATCAAGAATATTCTGGTTGAAAGTGTTGACATCTGAGAACAAATTCCCAAGTCTCTTCTTCTGACCGGAGATCCAATCGACAAATCTTCCCACTCTTCCGGGGAAGGAATCAGAGAACAGAGGAACTGTCTGAATCAACTCCATCTTATGCATAACATCGGATATGCTATCTTCATCCATGAACTCGCACTTATGGAGATTTACCCCGAACCCTACCCTACACACAATACTCGCCACTGATGTGAATATGGCTTGCTTCAGATTCACGGTAGGTCGTCTCGAAGCAGATTCAGACAGTTTCTTGACCATCACGTCATTCTCTTCCTCTCTGATGTGCCTGAAAGTCTGAATCTTTTTGGCGGTGAAGAGCTCAACCACCGAGATCTTTCGCATCAGCCTCCATTCCTCGCCGTATGGCGCGAAGCCGATGTCTTTGCAGTTGTAAGAGATCATTCGGATCCCGGCTGTCTCTGGTCGGCTACAACATTGGAGATCGTGGATCTTGAGAACTTCCTCTGCTGCTTCTTTCGATGTGACTATCACCCTCGGCACGAATCCGAACCGAAGAAGCATAACTGGTCCGTACTTTTGGGAAAGATTCTGAAGGCATAAATGAAGAGCTCCTTGGAGGTTGCGTAAGTTTCCGATGATCGGAAGCGCCTTTGGTCCTGGAGGAAGATTCCATTTCGAAGGTTTGATATTTTTCAAGAAGATTATGAAAAGGGGTAAAAGGAGGACGAAACAGAGGAAGATTGACATGTTCTTTGCACTGTTTTGTTTTGTTTTGAACTTTGGTTTTGTGTTTTAATGGATGTGCTTCACTACTGATTTATAGAATAGTTAAAGTTAATCTCTATTTTTGAATTAAATAAAGACATGTGTGTTTTTTCTAATATTCATCTTGACATATATTCTAAAGGGCAGCTCTTGAATCTTGATTCAGCTTATGAGTCGTTGTCGATGACGATTATAATCCAAAGTGAACGACTAAAATAAAACAACCTCATGACATAACATTAATATCTTAACTAATGGTGACCAATTGAAGTTCACTGGTGAATTGGATTTCCATAGAGTTGTTTGATGTTAAAAGTTCACCTACCACAGATTTTTTTTTTTATATCTTAAATAAAGAGATTCCACAAGTAAATGAACAAACAAACAAATAATGACAAAATTATTAATGTTTTTTTTTAAAGCTACTGGGAGTATGTACGATACAGGGTTGTTTGGTTTTCAAAGATGAATTATAAACAATGAAAAGTTGCTAATACACTTAAAATTCAATAAAATAATTTTTTCTTGAAATAAAAAAATTATAATCATGTCATTACTCTTTTCACCGAATCATTAGCTAATCAATTTGATCAGCCACTACACTGAAAATATTTCTACTAGAGAATCTATACTATTAAAGTAGAGGCACAATTTAAGAAAACAACCTTAACAAAGCTTTTATCCCTGTTTCCAAACATCCTTAAACCCGAAATTAACACTAAAATCAACAAAAAAACAAAATACGCGGATCCTTATATCTACTTAAATTGAACCGGATAAAAATTAAAAGAACCATGACCAACAAAACCGAATGCAGATACTCATGAATCATACCGGTTTATTGGAGAGTTTAACTCCAAACAAACCCGGAAAATCTTCGCCTGCATATCAATCAAATCAAATAAACATAAAAACGGAATCATAATCAAATTTAGAAACAAAACTAATAATTAGGCCATAAAATCGGAACCTGCCATAATATGGTAACTAAATAGATACGCATGATCCTATATAAGAGTTATTTTCAAAATTTGATATCGAAAAGAATATCTTTGGTAACTTTTAATCTTCGGAAACAGAAAATATTGTTTTGCGAGATTTTAGCCTAATTGAGAGTATATTCGGAATTAAATGATTGAAAATCTAATAATGAGGAAACTCCAAACAATATAAGTACATGGTTCACCACAGGGTTATGATACTGACCTATAAATTGTGAGGCAGTCAGAACCAAACCAAAGTGGAATCACGGCTAATGCTCTTCCGGTCACACTTTGGAAGATCATGAAGCCATTCGCGTCTCGAATAGAAATGATTTGAGGTAATGAAAAAATTAGCATTCAAATAGTGTTTAAAATTTATGGTGACTTTTCATTTGTTTCATATACAACTCTGAATCTCTGATTATTAAATTTTTTTCAAAAAATAGACAGAGTAGGAACACAAATCCATGGTGATGTGATGAAGGAGCATGTTCTAAAAATCCATATGGCTACTCTATTCAAAGTTCGATAGTATAAAAAGTGAGTTTACTAGATTCATTATATTCTTAATGATTATTCCATGAAGCATAATTAACATAATCATCTTCGATGTGATTTTCAGGAAACAATACTCTTAACAAACAGAAGATCCTCAATAATATACTTTGAGTCTAACGAGTCTTATATTTGTATAAACTGAGATGATAGGATTTTCCTTATGGGGTATATTAGCTCATGATAGATGTTGGGGCATGTGAATCCGCTGGAACTAAAACTTTGTTTGCTTAGATGGTCAAGATTAGAGAATACAAAGGTGAGTATAAAATCGATATGATAAAAAATGTATAAAGGATCCTATGGTAATACTTCCTTGAAATCTGCTTGCTAATGCCTTCTGTTCGTATGATTTGCAGCATTTTTATGAAAAGGAACATGTTCAGCAGTATGATAGGCTTTGAGTGAATGAAGAATGGATTAAGTGGAGGTAAAAAAACAATGTAACTTTGGTTGTTCTGTTTTTTTTACTTACATGAATTAGTTTAAAACGGTATGTACACATTTTCACACGAAATTTTAATATTGACCTCCATGCGAAAGGTTTCAAATGAGTAATGCAGTGTAATAATGGTGGTTGAAGTCTTATATGCAATGTCTTTTTTCATTAACATCTGAAATTACAGTTTATCAAACTTGAAGAGCTAGCTGGATGTTCAGAGTAAATGTTCTCTAGAGGAACCAGCTTAAAAAAGCTCCAAAGCATATAGATGGAACTTACTTCTCTTGGGCTTGAGAAGACAATATTTGACTAATTAAGTATACGTTCATCACTTCCAATCAGAAAATAATTTTTTTCAAATTAGAAAAAAAAAACAACTCCAGTTTCTTTTCAACTTATGTGTGTGTAAAAATCCCGAATACACAAGAAAATGCTAAACTCTCGAGTAAATCACAATATGAGTAAATCTCTATTTAAACTCATGATTGTACACATACTAGAGGTATTGAATATATGAACACGAACTTAGCATGGGAAAATTAATATTTAGCAAACCTACTCAAATCTGATCTGATTATGTGAGGATAATAATAAAAGATCAACAGATTACCTTCCACAATCATCGCCATGTCTTCAATTGTTCTTTTGCATGGAGAATCTGGAATCACATAGGATCTCAAAGTGAAACCACTCATGTTCCCACTTCCCAATAGGTCATATTCAAATACTGCTTTGCAAAATCAAAATGGGAACAAAGATGATAAGAGACTAACCTATGTGGCTTTGCAGTCGATATATGGACAGAGAGGAATCACCGCCTCATGGCTATTAAACTATCCGCAAAAGAATTGCATATTGCCTGCGTTAAACTCTCCTTTGGATTTTACGTTAGGGTTGAAAAGAGGCCATAGAAGGGGATTTTTGTGTTGCATATAGGCACGATTCTGTGGAATGTCTTTCAATTTGGCGTGTTTTTTCCCCTTTTTTTGTTTGAAGCAGAAGCGGTGGAAACAAAAGGGGTGTTTCTTTAATTATTTTTTTACCATTTAAAAAGTATTTTGTTACATTCGAATTTGAAGTACTTTAGTCACATTATATCATAGGACAATGTTTTATGGATTGAATAATTTTTTTTTTATGGGTTCATAATATTTTTCATGGATTGAATAATTTTATTTTACAGGTTGAATAAGTTTTATGGATTGAATAATTTTCCTTTTACAAATTTAGCAATATCACGAGTTAGAACCAACATTCTTTTCGATCCGGGTCATTTTAGAGAGAGAGAAAGAAAAAAAACGAATCTGATTAAAGGTGAAAGTTTATAATTTTGACTTTAATATATTTCATAGAAAATTTACAAATGAATAGAGAAGAAGAAAATTTGATCTACAGACAATAATATCGTCTTCTTAACCCAAATTACCAAATTTCTCTTTTAAAAATGAACTCTACAGTCTACATTAACACCAAAAGCTAATACCAATAAAGACAGTTTAGTTCTCTTTAATAAAAAAAACTTTAAACAATATCTAATCTTAAAATCTAATATTCACAAATTCAACTAACTCAAAGATTAGTAAAATCGCATGTGAGATAATCATTCAATTTTAGATAAATAATGTTCACAAATTAAAATAATTGAAAGGTTAGTAACATTACAGGTCAGAACAAATATTCTTTTAAATTCAGTTTCTCACGAGAGACATAAAAAAACAAACGGATCTGATTAAAAATGAAAATTACAAATTTTGACTTTAATTTATCTCATGGACAAATTTACAAAAGAAGAGAAAAAAAATATGATACGGGTTGAAACAAATAAATCTCATTCAAATAGTTAGGCTTAAAATATGATAAAAAAAAACAAATGTTATCACAACAACATTTTAATGAAACTTTAAAACAATATACAATTTTAGAAAGCTAATGTTCACAAATTAAAATAATTCAAAAGTTAGCAATATCACCGGTCAGAACCAACATTCATTTAGATTCGGGTTATTACCGAGAGACATAAAAAAACTGGATCTAATCAAAACTGAAAATTTGCAATGTTGACTTTAACATGATGTCTCATGGACAACTTTATAAAAGAAGAGAAAAAAAGATGTATCAAATTGAGAAGATACTATTCTAGGTTTCATCGATACTGGTCATGACTAACTTCAGATTAAAAGAGTTTGATTCGCTCATATTGTTATGTCGACAACACATCAAAATTTAATGCAGTGATCGTAAAAATTAAAGTAACAATACCGACAAAATTAATAATTATCAGCCTCATCAACGAAAAAATTACACATGTTAACTTATCTCATGAAGACAATAATTTCTTACCAACAAAAATTCATCATTTTTACTCTTATACCACAATAAGCCGAAATATAATATATAGCCCAATAATTAATGATCACATATTTATTTTATCTAATACTTAGATAATCTAATATTAATTCATCAATATATATCACAAACATACAATAATTTACATAATTACAATATAAATACTTAAAATTTTCTTATCAAAAATTACAACATCATGTGCTTCTCAAGCACGGGTCAAAATCTAGTATTGTTTATTCCTGAAACAATATTACATTATTTGTCTTACTTGCGATTTAAGCCACTAATAGAACACTAGTCCTCAATAGGGCTTACTATTCTTAATAACTGAAACATGTTTCTTATTTCAAATCAAGCTTTCATGAAACAAAAACATTCAAGAACCAAAATTAAGAAGCTATTGTGGCTGAAAACCAGATTTTTAGTGATGAAGAACTTGAACGAGGTCAGGAGCAACTTCATTTCCGGTGATGGCCTGGTCGGCTTTTTCCTTCTCCGGCAATCCCCAGTCGAAGAAGTAAAGCAAATTCAACAGCCCCAGTTCAACAATGGCGATCCCCATCGCCATCCCCGGACAGATTCTCCTCCCAGATCCAAACGGTAAAAGCTCAAAGTTTAGTCCTTTGTAATCAATGGAACTGTCTACAAACCTATCAGGATTAAACTCATCAGGATTTTTCCAGTGCTTTGGATCACGTGCAATGGCATAAGCGTTGATCAAGATCTGTGTTTTGGCGGGAACATCATAGCCTTGGATCTTGATGTCAGACATCGTCTCTCTTGGGAGCAAAAGTGGCGCTGGTGGGTGTAACCTCAATACCTCCTTGACCATTAGCTTGAAGTAGTGAAGCTGTTTGAGATCTTCTTCTGTGACTCTCTCCTTCTTGTCCCCAAGCGTTGTCCGAATCTCGTCTTGCACTTTCTTCATCACTTTAGGGCTTCTAATCAGCTCTGTGATTGCCCATACCATTGTGGAGGCGCTTGTGCTTACTCCTCCTAGAAATATGTCCTGACACATGACACAAATCTTGCATTACAACAATGGACGTTTTAAAGAATTCAAGAACTAGTATGGATACCGAAGATTTACCGATATCATGCCTTTGAGATGGTCTGTGGTGAGCTTGAAAGAGCCACCATCTTTGTCTTGCTTCCTCATCATATCGACCATCACATCAATAAGATCAAAGCTCTCAATTTTTGTACTTTCATGCTTAAGATGAGAATCAAGAATGTTCTGAAAGAATGTGTCTAGCTCCGAAAAAGCACTCTCCAATCTCTTCTTCTGACCGGATATCCAATCCATGAGTTCACCGGCTCTTACGGGAAACAAATCGGCGAAGATAGAAGCCGTCAGCAATTCAGACTTTTTCACAAGATCCACGACGCTATCTTCATCGACGAACTCACACTCATGGAGATTTGTCCCAAGCCCGGTCCTACACACAATACTACCTACTAATGTGTAAAGGGTTCTCTTCAGATTCACCGGAGATAGTCTTGAAGCTGATTCAGAGAGTTTCTTGACCAACAAGTCATTCTCTTCCTCTCTGATATACTTGAAAAACTGAAGCTTTTTCGGGCTGAAGAGCTCGACCACCGAGAGCTTTCGCATCTCTCTCGATTCCACACCGTAACGTGTGAATCCCATGTCTTTGTAGTTGTAAGACAACATCTTAAACCCGAGTTTCTCTGGTCGGCTACAACACTCAAGATCGTGGGTCTTGAGAACTTCCTCGGCTGCTTCTTTCGAAGAGACCACGACCGTAGGGACGAATCCGAACCGAAGATGCACCACTGGTCCGTACATTTCCGAGAGATACCGACGGTTCCTGGGGTTTAACTCTCGGCGTTGGTGTAAGTTTCCGATGATCGGAAGCTTTCGTGGGCCCGGAGGAAGATTCCATCTCGAGGGTTTGAGATTTTTCCAGAGGGTTAAGATAAGGGGCAAGAGGAAGATGAAACACAAGAAGATCGACATATTCGTTGCTCTGTTTTTTTTTTCTTTCTTTCTTTCTTTTGGTTATCTTCGTTTCAATTGGTTTCATCATTTTTTTCTCTAAAGGGCAATTATTGGCTCACTCCATGATGTGTCGTTGTCGATAGGATTGTCGATTTAAATGTGCCACAAAAGTTGAATTGGTGGCCCTGAAAACGATTAAATATAGTTAATGGCCGGGCCATGTGTGTCACTGTGTCAGTGTCACTGTTGATAATGGTCCAAATTCCTATGTGATCGATTAAAACAAAATAACCCACACGACTCTCTTATTACTTGTTGTAGTGGTTAGATTATTTTAAGATTGTGATCATGAAAAGATATTCAAGATCGGTTATTTTTTGTTACATATGTCTTAATCTTCATGATTTTAGGTTTTTTTAGCTAAAACATCTTAGGAAATCCCTATTTCGTCCTTGAAAAAATAAATCGTTCAATTTTATTTTAGAAAGCTTGTAACAAACGACATACGAGTAAATACAAAAACACATGCACGTAGATAATAGAATATTACGAGACATGAACAGCCTCACTTACATTATTGACTGAGACAGAGTAAAGTGTGCAAATTCAAACAATCTTAGAATCTTCCAAACTTTTGTGACACTTTCGTCAATAGTGTCGACTTGGCACAAGTAGGAGAGGTCGTTTCTTGCCAACAGAGATAGTGCCATTTTCTTCCATATCAACGCCTTAAATTTTCAATAATAATACAAATGTTATCGTATCACACCTTAAAATTCAGTTCAAACAAACAAACAAACAAAAATAACACATGTTTTATTGTACATCACACATTCACACCTTAAAACGCAGTTCAAACAAACAAACAAGAAAGACAAGAAAGTTAAAAGATAAATCATTATGGTCGTGGAACCGGTACAAGCATGAGAGGTACTTTCTTGAAAACCGAGAGAGTACCGATTTCTTCCATATCAATGTCATCAATTTTCATTCCATCGGGCAATCTCCAATCGAAGAAGTAAAGCATACTCAACAAGGCCATTTCAATAGCAGCAGTCGACATTGAAATTCCTGGACATATCCTTCGGCCTGAACCAAACGGTAGAAGATTATAGTTTTGTCCTCTAAAATCTATAGAACTATCAGCAAACCTTTCAGGGATGTAATCTTCAGGGTCGGTCCAATGTTTTGGGTCACGTCCGATCGTATATACGTTGAGCTGAATCGCTGTCCCTGGAGGAATATCATAGCCTTGGATCTTGACGTGAGCCATTGATTTTCTGGTCACAACTGGAACAGGTGGGTGCAATCTGAATGTTTCTTTAATTACGAGCTGTAAATAAGCAACTTTATTGAGGTCTTGTTCAGTAATTATCTTCTTTTCGGTCCCTAGTGTGGTTCGGATTTCTTCTTGTAATTTCTTCATCACTCTTGGGTTTCTAGCAAGTTCTGTCATCGTCCATATCATTGTTATGACGCTTGTATCTATCCCAGCTAGAAATACATCCTGAACAGCACATAATTACGTAACTGTTTTAAAAGTTTTATTTAGATAATATGTAACTTAAACATCAAATATTAAGGAAAATTCAAGTGATTTGTCATGTTGGTTAAAGTCAAAAGATCGACATCCTGGGATATCACGAAAAAGGAATAGCCACATGGTTAATCTAATTAAAAAGGAAAAAAACCCTAGAAATATTAACATATTATATATATATACTCTCATTATATACTCTAATTTAAATTAATATTATAAATTCAGAAAAAAAAACTAAACATAAAATAAAATATTAATTATATAGAGAGCTTTACCATGAGGACTGCCTTTATATTATCGTAATCGAGCTTGAAATAATCTTTCGTCCCTTGCCTTCCGATAATATCGAGCATCACGGCGACAATATCCATCGGAGAGTCCGAAGTTTCACGTCCTGACGATTCCTTCAAGTGATCATCAATCACATGCTGGTAAAAATCATCAAGCTTCTTGAAGACTTTGTTTAACTTCTGTTCTTTACCAACCAACCAATCTATGGATCGTCCAATTCCACCTGCGGGGAACAAGTCAGTGAAAGTGAAATTCCCAAGAACATCCCCTGCGTCAGCAACCAGTTCTTCCATCTTCTTTTGGTTGATAAAGTCGCAATCATGGAAGTTTCGTCCCATGGCTACTCTAGAAACGATGCTCCCGGCAAAAGAGAAAAATACATTTCTTAGATCCACAGGAGATTGTGTCAAAGCCGACACTTTCTTCGCCATCAATTCGACCTCTTCCTCTCTTATGTGCCTGAAAGATTGTACCTTCTTGAGACTAAAAAGCTCGATAACTGCGACTTTCCTCATCTCTCTCCAGTACTCACTGTATGGCCCAAAAGTGATGTCTTTGAAACCATAAGAGAGTCTTTTGGTCACGACCATATCCAATCGAGTGCAACATTGTAAGTCATAGGTTTTGACCACTTCTTCAGCTGCTTCACTTGAGGAGATCACAACCACAGACATGGACCCGAGACGAAGAAGCATCACTGGTCCGTATTTGATGCAAAGCCTGTGGATGCATCTATGAGGCACACCAGTGAGATGGTGCAAGTTTCCTATGATTGGTAAACTTGATGGGCTCGGAGGAAGTTTCCATTTTGAGGTTTTAAGCTTTTTTGACAAGATGAAAAAGGAAACTATGAAGATGGGTAAGAGGCAGAGGAAAGAGAGGAAGAGTGACATGATTTAATTATCTCTTTTTTTAGGGTATTTTCGAGTGAAAACCTAAGTTTTGAAAAATGCATTTTATAGACAATTAACAATCTAAAGCACTATTATATTATTGACATGGTTGCCGTGGTTCTCGTGGATACATAATAAATTGATTTCAAGGCTGCAACAAATTCTAATTCATCAGCAGATCAGCTTAGTCTTGGAATGTTGAAGATTTTATACGTATTTTTAAATGGAAATGATTGATTCGGTCTGAGGAAAATGTCAAAACTGTATCTTTCTAATACGCAGATGATGTATATGTTGCACCTTGTTAAGCGATGCTTGTATTCTACACTTATTTGTACTCTTGCATTCAGGGATGTATTGTATTGCATCTTGTTAAGCGATAAATTGTATTGTACTCTTGCGTGCAATAGTTTATATGTCAAGACTTTTTCATTGTAATACCCAGATGATGTATATGTTGCACCTTGTTTAGCAATGCTTGTATACATTGCATTTTGGTTCCAACAGCCTATTACTGAATGATATTGTGTGTTTCTATCTTTTTGTTCTTTCTCTAATTTAGAATAAAAAAAATATATGTTTTCGGAAGTTCAAGAAAGTAAAAGTTTATAGTCATCAGTCTTTTATAAGAGCAACATGAAGAACCAAGATCAAAATATCAGACAACGTTTTTTTTTTTTTAACTTTAACTTTAGCTTTGTGTTTTAACTGAAGTCACTACTTATATACACGTTAATAAGATTTAGATTAGTAATCTCTCTCTATTAAAATATTCTTTTAAAAAGACAAGAGGTTTTTCCTAATATTCATCTTGACATATTTTCTAAAGGGTAACTCTTGAATCTTGCATGATTCAGCTTATGGGTCGTTGTCGATGACGATTGTAATCCAAAGTGAACGATTAAAATAAAACAACCTCATAACATAACAATAATATCTTAACTAATAGTGACCAATTCATATTCACCGGTGAAATGGAATCCATAGAGTTGTTTAATGTTAAAAGTTGAATGATTAACATTGTTAGGTGGAGTTGGATTTATACAGATTTTTTTTTATATATCTTAAACAAAGATTCCACAAGTAAATGAACAGACAAATTAAACATGCCCAACATATAATGATAAATTATTATTATTAAGAAAAATAAAATTTATCGGTATATGTTGATAAATTAGAAATAGTTCATTTTCTCTACTGCAAATTAACAGTGATGAAATGTAATATAAAGGATTCGAAATCCAGAGGACCAGCGTTACACTGTGAAACTACGAGATTTAAAACAGAGCTAAGAAAAAAATTGATTGGTTTTAGTAGCAGGTAACGAATGTAAACGATGATGTAATTCAATTAAACAGGGACTAGACCAAGGCAATTCGCAGAGATTCACAATGAACGACCGAACAACTATTCAGGGTACAGATGTTGAACAGGTCTCGAACTCAAACATGAAAGTATGTCAATTCACTTTCGCGATAATGATAACTTTATCTAACAACCTAGATGTCTAAACTGTCGTTTGAATCTAGCAGTTGATGATAAGCAATAAACTCAGGTTCGATAAGTTCACGGATCGCCTCAACATCAACTTTCGCAGGCTAAGGACGATTCGCTCACCACAGTTCGTTCTAACAACCTATAACACTTTTGATGAACAGGTAATCTGAGATCAGAGATCGAATGATCAGATCGATCTAAGCAGTAAGTACAACAATGGCGAAGACAGTATAAAGCCCTATCTGTATTCGGTCAATTTAACACATGAATCCCTTTGAAAAGCCTAGATCTAGCAGAGTGACTATTCAGACATAACGAAACAGTAAACAATGACTGAAACTGAATTCATTGAAATCAAAGTATGAAATAACAGAAAGAACAAGGGTTCAGAAATCTTCTCCAAACTGTGAAAAACAGAGGTTCGATCTCTTCTCCCTCGGAAACAATGAACAACAGTGTAAAAACTCTGAAAAACAGCGTACCTTAAAGCAGTGGCTAAAGATAGGTCTAAATAGCTCCGGGGTCGACTTCGGTTTAATCCGGTTCGATGTGGTTCGATCGAGTCGGTTTGCACCAAATATGAGATCGATCACTGCATGGCATGGCGAGAGAGATCGATCGAACCACCTCCTGTCGTACGAGCTCGATCGAGCTGCTGCTCGTGTACGAGCTCAATCGAGCTGCTGCTCGTGTACTAGCTCGATCGAGCTGCTGCTCGTCGTGTAAGAGCTCGAACGGGCTGCTGCTCGTGTACTAGCTCGATCGAGCTGCTGCTCGTCGTGTACGAGCTCGATCGAACCCCCTCCTGTTGTATGGGGTCGATCGAGCTGTTGTTCGTGTACTAGCTCGATCGAGCTGCTGCTCGTCGTGTAAGAGCTCGAATGGGCTGCTGCTCGTGTACTAGCTCGATCGAGCTGCTGCTCGTTGTGTACGAGCTCGATCGAACCCCCTCCTGTTGTATGGGGTCGATCGAGCTGTTGTTTGTGCATAGCTCCGTTTTGCCTGTTTTCGCCTTTTGTTGGCCTATATAACCAAAGCTCTCACTGGAATGTCTTCAGACCTGAAAAGACTCGATAAGACTAGAAAGACTCGATAAAACTCGTGAAAACAACGGTTAGAATGCGTCAAATACGCAAGATATCATATGCCTATATGGAGCTGTTTAATTTTAAAAGTTGAATCGTTAAGGGTGTTAGTTGGAGCTTATCTCTGAATTTTCTACAGAGCTTTGTCCATAATTTTAAGCGGAGAACTATCTTTTCAAGAAAAACAATGAATATATAAATTCTTTTGCATTTTTAATTATTGAATATATGAATTCTTTTCACAGAATCCATTAGCTAATTAGTTGATCAACCACTACACAAAAAAATATTTCTACCAGATAATTTAGTTTAATAATTAATATGAAAAGATTTATACATTATTCTTGAAACAATATTACATTATTTGTCTTACTTGTGATATAAGTCACTGATTGAATAATAAGAATAGTATACTAATCCTATATAGGGCTTACTATTTTTAATAACTGAAAACATGTTTCGAATTGAAAATCAAGCTTAATGTAACACAAACATTCAACAACCAAAATTAAGAAGTTGTTGCAAGAAAGCCAGATTTTCAGTGGGGAATAACTTGAACGAGGTCAAGAGCAACTTCATTCCTAGTGATTATATCGTCACCTTCTTCCTTCTCCGGCAACCCCCAGTCGAAGAAGTAAAGCAAATTCAACAAACCCAATTCCATAATGGTGATTGCCGTCCCCATCCCTGGACAGACTCTCCTACCAGATCCAAAAGGTATAAACTCAAAGTGAAGTCCTTTGTAATCTTTGGAACTGTCTAGGAACCTGTCTGGGTTAAACTCATCGGGGTTTTCCCAGTATTTTGGATCGCGTGCAATCGCGTAAGCGTTGATCAAGATCTGAGTTTTGGCGGGAATATCATAGCCTTGGATCTTGATGTCAGACAATGTCTCTCTTGGGAGCAAAAACGGAGCTGGTAGGTGTAACCTTAATGTCTCCTTAACAATTAACTTGAAGTAATGTAGTTTGGTGACATCTTCTTCTGTGACTCTCTCCTTCTTGTCCCCAAGCGTTGTCCGAATCTCTTCTTGCACTTTCTTCATCACTCTAGGGTTTCTGATCAGCTCTGTCATTGCCCATATCATTGTGGAGGCGCTTGTGCTTACTCCTGCTAGAAATATGCCCTAATAATGATATACCAAAGATTGTGTTACGTACAAATATTAGTCTAGAAAACTAACAACTTACTTAAGGGTACAAAACATTACCCCAATCATTGCTCTGAGATGATCTGTGGTTAGCTTGAAAGAGTCTCCATCTTTGTCTTCGTCTTGCTTCCTCATCATATCGATCATCACGTCGATTATATCAGAGCTCTCTTCCACTCTCCTTCCAGGCTTAAGATGATCATCGAGAATATTCTGATTGAAAGTGTTGACATCCGAGAAATAATTCCCCGATCTCTTCTTCTGGCCGGAGATCCAATCGACGAATCTTCCCATCCTTCCAGGATAAGTATCAGAGTACAGAGGAACCGTCTGGACTAAATCCATTTTATTCATAACATCAGTGACGCTGTCTTCATTCATGAACTCGCACTCGTGGAGATTTAGCCCGAATCCGACCCTACACACAATACTCGCGACTAACGTGTAAAGGGTTTTCTTCAAGTTCACGGTAGGTCGTGTCAGAGAAGATTCAGAAAGTTTCTTGACCAACAAGTCATTCTCTTCCTCTCTGATATGTGTGAAAGACTGAATCTTTTTTGCGGTGAAGAGCTCGACAACCGAGATCTTTCGTATCGTCCTCCATTCCTCACCGTATGGCGCGAATCCGATGTCTTTACAGTTGTAAGAGACCATTCGGAACCCGGCTGTCTTTGGTCGGCTACAACATTGAAGATCTTGGATCCTTAGAACTTCCTCTGCTGCTTCTTTCGATGTGATAATCACCTTGGGCACGAATCCGAACCGAAGAAGCATCACTGGTCCGTACTTTTGGGAAAGATTCTGAAGACATAAAGGAAGGGCTCCTTGGAGGTTGTGTAAGTTTCCGGTGATCGGACGCGTCTTTGGTCCCGGAGGAAGCTTCCATTTCGAAGGCTTGAGATTTTTCAAGAAGATTATGAAAAGGGTTAATAAGAAGATGAAACAGAGTAAGATTGACATCTTCGTTGCTCTATTTCCTTTTTTGTTTCTTTTTTTGTGTGTTTTAGTTGAAATGCTGGACTACCGATTTATATAGTTACTTATTTGTAGATTTGTAATATCTCTATTTGAAATAAATAAAAAATGGGTGTATTTTTTCTAGGGCCATTTTTCTAATATTCATCTTGACATATTTTCTGAAGGGCATCTCTTGAATCTTGATTCAGTTTATGGGTCGTTGTCGATGAAGATTGTGATCCAAAGTGAACGATTCAAATAAAACGACCTCATAACCTAACATTATATATCTTATCTTATGGTAACCAACTACAATTCACTGGTGTTAAGTTTATGTTATTAAGAGTTGAATGATTAAGGGTGTGAGGTGGAATTAGCCTTATGCAAATTTAATTTAAATGAACAAACAAACAAATAGTGACCAAATTATAATTTTAAAAGTTGGATGATTGAGAGTGTTAGTTGGATCGTCTATGTCTCTGATTTCTAGTGAGCTTTGTCCATGATATCTTTTTATATTTTATATAGAGAAGCATTTCACGTGGAGAAGAAGGAAAAGGGATGAGAATTATTTTGTATTTTATATAGAGTCAATTAAAATATGAGCCTTCACAGTTTTTAGATGTATCTAGCTCAAAAACACATTCATATACATTTTTTAAAAACGACAACTAATATAAAATGGATGGAGTATTAGTTTTTCTTCAGTCAATAGTTACATTTTTTTCTGTCTTACACACAACAAACTAGAAAAATTGTGTAAGTTAATTGTTGTCACTAATTAAACAATTATAGAACATTAATGATAACTGAAAAATGTTGCTAATTTAGAATCAAAGCTTAATTAGCACAAAATTCAACACCAAAACTAAGAATTTGTTGCAAGAAAACAAGATCTTTAGTGATGAAGAACTTGAACTAGGTCAAGAGCAACTTCATTTCCGGTGATGGTCTCGTCGGCTTCTTCCTTCTCCGGCAACATTAAAGCTCTCAAGTATTGTTCTTTCATGCTTACGTATAGTTTTTTTTATCGCAGTAACACTACTAGTTTAAATTTTCACTAATAACACAAATTTTATTGTTTTACACCGTAAAATGCAGTTCAATTATTTTTTTTTCCTAAGACGAGAAAGTTCAAACAAACGAACAAACAAAAAAACATTATTGTCGTCGAACCGGTACAAGCATGAGAGGTATTTTCTTGACTACCGAGAGAGTACCAACTTCTTGCATATCAATATCTCCAATTCCCATCCCATCAGGCAATCTCCAATCGAAGAAGTAAAGCATATTCAACAACGCCAATTCAATAACAGCGATCGACATGGGAATCGCTGGACAGATCCTTCGACCAGAACCAAAAGGTAGTAGATTAAAGTTTTGTCCTCTAAAATCTATAGAACTGTTGTGAAACCGTTCAGGGATGAAATCTTCAGGGTCAGTCCAACGTTTTGGGTCACGTCCGATCGTCCATACGTTGATCTGAACTGTTGTCTCCGGAGGAATATCGTAGCCTTGGATCTTGACGTGAGACATTGTTTTTCTGGTGACAACTGGAACTGGTGGGTGCAATCTGAATGATTCTTTGATTATGAGTTGTAAGTAATCAACTTTGTTGATGTCTTGTTCAGTAATTGTCTTCTTTTCGGTCCCTAGTGTGGTTCGGATCTCTTCTTGTACTTTCTTCATCACTCTTGGGTTTCTAGCAAGTTCTGTCATCGTCCATACCATTGTTATGACACTTGTATCTATCCCAGCAAGAAATACATCCTGAACACACACACACAAGCACTAACTCATAAGTACATAACTTTTTTTTATATATATATATATATGTGAAAAAAAAAATCAACTGATCGATTTATTGAATAGCCACATGGTTAGTCTAATTAAAAAGGGAAAAAAAAAACTAGAAACACTAACATATAGACAGGTCTTTGTTATTTATTTACGTTTACATTTCCATGATATATAATATTCTAACTAAAAAAAGTAAACGCACATGCAAAGAAATCGGAGCTTAAGAATAAAAGATAAATAGTATATAGAGCTTTACCATGAGGACTGCCTTTATATTATCGTAATCGAGCTTGAAATAATCTTCTTTTCCTTGCTTTCCGATGAGATCCAGCATCACGGCGACAATATCCGTTGGAGTGTCCGAAGTTTTACGTCCCGAAGATTTCTTCAAGTGATCATCAATCACATGCTGGAAAAAAGCATCAAGCTTCTTAAAGACTTTGTTTAACTTCTTGTGTTTACCAATCAACCAATCTATGGATCTTCCAAAACCACCAGAAGGGAACAAGTCCGTGAAAGTGAAGTTCCCTAGAGCATCCGCTGCTTCGGCAACAAGTTCTTCCATCTTCTCTTGGTCGATGAACTCGCAGTCATGAAAGTTTTGTCCCAAGGCTACTCTACAAATGATGCTCCCGGTAAAAGAGAAAAACATTTTTCTTAGATCCACAGGAGATTGTGTCAAAGCCGTCACTTTCTTCACCATCACTTCGACTTCTTCTTCTCTCACGGACCTAAAAGATTGTACCTTCTTGAGGCTAAAAAGCTCGATAACCGCGACTTTCCTCATCTCTCTCCAGTACTCACCGTATGGCCCAAAAGTTATGTCTTTATAACCGTAAGATAACTTCTCGGTCCCGACCATCTTGGATCGTGTGGAACATTCTAGGTCATGGGTTTTAAGCATTTCTTCAGCTGCTTCGCTTGAGGAGATCACAACCACTGGAACGGACCCGAGACGAAGAAACATCACTGGTCCGTATTTGATGCAGAGCCTGTGGATGGATCGGTGAGGCAAATCACCGAGATGGTGCAAGTTTCCTATGATTGGGAAACTTGATGGGCTCGGAGGAAGTTTCCATTTTGAGGGTTTAAGCTTTTTTGACAAGATGAAAAAGGAAACTATGAAAATGGGTAAGAGGCAGAGCAAAGAGAGGAAGAGTGGCATGATTTATCTCTTTTTAGGGTATTTCCGAGTGAAGAACTAAGCTTTGAAAAATGCAATATATAGACAGTTATAACAGTCTAAAATCTTATTATTTCTTTGACTAAAGGCTTAAATAGAGAATTAACAATTATATGGACTAAAGACTTACGCAATTTATAGACAATTAACAATCTAAAGAGGTCTTATTATGGTGCCGTGGTTTTTGGGATACATAATAAACTAATCTGAAGTCGGCAACAAATTCTAGTTAGTGACTCATCAGCTTAGTCTTGGACTCTTAAATATTTTGGTTCGGTAATGTTTAGTTCGGTCTACTAAAAATGTCGTAATTTTTTCTTTATATAATACCCAGAACCAGAAGGGAAGATACATGTTATTTTCCATCTTTAGTCAGGAATGGGAGAAAGCCACACAAATTATAATGGGAGAAAATGAAATGAAGACTAATAATAGTTTGGTCAAGAAAAGAGACATTTTGTCTACTATGTACATTTTGTCTACAAGTCATTACTATTTACTAATAGTAAAAATATAACGTAAATCAATTCAGACTAAATCGCACACTAGCCAGATGGTATGGTTGTAATATCTTTTGACCCTTCACGTTTGGTCCACATCGGCCGAATTGATAGACCTATCTCACGGTCCATGTGGAAATACAGGCAACCATCATTCTCTTATTTAAACCCAAGAAAATAAACTACTATAATTATTATTTTTTTTTCAGTAGTGATAAAATCATGTACTGTGAGACGTGAGTATTAGAAAGTTTTCTGTCTGAAATCAGATTATCCATGACTGAAACTTTTTCAAGTAAACAAACTTTATTATTTTTTTATTACTTGTTGAAACAATTCTTCTTTATATAACGCAGCAAGAAACAATTTTTTTTTTTTTTGCTTCATACTCTTTCCATGTTATGACTTATGAAGCAGTTATTACTGCTTAATTTCTCATCAATAATGTTGAATGGGCACAAGTTGAAGAGGTAGCTTCTTGACAATGGAGATATTACCAGCTTCTTCCATGTCAACGTCTCCACTTTTCATACCATCAGGCAATCCCCAATCGAAAAAGTAAAGCAAATTCATCAACCCTAGCTCCACCGTAGCAACCCCCATTGGCATCGCTGGACACATCCTTCGTCCTGAACCAAACGGTAACAGCTCAAAGTGCTGTCCTCTAAAATCCACAGAACTATCCGCAAACCGTTCAGGGATGAATTCTTCAGGGTCGGTCCAACGACTAGGGTCACGTCCGATGGTCCACACGTTGATTTGGATCTGCGTTTTGGGTGGAATATCGTAGCCTTGGATCTTGATGTGTGACATTGTGTCCCTTGGGATTATAAATGGAAGTGCTGGATGTAACCTGAACGTTTCCTTGATTATGAGCTTCAAGTAATCAACTTTGTCAAGATCATCTTCAGTGATTCTTTCTCTTTTGTGACCTAATGTGGTTCGAATAGCTTCTTGTGCCTTCTTCATCACTCTAGGGTTTCTAACGAGCTCTGTCATTGCCCATATCATAGTCACAGCACTTGTATCTATCCCCGCGAGAAACACATCCTGAAACGTCACATAAGAAACATGTCATAAAGTTTAATTAGTATAATCAAGATGTTTAACATGAGATATTGACAAAACCAAGATTTGAGTTTTTTTTTTTTTTTACCATGAGGATTGCCTTGAGATTATCCATATTGAGTTTGAAAGAATCTTCATTTCCATGTTTATCAATTATATCCAACATCAAGGAAACAATATCCGGATTTTTCCTTCCTTCTGGCTTCAAGTGATCATCAATCACATGCTGGTAAAAAGCATCAAGCTCTCTAAAGACTTTGTTGATCCTCTTGTGCCTTTGAAACAACCAGTCAACGAATCTTCCAACTCCACCAGGGAAGAAGTCAGAGAAAGTGAAAGTCCCTAGAGCTATCGTAGATTCGGTAACAAGTTCTTCGATCCTCTCCTGATCGATGAAGAAGCCACTGTCGTTGAAGTTCTGACCTAAAGCTACTCGACAAATGATGCTTGCGGTGAGTGAGAAGAAGGTTTTGCTTAAGTCCACAGAGGACTGTGTCAATGCCGATTCCGACAGTTTCTTCACCACGAATCCGACCTCTTCCTCTCTGATATACCTAAAAGACTGAACCTTTTTGAGGCTGAAAAGCTCGATGACCGCAAGTTTCCGCATTTCGCGCCAATACGAACCGTACGGCGCGAAAGTGATGTCTTTGAAACCGTAAGAGAGCTTCCCCATCCCGACCGTCTTTGGTCGGCTGCAACAGTCCAAGTCGTGAGTTTTGAGAACTGCTTCAGCTGCTTCGCTCGAGGAGATCACGACAACTGGAACAAACCCGAGTCGAAGAAGTAACACTGGTCCGTATTTGGAAGAGAGGTTGTGGAAACATCTGTGAGGCAGTCCTGAGAGATGGTGCATGTTTCCAATGATCGGAAGACTTGATGGACTCGGAGGAAGATTGAATTTTGTGTGTTTAGTCTTTTTTAGAAAGAATGATGATACAAGAATAAGAAACGTAGGCAGGAAGAAACAGAGCAAGATCTCCATTTTTTTTCTTTCAGTTCCTCTGTTTTTGTTCTTTCTAAGCTCTGTTTTCTTGGAGAGATGAGTGTACAATTCCCAAGAGTCTTGTCTTGTATATAAGATATATGACACCTAGATTGCCTGATTGATACGTTAGCTTAAAATCAAGTTGTTGACATTGTAACAAATTTGCTAGATCTGTGGAAATTAATTTTTATTGGAATTACAAACGTGACATAACGATTAATCAAGGTCATGTGGGTCCAAATGTCATGTGTTCTGTTAGACTTTGCTATTATTGGTTGAGTGGATGAAAAGGTCAGTGATTGTCTGATTGATTAGATCATTGGAGATGATGAGTCATGGCTTCTTCTTTTGCAGTGTTGCTAATAGAGACAGAACATGAGAACACTACTATGCCATTTTTATGACCATCGAGACTCTTCCACGTCGACCTGACGTGCAAGTTTCCAGGACATGTGGTTGTTCAATTCCTTTTTTTTTTTGCTTAAATAAAGTTTCTATAATAGTATCAGTTTGGTTCTTTATTTCCAATTTGGTTCTGTTTTAAGTTTCGGATTTAATAATCTTGGAAAACTAAACACTCTTTGTTGTTGGACGATGATTTTATATAATCAATGCTAAAAATGGTAGTAACAAGAAAGAAAGTATAGTAAATTGGAAAATGATTTCAGTTCTTGCAAGTTATGTCACATAAAATAATAGTATGAAACAAAAAAGTCATACTGAAACATCGAGAAAGTATGAAAACAGTTGGCTTTTTTACACGTATTCTCATTACGTGATACACACAAGATAAACAAATAATACAACTAGTTTACGTTATCCCGTGTGTGTTTTTCGCTATTTTAATATTTTTATACCATTCCACAATCCATATCCTGCCAAGACCGTGTCTTAAAATAGCATTTATCGGCAGCTAGATTTGTACAAACTTTTCGTGGATGGAGACCTAATCTGTATATCTTATCTTTTCTTTTCTTGTGTCAAACAATCTAACGTATCATAATCTAAATCCATTCATTACCCATTGGTTTTGAATAAGAAAAATATATAATTCATCAAACTCTATTGTTTTTAAATAAGATGTTCATCATACATTGATTAACTCTTTTCTAAAGAAACATAAGGTTTTCTGCTCGTGCTTTATCAATGTTATATCATCGAGCCTTTTTAAAAATATTTTTACTCCCCATCAATGGCGTTGAAGGGGCACAAGTTGAAGAGGTAGTTTCTTGACGATGGTGAGTGTACATTCTTCTTCCATGTCAACGTCTCCAGCTTTCATACCATCAGGCAATCCCCAATCGAAATAGTAAAGCAAATTCATCAGCCCTAGCTCCACGGTAGCAATCCCCATTGGCATCGCGGGACAGATCCTTCGACCTGAACCAAACGGCAACAGCTCAAAGTGTTGTCCTTTAAAATCTACAGAACTATCCGCAAACCGTTCAGGAATGAAATCTTCAGGGTCGGTCCAACGCTTAGGGTCACGTCCGATGGTCCAGACGTTAACTTGGATCTGCGTTTTCGGTGGAATATCGTAGCCTTGAATCTTGACTTGTGACATTGTTTCTCGTGGCAGCAAAAACGGAACTGCTGGGTATAATCTGAATGTTTCCTTGATTATAAGCTTCAAGTAATCAACTTTTCCTAGGTCATCTTCAGTGATTCTCTCCCTTTTGTGCCCTAGTGTGGCTCTGATACTTTCTTGAGCCTTCTTCATCACTCTAGGGTTTCTTGCGAGCTCGGCCATCGCCCAAATCATAGTTATAGCGCCTGTATCTATCCCCGCGAGAAATATATCCTGAAAGAAAAAAAAACACATAATAATATAAAGTCTGAAATCAATATTACTTATTTACTTGTTAACCTAATGAAGACGTGAACACCAAGATTTGAGTTTTTTTTTTTTTTTTTTTCACCATGAGGGTTGCCTTGAGATTATCCATATCGAGTTTGAAAGAATCTTCATTTCCGTGTTTCTCGATCATATCCAACATCAAGGAAACAATATCTTGATTTTTCTTGCCTTCTTGCTCCAAGTGATCATCGATCACATGCTGGTAAAAAGCATCAAGCTCTTGAAAGACGGTGTTGATCTTCTTGTGTCGTTGAAACAACCAGTCTACGAATCTTCCAACTCCACCAGGGAAGAAGTCAGAGAATGTGAAAGTCCCTAGAGCTTCTGCTGCTTCAGTGACAAGCTCTTCGACTCTGTCCTGATCGATGAAGAAGCCGCTCTCGTTGAAGTTCTGTCCTAATGCTACTCTACAAATGATGCTTGCGGTGAGGGAGAAAAAGGTTTTGTTTAGGTTTACAGGAGATTGTTTTAAAGCCGATTCTGACATTCTCTTCACCATGAAGTCGATCTCTTCTTCTCTTATGTACCTAAAAGATTGAACCTTTTTAAGGCTGAAAAGCTCCATGACCACGAGTTTCCGCATTTCCCGCCAATACTCACCGTATGGCGCGAAATTGATGTCTTTAAAACCGTAAGAGAGCTTTCCCGTCCCGACCGTCTTTGGTCGGCTGCAACATTCCAGGTCATGTGTTTTGAGCACTGCTTCAGCTGCTTCGCTCGACGAGATCACAACCACCGGAACGAACCCGAGACGTAGAAGCATCACGGGTCCGTATCTGATGGAGAGATTACGAAAACATCTGTGAGGCATTCCTGCAAGATGGTGCAAGTTTCCGATGATCGGAAGACTTGGAGGACTCGGAGGAAGACTGAGTTTTGATTTTGGGGTTATTTTCTTTTTAAGAAAGATTGATGATACGAGAGTAAGAAGCAAAACCAAGAAGAAATAGAGCAAGACCGCCATTTTTCACTCTCTGTTTTTTTTCTATTTTTGTTCCTTGGCTTTGTTCCTTGAGGGTATATATATGTTTTTTGTTAACTCTTCTAGTAAGTTCAAAGTTACAATCTTTATGGATTTTATCTTCATTGGAATGAGCAAAAGCAATTTATATGGTCCAAAATCGGCTTTGCTCTGTTTCGGTTATATTTTGATGTCATTGATTGTTGAGGTCCCCATGTTTTTTTGTTTGTTTCGTCGACGCTAATCAAGTTTTAAAACACAAATTATACAAACTAATGGATCACACAAGAAAAACGACGTAGTGATCATTATTGGCTCTGCTTCCGAGTTCTGTTGTTACGCTTTCATCACCTAACTTGTGTAGCTCTATAAAAGACAACAGTGAGGAGGATAGCTACTGAAGCCTGATTGGGAGTAGAGACTGGTTAACGAAGCTTCCTCTCATTTTATAGAGTTGTTTAATATAACTTGCATGTATAACAACAAACTGTGCGAAAGTGCAGCATGAGAACTTGTGATTGCAGAAGAAAAGAGAAATAGTTTGCATTTAACTCTCAAGCAACATGACATTTCAGATCAGTAAAACAGAGTACGAAAGCTTAAGCTAGAGAACACTTGAGTATTTACTAACACAAAATGCAAAAACAGAAAAGAGAGTGAATGATTAGAGACATAAAAGGAGCTTTCTACTCGGCGGCGGCTTCCTCCATGACTTGTTCCGCGGTGGCTGGTGCGACGGGGTAGTAGTGATAGTGAAGCTCTCCAACATCGTCTCCTGATAGCTTCGTCCATCCTTTGGGACCGACGTGGTACACTGATCATACGAGAAAGAGACCAAAAATCAGAATCTTGCAAGTTCGAATTTGAACCACAAAATGAATTGAGACTACTAACCGCTAGCAACTCCACCACTGGCTCCATCACGGAATGTTGCATGGTAGATTGATCTCCTTGCTAACTCGGAAGCTTCTGCAACTGTCATATCGAATTTGTACCTGATGATACAAGAAAAATTAAAACCATAAACCGACTGCTTAACTAACATCTTTAGAGATGAAGATGTAGCTGGGGTGATTTATTTACCCGCTGTCGAGTACACCATAAGCGTACGGTGAACCAGAACCAACTGAAAACCTGTCTCCCTTGAGCCGTCCTCCTTCATTGTCAACATAGTACAGTCCAGGACCCTATTTACAAGAAGTAAGGATTTAGCAGCTTTAAGTATCTAATTAGTGAGAAGAAAAGAGCAGTGTTGAAGATATGAAATTGGTTTTACTCACAGTTTCGTCCCATCCAGCAATCATTGTGCCAACAGAAAGTCCCATTCCACGGTATGAATACAGCATGTTTGCGAGAAGTTTTGAAGCTCCGGAGACAGAGATTCTCCTCTTGTTTGCCAGCTCATGCAGACGGCACTTGGATAGACAAATTAAAAATCAATAGATTAGCCATAGTTTCAGCAAATGAAAATTTGGTAGTAAGTTGAAGAAAATCAGCATACAACAGCGATATGATTTTAGGGTCACTATAACACAAGCAAAAGCTTTCTCATTCTTCAATAAGTCAGAACATAAGAGTTAAAGCCTTTGACAACGAAAAGCAACAGAAACTCGAGCTAGGTACCTTAATTCCAAGATTTCTGTGCCAGAATTGGCAGTCAGCAGCTCCTCCAGCCATTGTACCCAGCATGTAAGGATTGATTTCGATAATCTTCTTCACAGATTGTGAGGCTAAATAGAGAAAAACGATAGAAAACATCAGCAGCAATCACACAAACGCTTCCTTTCCTCTACTGGTTCACAACCAACAGAAAAAAAAAGACTCCAAATTTGTTTGACAATCCATCTCAACACTAGACCAACAGTAAGCTAGCCAAAATCTACATCCTAATTCTGTTTCTGCCACAGTCAACTATATCAAAAGGATGCATATTTTTAACACTATCAAAGTCTGCAATGCAAAGCACAAAAATACAAGCAAGAGGATAAAGAGAACATACAGATATATCCTCCCATGCTTGCCCGAGAATCAGCAGCAACCATGACTCCTTCTTTGAAGATGAAAGCGAGTGTGGTTGTTCCTTTCGCAGGCTTCACCATCTGTACAGCTTCTTTCTGGAATCCATCAAACTGAAACACACAAAAAAAAAAAAAAAAAAAAAAAGCAGTTCGCAATTAAATGACGGCAACATGGAAAATTCACACACACTGCTTCGAATCAATAGAAAAAAACTCACATCTGTTGTGCGGGGAAGATCAAACGAAGGCACAGTAGAGAACCCATCAAGCATATCGCTGCTTGAGCCAAAGCCAATCATAGGCATGGAAGTCTCGAACCCACTAGTATCAAGCTTCATTTTCAAACTCTACAGAATCATGGAAAATCCCGAATTAGAAAAGTATAAGAACCCGTCGAATACCTGAGAAGCTAATCTAGTATGCGATAAACCAAAATCGGATGTCAATCAAAGAGATTTTCTCTCGAAAACTCAAATCAGATCTACCACGAGATACAGTCGCGTCTGTATAAACCCTAAACCCATATCTTTGTTTACAAGCCAAATTAACGATACTAGAGCTCGATTAAGGATCGGAAACGTACCTTAAAGTAATCAAATCGAGAGAAAGGGTTCAGAGAGAAGAAGAAGGAGAAGTAGCTCAAAGTGACAAACGATGGCGAGAAAAAGGAATAGATCGTTTCTTGAGCTCCGGGCAAGCCAGCCACAAGGGGCCAAGATTGGGCTTCGATTTAATGTGTTTGTTAGTTTATTGGGCCGATCACTTTTTCTAAAATACATCGACTTGAAGCTGTTGGTTAGTTTCCAGCTTTTGAAAAATTTAACTAACATGGTTGATGACTTGATTTCATGACTGAATCAGAAAAAACAAAAATCATGGGAGAAATTAAATGATATATTTGGATAAAGTGTGTATATGAACGATAATTTTAAAGTGTATACATGTTCTGCAATAATCTTTCAAGAAGGTTTTTAAAACGGTATTTCCCATATTGTATCTTAAGGGATAGATCCTTTTCTTCTCGTGTTACATTTATAAAGTAAAAGACTTCATTCGAACATGTATCACTTTTTACAAAAAGTAATACAAGAGAGTGTTTATTGTGTTAAAGCTACATCATTTGAATGCAAAGAGAGTGATTATATATTTCTATTAAATACATTTTGGATCAATCCTATTATTCAAAATACAAAATGCACTTTCCATTTGCCATCTTGTTTATTTCTAATGAAGTAGCAAAGGGATATGAAAACATACAAAACAATACAAAAACTATCTATTTGGCAGAACACTGCAAATCGCTAGCGTTTCGTATCGCATCTTCTTGCTCGCATAGACCCTGAAGGAGGGGTATTCAACGAGATGCTGCAACGTGTGTGCAACCAATAAGAGTACCTCATTAACGACCCGAGGTTTGAGCGAGCGTGAAACGTTCCTCTCAAGTTCAACAACACAGGACCGGTTCCGAGCTGCATCTGCAACTCCTGGCTCTGAATCATTTGAATCGGGACCTGAATGCTCACGAGATGGAAGCTCGTGAACATTGACATTCCTTTTGGAACAATGAATGGCTCAATGTGCTCGGTTGCTATGAGTGTGTTGTAGAAGTAGAGCTCGAACATCACGTAGCTGAAATCCACGCTGCTTTTCTTGCTTGGGTTTGTGAAGTTTACAACAACTTGGAGATCTCCGTTTAGAGCATAACCCATGTCGAGATTCGCGGTGTTTAGGTTCGCTGCTGAGATGTCGAAGTACGGTGAGCGTGGACGGTTGATGAGGTAAACAATGAGGAGGATGAGGCCGGAGAGAATCAGGATGATCACGAGAATCGCACAGCAGACTGTAGCCGGCAACTTCATGGGTTTGGCCCTCTTTGTACCTGATTGATATGGCTCTGGTCGTGATGGAGCGGTTCTCCATGGAGTTGGTTCAGGTCCATAGCCACCATGGTGTAGAGCTCGTTGTTGATCTTCCGGGCTCAATAGCAATGGCCTGGCGGAGTTTGGATTAGGGGGTGGTGGAAACGGCTCCTCTGATCCCAGTGGTAAGGGTCTTGAGGAATGCGGTTCACGGATTGGTTCATGTGGCTCAGTCTGGTGGCGTCCTCGAGTCTTTATTTTCACCCCGGGTGGAGCAACCGGGTGAGTTTGTTGGATCTGGTGGTGGTGCGGCGAGGTCCATGAGGTAGAGGGACCACCGGGATGTTGATCCTGCGAGGCAAACTGAACAAAATGAGGGTTGGTTTCATAGTGGTCGTGGTGAGACATTGAAATAACAATTAAATGAGAACAGAGTTAAGTGAAATCAAGAAAGAGAGAACAATTCAAGTGTTTCTAAATGAGAAAGAGAGAGAGAGAGATGATAACTTGATGAGAAGTGCAAGTAGGATTCTTGTGTTAAAGGAAACTGACACAAGGAAGCAAGTAATCTTTTTTTACATATTTTTCGCTCTAATAAACATAAGCCAAATGAAACTAATCTCTTTTTCTGATCTAAAGTTTCGAAAAAGAAAGTGGATAAACCAAGAAATTCAATAAGGGTTCTTGGGGAGAGAGAGAGGTAAGAGCTTACAGGTTCATGGCGAAGTTGTTTTAGAATGTTTGCGTTTTTTTCCTCTTCCCGTTTCGCGCTTATGACGGACTTAGTTCTGCATCAGTACACATGATAAAACAAAGTAAATTATATGACCGAAGCATAGAGTTGGGAGTCGTTTGATTTTTGTTGTAGAATATGTCAGTCTATGATAATATGCAGAATCAAGACAAGAAAAAGAAAAGGTTGGCCTGTTTTGAAACAAAGTCCTTCAAAACTGAAAAACTAATGAGATAAAAGTCGGAGCTCACCTTTTGGCTTTCAGCCTTTAAGATGCAGCTTCTCGAGGCACCAAAAAATTTATGTTGTACCACTGAAGGAGGAACTTCATGCTTCTCATACCAAGCAACAACAAGCTTGATTTGCCGATACATTAACTAGCTAACTCCTTTTCTCAGTTAAATACGCTCAGTCCTCAGTGTAATAATTCTGAGGAATGAGTTTAAAACGAGTTAAGAAAAACTGTTTCATCTCTAATGCTAGAGAGGTGATTGTCTTGTTCCATAGTCTGACCACAAATGATGATCCTTCAAAAGTATTAATGTCAAGTCAGCTGCAACAAGGACAAAGAAGAGTAGGGTTGGTTCACAGTAAAAAAGAAAAAAGGCAAGGAACATCAAACGAGTAAAAGGTAAAAATACAGTTCGTCTATGCAAATTTAAAACAAAAGATTCGCTTATGTGTAAAATGAATAAAATTAGTTCAAACCTGATAAGTTTCTTCTCACTCTCCGAGCAGCAGCAGGCATCAGTAGAGGCTTAAATGGCTCTGTATCAGCATCTTGTGCCGCCATACATTGACTGAGATGGCATTTTTGCACAGGAGACGACAATGTTGACAAGTATTCAAAATTGTATGGCTACGCATCAGCACTCAGTGAAGAGCTAGCCTTGATGAGTGTATCAGACACATCCCTATCAAGGGTGAATCCTTTATCCATCATCTGATCCCAGACTTTGTAGGCTGCTGATAGTTTATTTTCCCGTATGAGTCCTCCAATAATGAACTTGAAAGTTAACTCATCTGGACAACACTCTTTACTCTGCATGTCCTTGAACAATTTAATCGCTTCAGTCACTCTACAAGACCTGCAGAGGCCACTTATAAGCGCGTTATATGAAATAGCATCCGGTGCAATCCCATGCTCTATCATGTCATTGAAAACACCATACGCCTTGTCGAGATTCCCTGATTTACACAAATGGTCCATAATCGTTGTGTAAAATATGCGGTCTGGTGACAAGCCTAGCTCCGTCATCTGATCGAGGAGCTTCTTCGCAACAACAGAGTTACCTTCCCTAAGAAAAGCCTTGATAAGACTCGTGTACGTGGCCACATTCGTCACTATCCCCTTCTCTCTCATCTCCTCCAAGAGCTTGTAAGCCCTCCTAGTGTTTGACGCCCTACAGAACGTTTCAATCAGAGTACTGTAGGAGACTACATCGCAGAAACCTCTAGGCTCCATCTCCTTCACCATAAAGGAATAGCATTTATCAGGATGAGCGACCCTGCAATGCCGCTTAAGCAACTGGTTATAGCTATAAGCATCAGGCTCTATCCCACTTCTTACCATCTCCGTCATCACCCCTTCCGCTTTGCTCAACATATTGCTCTCATAATAGTAATTCAACAACACATTGTATGTAACAAGATCAGGCCTACACCCACTCTTACTCATAAACGACTTCAAAGCTTCCGCCTTCTCTATTCTACCAGCTCTACAAAACCCACTAATCAATGAATTATAAACCACTGTACTAAGCTTAACTCTACCACTCTTGATCTCCTCCGCCATCATCTCATAAGCCAAATCAACTTTCCGAGCTTTACATAACCCAACAACAAGTACTGCACATGCTCTACTATCCGGATTAATCCCACTATGAATCATCTCATTCCAAAACTCAACAGCTTCAGCGACCTTACCAGCTCTAAACAACCCATGAATCAGTATAGTATAAGATACAACATCCGGTTCTCTACCTCTCTGAACCATACAAAGAAACGTCTGAACAGCGAGACCTACATTTCTCTCTCGACTCAACAGATCCAAATAATGGTTGAACGCCCATATATCAGGTATGTATCCGAGGGTTTCCATGTCCCTCAGAAGAGCGTCAATGAGATCAAATTTTTGAACTTTACATAAACCCGAGATAAACCTCGAGTAAGTGAGGGGGATGAGGGAGAAACCCATTGGCGTCATATCCCGATATAGTGCCTCAGCAAGCTCGAATCTCGACTCCTTGACCAAAACCCCAATGAAACGGTTGTAATCGGAGGAGAAGACCCGGTAGCTCGAGTGACGCATTTCGTCGAACACCTGAACAGCGTTGTCGATCATACCCGATTTCACGAGGTGCGCGATACGCGAGCGGTATGCAAGGCGTACTGCGCCCAGCGTCTGATGCATATCAGAGCTCGACGCATATGATCATATCAGGTTGCCTTTCTTCTTTGTTTCAACGCGGCGACATCAGATCGACGACGACGACGGCTGGAGAGAGTTGAGCTTAAGTGAGAGGGAAAAACAGGAAGACGAAGGCTCCAACTTTACTCTGAGGCTTTACTTAAAAGTGGGCTTAAATGGGCTTTAAATAAGGCCCATTATGTGACCCGGTAATCTTTGACTGAAACCTCTTTCTGAACTAGAGTGTTAATCTTTCTTCCCCTTTCTTCTTCTCCGTCTTGGAATCGAGTCAGACAGGGTTTAAGGATTCCGAAAGCTCAAAACTTTAGCGAACTTCTCATTTCTACTTCTGGAACATCCTTTTCCTCTCTGAAATTCGTCTACGATGGCGGACGAGAAGATGAGGATTCGTCTTTTGTTTGAGGATCAACGGATTTTGAGTAAGAACCAGAAGAAGCAAGGTCTAAAGCGGAGCTGGGTTGTTCTGAATCCTAAATCTCAGCCAACGGTTTCAGAGTTTTCCGATCATCTCCTTCACACATTCAGCCTCTATGAAGCTTGTCCTCATGGCCTCTCTCTATCTGTACGCCTACTTTTTTTGTGCCCTAATTTGCTAATGTTGACACCATTAGTGGTTATTATGCGAGTCTTTCTGTGTTTAGTACTTTAACTTATGGAAAGTTTTAAACTTTGATTGCAGATGGAAGGGTTTGTTTTACCGCCATTTGAGTCGAGCTGTGTATTGAAGGATAAAGATATCGTTTGGTTAGTTTCATCAATCGCTTCTTTGTCACTTAGGCTCTGTCAAGTATTTTAGTGTTAAAGTTTTCGTTTTTGTGTCGTAGTGTTAAGAAGAAGAAGGAAACTTTGTTGGAGATTGTTGGGGAAGACAGCGAGGACAGTGTTGACAACGGGATTGAGGTTGAGGACAGGCCTCGGATTCTTCCTGGTCAAATACTTCTTGCTAATGAGGAATTCCAGAAGGAGACTGGAGGATACGAAAGTGAGTCTGAGGAAGATGAGGTTGAAGAGAAAGTGGAAGAGATTGTGCCAGAGAAGAAGACATCGAAGAAACGTAAAGCTTCAAGCAAAAGCCTAACCCCCAAGTAGGATCTTTACCAGAAGAAGGCTTACTCACGTTTATCTGTATTCGTTGTTATTCATGTTTGATGATGATGTAGGAGGAAGAAGTGTAAGTTAGCTGCTACTGAAGAAAGTCCCGTGGAACAAGAAAACGCAGCTGTGGTACAAAGCAAAGTTGCAAAGAAGAGGAAAACATTGGATGAACAGAGAACTGAAAATGATGAACAGAATGATGCTAATGCCAAGTCTATGACCAAGTCAAAGAGGTAAGTGTATGTTTGCTTTGTCAAAACTCGCTAGCAACTCTTGAATTTATCTCTCACAGGTCGTTTCTATATTGCCTTACTTTCAAGTTGCAGGTCCTCGCAACCAGAAGAGAGCAAAGAGCCTAACGAACTGTGCAACATTTCTGCTGAAGCTATAAAGGTTCGAGTTTACTTCATTATCTCAAGGAACTAGACGGGCTTATCTTCTGTCTGTTTCTTTAATGAACAATGCATATATACCAAAATAGTATTGGGTAAATTCCCTGACGTATGTAGATGCAGGGATGTGCTAATTGTTTCGTTTGCTCCATTAGCTTCCTATCTGATCCTTCTTTGCACAAGGAATGTGAAGCTAACTCTTCCATATATTTGTTATAGATACCTAGCAGGAGTGCTAGGCGGAAAAAAGCTAAACGGCAATGGCTGAGAGAAAAGACAAAACAAGAGAAGGAAGAGGTTCTTCTTCAGATACTTAGAATAATAAGACTTATGTATCTATTACGTGTTTTAGTGATATACAGCCTGCACTTCAACACTGATATCTTCTTTCTTGTTACATGATTTGCAGCTTCTACAGAAGCAGTTGGCTGTAGCACCCAGCCAAAAACCAGCGATCACTATAGATTACCAAGTAACAGAGGAAAATCACTGTGAAGCTCTTGAAAGTCAACAGCCAGATGAACATGGTGATGCTGACGGGGATGAAGTGGTTCGTGTGGAAGTGAGGCCAGGCCATATTCGCTTTAAGCCGCTCGGTAAATTATTACTTAAATTTCTCTCTGCAAAGGTTTTATGCGTTTGCAAGGCTCCTCACAGTTTCTCTTATCTGCTTACTTTTCAGCTGAATCAGATGAAGCTTCCCCTGAAAGTGAACCTCCTAAGGTATGACTTACCCCTATCTTTGATTTTTTTGTATCCTTAAAGCTTTGGCTTAGATGAATCTGTTGTAATGGATCATGACTTCATAATGTTAGGAAAATTTCTTGTGGAATGGAAACATGACAAAGAAGAAAGGCCAAAAATGGGGCACCGAGAAGACAGGATTTTCCAAACGATATGCTCAGGATATCGATGAAGATATCTATGAGGAAGAGGAACACACTGCTGAAGCAGAGACATCTGCAAATGGTCAGATCGACTATGAAAAGCTTGTGCCTTACAGTGGCTCAGTAAAGGTATTACTACAAGCTTGTAGTATTTACTACCTGAAGTTTATAGATTTAGCATTTATAAACTCCTCAAACCTGATTTGTTAACATTCCAGGAAGGAGATGTTATCGCGTACCGCCTCATTGAGCTAACATCATCTTGGACACCCGAAATGTCCTCCTTCCGGGTAAAATTTCCAACTCTCCTTCTTCTGAGCCCGGATCAACTCTTTGCTTTGAGGATCCTAATCCCTTTATTGTACATTTATCTTGGTAGGTTGGAAAGATAAGCCACTATGATACAGCCTCCAAGATGGTGACTTTGATCCCTGTTCAAGAATATCCAATCGAGAAGAAGATCGAAGAAGACGACGACGACGATTCCTCAATGCAACCTGATACATCACTTTACAAAGAAGACGGATCCTTGGAGGTATGCTTCATGATTTACATTTGGTCATCGTAATCTAAAGAAACAAGAACACAGATCTGCTTCTTGTAGTTGCTTGCTTGCTCTAAGCATCACAGTTCTTAATAAGAAAGACTTTGCTTCCTGCAGATAGAGTTCTCTGCTCTGCTCGAGGTCCGTTGCATCAAAACTAGCAGCTCAGATTCCGCAGAAGTCGCCAAGTCAGCACCGCCCAAGCCTGACCAAACAGCTACAAATCTAAAGCCGAGCACAAACAACGGTTCTCAAACCCCTGTGAAAGGTATACTCTTCCAACAATCTTGGCGCCATTTTGTATTGTGATGGAAACTTATTGGACCTATGTAAATTGCAGAAAATGGAAAGTCTAATAACCCTTGGGAAGAGCTAAGTGCGGCTGTAAGTGCCAAGAAAGCAGAGTTGTCTCAGGCCAACAATGGCTGGAACAAGAAAGGGAGTTCAAATGGAGGATCATGGTCTTACAAGGCACTGCGAGGAAGCGCCATGGGTCCTGTAATGAATTATCTAAGGTCTCAGAAAAAGATCTGAGAAGTTAGGGCCCATCTTTAGGAATCTCTGATGATTTCTTCTTCTTCATTTTGGATATGAAAAACTCAGACAAGAGAAGAGAACACCATTTTGCTTTGATGCTGTGAAAGGCATTGCTAAGTTTCTATTCGGGTAAAAAAGTCTATGTATAGAGAAAAACGATGAATATGTACTTCTGCAAGATCTTTTTGAATTTTGAAGTTGAATGTGTTTGACAATCATATCCATATGTTAAACAAAATTTCTACTGATGATGTGTATTCTGGAATCAAGTAAATATATAGATTTGAAGAAAAGTATTGGTTTGGATAATAAATTTGTAAATATCAGGTATATTTGTGTCGTATTACAACGTGGAATGACATGAGCACATAAAGATGTCACGATAAACATAAAGTTGGTGGGAAAATAAGAATCCGGCTAAAAAACAATGACTCATGACCGTTCGTTTCCTCCTCAAGTCAACCGTCGCTCGCGTGAACCACAACGTTTAAGCCATTACCTTCTTCGTCTCTGATTGGCTCGTGTTCCGGACGCTCGTAACTGGCGCGTTTGCTATCTCTTTCTCCGTCCATTGCTCCTCCGTTGCGAAACCTACACAAACAGCTTCAAAAGGAATAAAACTTCTCAAAAAACAAAATTCTTTAGATTTTCATCTGAAAAAAAAAAATTCATTTTTAAGCGAAAAGTACGACGACGAGAGAATCTGAGATTGATTCGTTTTCCGGCAGTGTTATTCTCTCGATTTCTCACTCGGAGCTCCGGATTAGTTTGATCGGTGTCTTAGATACCTCACTCTCCCTTTCAGATCTGGGAATCTCCGATTTTTGGATTTGGAATTGAAAAATCACAGATGTCGAAAGCTTGGGGTGGAATCGGCGCGTGGGCCGATGAGGCGGAACTCGCCGATAAAGAGCAGGCTGCTGAAGCTACGGCCACGCCGGCGGATGCGCAGAGTTTCCCGAGTTTGAAGGATGCTGCGACTACGAAGTCTAAGAAGAAGAAGAAGATGACTCTATCTGAGTTCACAAAGGGAGCCTACGCTGCACCAGGTGCTGGGAGCTCTGTTGGATTGACGAGGGAGCAGATGCTTCAGCTTCCTACTGGTCCAAGGCAACGCTCTGAGGACGAAATGCAATCTGGCCGTCTCGGCGGCGGTTTCTCTTCTTACGGCGGAAGGTCTAGTGGGCCTCCCGGGCGAATGTCGAGAGAAGATTCCGATGGGTCATGGGGTGCTGGAGGTGGTGGTGCTGGTGGTGGTAGGAGAGGTTATGGCGGATTCGACGATGATCAGAGGGGTCCTAGGGTTTCCGATTTCCCTCAATCGTCTAGAGCCGACGATGCTGATGATTGGGGAAAAGGGAAGAAATCGCTTCCAGTGATTGATCAAGGACGCCAAGGTCGTTATGGTGGTCTCGGAGGAGGTGGCGGTGGCAGTTTTGGTGGCGAACGTGGTGGTGGTGGTGGTTATGGCGGAGGAGGTGGTGCTGTCGGTGGAAATGGCTTCTCAAAAGCTGACGAAGTTGATAACTGGGCAGCAGGTAAAAGCCAGCCGTCTCTCGCGAAATCATCTACATTTGGATCGGGTTACCGTGATTCCGGACCGGAGCCTGACCGGTGGGCAAGAGGAGTCTCTTCCGGTGGTGCTCAGGAGGAGCGTCGTCGTCTTGTTTTGGAGCCACGGAAGGTTGATACAGGAGGGAGTGAAACTCCAAGTGCTGTGAACACGAGTAAGCCGAGTCCATTTGGAGCAGCGAGACCGAGAGAGCAAGTCTTGGCGGAGAAAGGATTGGACTGGAAGAAACTTGACTCGGATATTGAGGCTAAGAAAGGAAGCTCCCAAACGAGTAGACCATCGAGCGCACATTCGAGCAGGCCATCAAGTGCTCAATCTAATAGGTCTGAGAGTGTAAACAATGTGGAGAATGTGGTGAAACCGAGACCAAAGGTGAATCCTTTTGGCGATGCGAAACCTCGGGAAGTATTGTTGGAGGAACAAGGGAAAGATTGGCGCAAGATTGATTCTGAACTTGACCATCGCAGGGTTGACAGGTCCTTATTCATCTGGATTCTCTTTATAGAATGTGGATTTGTTTCAATTCTGTGTTGTCGCGGTGATTTGAAAAAGTTAATTATTTCTCAAATTGTCCGTTTTTCAGAAAGGAGTAGAATTTTTGAAGTGATATTAACTGGTGAACGGATAGTGGATAGGAAAATGAATTCAAACTAATTAAACTTTGAAGTGATAGTTTTGCCACCAATGCTTAGCGTCTCAAGTTCAATAAGGAAACTAATTGAATGACTTATCTACTTGAGTTATAGTTGATGACATGTTGAAGATATGTCCTTTTAAGCATCTCTTTGGCACAGGATAGACTCTTATCTGAAAGTTTCTTTCAACGCCTAGTTCCCAATTTTGGCACATCAAGTTAAGTACCTAATATGTGTAATACCCATTTCTATGGCAGATTCATTGATGTTTGTTCTTGCACCTGAGTCCTTATTCATATAGCCTCTCTGGTTTATAGAATTGCATAGCCAACTTGCGAGATAACTCTTGCCTGTTTCTTTTTGACATCTCATATCTAAGTAGTAGTTCATTTGTTAATGCATGCTCTAACATTCGACTCAGTTTTGCTTTAGTTGCTTTTTCTGATCCGGACTCTGCATTGGTATATGAATAATTCTAGATCATTTGCCAGTTAGCTATTGGTCACTCACTTTTCATCTCTGTCTTGTGGATCATTTTTGTTTTCCAGGCCTGAAACAGAAGGAGAGAGAATGTTGAAAGAAGAGATTGAAGAACTGAGGAAGAAACTCGAGAAGGAAGCAGCCATCGCACCCGATAGCAAGGAATCTCAACAAGAAACAGAGAGTAATAACCATAATCTACCGGATCTTATACGGGAGAAAGAGAAAGACCTCGACTTACTAATCCGTGAGCTGGACGACAAAGTAAGGTTCAGGCCAAGAACGTTTGAGAGACCTGGATCGAGTGCAGGCAGAAGCGGTGGCTATTCAGAGAGACCTCATTCCCGGGGTGGATCAATTGACGAGTCTAGGAATGTTGAATCCATGGAAAGACCTAGATCTCGTGGCACAGGTGATAATTGGCCAAGACCAGTTGATGATCGAAGAAGCTTCCAAGGAAGCAAGGAACGTGGATTCTTCAGCAACAGAAACTTCGACAGGTTAGTTAGTCTGATTACAAAGGACAGAAACTTCGACATCTGATTACAAAGGACAGACTTACAATATAGTACTTGATATGAATCCAAGAGATAATCTTGTAGAACTGATGCTGACTTTTTTAGTATAAAGTCTCAAACTTGAGTCATTACTTGTGATGTTTGTTATCTTTGGATGCGATTAAACTGATATTTCTGGTTATCCACAGGTCATCGTCTTCGAGGGATGGATGGTAAAAGAAGGAAACGAAGAATTGATGTGGAATGAGACATTAATACGCACCATTCCCAGATTTTGAAGAAGACAGATAAGAGAAGTTTCAATAACATTAATAAACGAAAAACTTCATCTCCTTTAAGAACCTAATTTTAGGGGGTTTCTTTGTTTTTCATTGGTTCATCTTCGGAATCGAAGCCTAATGGTTTCTTCTTCTTTTTTTGTATTTGTTTGGTCTTTGGCTCGTGAAACTGCAGAGCGCAAGACTTGTGACAATTAATTTGTCTTCAGAATTTTGGAGACAGACACTCTGTTCTGTTCTTCTTCTTCTGTGTTTTAACATTCTATTTACCACTGTCCACTATTGCTTCAATTGTCTGATTTTTCTCTTTTAGTCCAATTTTTGTAGCTGTGTTTTTACTTAAGGTTTTCTTTTTGCAATTTTTTTCTTCTCGTTCACTATGTGGTGTTTACTACACTGAGAATGTGTTCAAATCCAAAACAAAAGTGTTTGTAACGAAAATCATATTCTTGAGTGAACCCATTGTGTCTCGCAACAAACTACTTCTACAATGCTCAGAACGCAATTTAGCTATGACATTGGTATTCACAAACTAATATTTTAGCATTTAACCCGACATCAAAGATATATTGTGCTACAGGCAAACTAGAGAGAAAATAGATCAGAAACTTAAGCTCCCTCTCATGTATACATGTAGAAGAGGAACAAAATGCAATAAAAGAACAAAGCCAAGCTACAGAGAAAACATGGTAGAAAAGAAAGCTTCAGCCATGCATGTGTGAGGCAATTATTCATCTTCTTCATGTTCCATTGCAAAGATTTAGATTTTGAGATGAAGATAATGATGGATGCTCTACAAAATAATGTAAGATGATTAACATAAACATTACTAATGAAAGTGGTATGTTTCATTCACCTCACGTTTCATTCTTATTGATGAGTTAAAATTTTGAATAATCAACCATGTCGTATATAATTCGGTATGCATGCATAAACAAATACAAGATGTTGGTGTAAATTGTTTAAACCTATCAGGAAACAAACTAAATGCCAAAAACCAAAAAGGTACGACTTCACTGGGGATCGAACCCAGAATCTCTGGTTTCGTAGACCAGCGCCTTATCCATTGGGCCATGAAGTCACTTTGATTACTTTGTTTTCTTCTAACTTATTAATCAAAAATACTAATTTAGTTCCACCACGGTATGTTGACTGACACCGACTTCCGGTCAGTCAACAACAACCAACAGAAATGGGAAAAGTCAACTTTCTCTTTGACCTATACAGTATATTCCCGTAAGTCGCGTCACATAGGATCATTTCAAAAACACTTCGCTGTTCATTCTCTGAATCTCTCTCCTTTCGAATCCAAATGATATTTTTGTTTATTAATCCTCCTCTCTTTTTAGTCTCTACTTTTCATTTTTAATCTCTCAATTCTGTAACCAGGCCAAAAAGCAATATCAATTCTCAGTCAAGTTCGTCAAAAATAAATCAAAGACGACGGCTTTTTTCGAGATTTAGTTCGTTTCACTCTCCTCCTTAGTATTGATTCAATTGCGTATAATTAACATTGTTTTACGTTCTCCAACGATTTTGCTCTGTTACTGGAAGTTTTTCTCCGACTAATACTTTCCGTTTGCTTTTCTCATTTACTGTTCAAACGAGTAACGTAATTTTCTACTTCTGTTACTCGAGGAGAGAGAGATCTTTATTCTTCTTAATTCTCCAAATCTGATTCGTCTTCCCTCGAATAGCTCAAATTCTCTGATTTGCTTACTTACCCGGTAAGTGACACAGTTCATGTTAATTTCATTTACGAAATGGATCTGCTTTTGTTTTTGTATCTTCTGGGTATTGGGTTTTATTCGTTCATGAACAGATTTCAATTTGTTTTACTCATCTTGCTTTGCTAAAAATCGTATCAGATTTCGAATTATGTTGAAACTAATCATGGTGCTTCTTAGGACTTAAAAACAATGTTTCTGCCTAAATTAGGATTTTGGAGGCAATTATAACAGAGTTTTCTCAAATTATCCATTTTTGGGGTTATGTGATTTTTATGTCTGCTCTTTTTTAGCTCCACTTTTATTCTTGTTCAATCTCTTTATCATGTGAATGATGCAGATAAGAATTATCCGTAGACTGAAGTTTTCCATTGAATGATACTGTTCTTGGCGAACTTAACCGGATTCAGGACATGGCTAACCGAACAGACAACTCCAATCGCTTGTAGCTTCACCAAAACCCGGAAGCTCATTTCTTGATTCATGTTTTAAGCTTATCCAATATAAGTGAATTTGTATGTTTCTTCATTTGTTTGCAGTTCGAATGGTAAAAAGCCAAGTGAGGGAATGAGACTAATTATAGCAACATTCATAGGCATAGTTATTGGTTTCTTCTTGGGGATATCTTTCCCTACATTGTCACTAACAAAAGTGAGCTTCTTTGTTCATATATCCTCTCAAGACTTTATGCTTATATGTGTTTCATGTAACTCAATGAATTTTTTTGTTTCAGATAAATTTCCCCTCTAGCATTCTTCCTTCTGTTGATATTGCTTACGTAGAAGACGAGACACCTGAAACATCTAGTGAAACGCTTTTGCACACGTGGTCATCTAGGAGTCCATCACAAGGAGCTAATTCGAGTGATGCAACACATTGGAAGGCATAACTTTCTTCTCTTTGATCTTTTAGTGGCTATGACAAGTAATCTTGTAAAACTAAATCTTGATGAGGATTCTGCAGATTTGGGTTCCATCGAATCCCCGAGGTGCAGAGATGCTGACTCCTGGTATCATTGCACCTGAATCAGATTACTTCTTACGCAGACTCTGGGGAAAACCTGAGGAGGTAATGTCATGTTTTGACCCTTTAGTGTCTCCTCGTAATCTTTTGGATAACAATCTTATTTGGGTTAATTCTCATTTCTTGCTTCTTCTAGGATGTGCCTGTGAAGCCAAAGTATCTCATTGCTTTTACTGTTGGTATTGGTCAGAAAGTAAACGTTAATGCTTGTGTCAAGAAGGTAAAATCTGATTGCTGGCTCTTCTCCATTTCTGCAAAAGGTCTTAAAGAGTTTTTCTTCTTCTTTTTTTTCCGCAGTTTTCAGAAGATAACTTCACCATTGTTCTGTTCCATTACGATGGACGAACCACTGAATGGGATGAATATGAATGGTCTAAGCGCGCAATACACGTGAGCGTGCCAAAGCAAACCAAATGGTAACTGTGAGATGATTCTTTCCTCCTTAACTACTCCAATCTTCCTGAAGCTAGCTTTGTTAACCATTGAATCTCTCTGGTTTATGATATCATCACTAGGTGGTATGCTAAAAGGTTTCTGCATCCTGACATTGTGGCGCCTTATGACTTCATATTCATCTGGGATGAAGATCTCGGCCTTGAAAACTTCGATACAGAAGAGTGCGTCTTCTTCCTCATTTCTATCGAAAGCTTTTTTGTCACCTCACTAAATCCTAGTCTTGAAAATGTGAATGTGTTCTTGTTTCTCTTCTGCAGATACATAAGGCTTATAAAGAAACACGGTCTAGAGATATCACAGCCTGCTGTGGAGTCTAAAAAGAAGATCACATGGGAGATAACAAAGAGAAAAGCCAAAGGAGAAGTTCACAAGTAAGCAACTACAGTATTTCAAGTTCTTGAAAACGCGAAAACCTTTAACTAATCATCTTCTTTCTGCAAAAAAAATCTAATCACCAGACAAGTCAAGGAGAAACCTGGTCGATGCAACGATCCTCACTTGCCTCCCTGTGCAGCGTACGTTTATCACCATTTTCAGCTAGAGACAATATAGATCTTAGACAATACTCTAATCCCATGTGAGTTTCTTTACAGGTTTATAGAGATTATGGCTCCAGTGTTCTCAAGAGACGCATGGCGTTGCGTGTGGCATATGATTCAGAACGACTTGGTTCATGGTTGGGGTCTTGATTTCGCACTCCGAAAATGCGTTGAGGTTAATCCTTTTCCTACGCCTTAAAACATTGAACATGCGTTTGGTTGCATCATTACTAAAATGTTTCATACAAACAGCCTGCACACGAAAAGATAGGAGTTGTGGATTCTCAATGGATCATTCATCAAACTATTCCTTCTTTAGGCAGCCAGGTTCTTATTCATAATATAACTTCTCAAGCTCATTACAAGTTTTATATTTCTTTTTTGTTCATATGTTGATTCATTTTTTTGTGCGGTTTCTCTTCTCAGGGAGAGGTACACGACGGTGTAGCAGCGTGGCAAGGAGTAAGAACTTTGAAAACATTTGAGCTTCTAAGAGAGAATCTGCAGTTTCTTGTCAACTAATTGATGATACTTGTATGGCTTTGTTTAAAGGTGAGAGACAGATGTAAACGGGAATGGACGATGTTCCAAAGCCGAATGGCGAGCTCCGAGACTAAGTATCTTAAGCAAATCGCAAACTCAACGATTCATTAGTAGAAGAAACTGAACAAACAGAAAGACAAGTGAGGGCTGAAATCACGCAAAGAGCCAAAGACGATATAGTAAAGTCCAGAGAGATGTTTTTGACTATTCATATGATGATTATTAAGCAAATTCAAACTATAGTGTTCATATGATTATTAAGCAACTATATACACGACACATTTTTTTAAGTTAGTGGAGATTTGTTCTTGATTTTCTTGTGTTGTTCTTTACCGTTGTAACTTCATGGGTGATGTGTTTCAGAATCTGGAAAAATATCGAACTGATAGCGAATGTTTGCTTGATTACTAAGGAGTCATATGGGGAGTTTAAAATTCTAAGTTTGTATAACTAAGATGAACAAAGACAAAAAATTGAAATTTCTCATTTATGATCTTCATAACAGAAAACTGAATTCAACCCAAGCATCGAAAGCTTGCTTATTCATGAGAACAAGTCTCTTATTGGTGTGAACACATGCAAAACACCAATCCTCGTATACATAACAATCTCAATGAACGAGAGAGAGAGAGAGAGAGAGAGAGAGAGAGAGAGAGAGAGATGTACAAAAAGGGTAAGTAAAGAGTGTCTTGATGCAAAACTTCCCAAAAGGGGAAACTCAGAAGAAGAATACAGAGTCGCAGATAGTGAAGGTTTTGTTTTTCAAGCCTCAAAGGAAATCAGAATCCTAAAGAAAACATAAAGAGATCTATCTATATACACAAAAAAATCTTCACCCTTCATTAAATCCTCTCAAAGTGCCTCTCTGCAGCATTCACAGAACACCAATACGCCTCAGACAAAAACGCAGAGATTATATATTCTCAGTTAAGTGTTATTAGTCCGGAGGAAGGATTCAAGCCAACCTTTTGTTTCCTCTCAATGTAGAGGTCTTCAAGAAGCAAGACTCTGCATGGTGAAGACTCCAATCAATCATTCTTCTTCTCTTATACAATTCCCCGGCAAGAGAAACCTATACTTCTCAGCGTTCTCCAGTAGATACGAAGGAAGATGAACAGCCGAGAAAGAATGCGGAATCGGACCCATCTTCCCTATAATCTCCTTGAACGTATACTCCTCAGGAAGCATATCGAAAAGATCAGCTCCTTTGCATATAACTCTCTGCACTCTCTTAGGATTCAAGAAATGACTAAACCTCACTCTATCATTATGGCTATAAGCTTTCATCTTGAACACAAACTCGCTGATCCGTCTAAAGCAGAAGCTACAATGCCATCCCGCATCCGCCAAGATCTCATCAGACTGTCGATAATGCGCGTACCGCGTCTTCCCAGTCTCGTACCTATGCACTGAAGCTCTCCAGCTCTTGTTGTCAACAAGAAACTCAAACGAGTAGAGATAGTTCTTGAGCCGCAAGTGAAGTATCTTAGGCACCTCATCGCACCATCTCAAGAGGTTTATAGTGTGTCTACTCGGAATCTCATCGACGTCTGACATCAGCAACAAGTCATCATCAGTGATCCCTGCGATTCTAAGAAGCTGATCAAGAGCTACTCGCTGATAGGCTTCCTCGTAAAACGGATTCTGTCCTTTGACGAATCTTCCACCGAGCGTACCGTAAGTCAAGCGAGGCTCTATGAACTTGAACTCGTCTCTGTGAGCAGCGAAGACGAGAGGCTTTGGCAGACCTGTGAAGGTCGAGTTTGACTCGAGGAGGACGAACTGTGTGATGTACGGATAAAGCTCTTTCCAACGGACGGCGAGGATGTCGAGCTCGTTGCTGAACAAGACGGCGTCGTAGACTCGTCTAGGGTATTCTCGAACGCCCCAGCCGTGGAGTTTGCAGAGAGTCTCCATTGAAGCGTTCTCGTGGTAGTAGTGAGGGATGTCGTGGAAAGGTTTTGGTGGTGATTCCCATAGTGGACGGAGGAAGTAAGAGATCTTCTGGCCGTGGACGTAACCAGCGAGTACGCATGTGGGAACAATCACTAGTAGGAAGATGTATGTCTTCATATCGACGCCGCGGAGTGCACAGCAGAGTCTAGAGAAGCTGAAGAATTTACCAGTTTCCTGCAAAGATAGAGAATCAACATGAGCACCATAACACAATAGAGAGATGATTTCAATCTAAACTCAGATCTAAGTCAATTTCTCAACTAACACAAACAAACAAAGGAAAGAACCAAAAAGCTACGGAATTGTGAAATGGGTCGAATTGTGAAGATCTTAAAAGGTCAATTTGAGTGGAAAATTGCAGTTTCTAATGAAGAGAAGTAAGATCTCGATTCTCAACATCAATGTAGTTTTCTTCGTTTTCTCAGAAAGAGAACAACGACACGCAAAAATTCTCAGGAATTCGAAAAT